ATGTCACCTTGGAGCCAGTTCAGCTCCAAGGAGCCCCTGCTTACCTCCCCACCAAGGAGACAGTGAGGATTCACCCAACCCCAAGAAGATACAGCACAGGAGGTATGGAGCAATTCCTGACGCTTTCCAAGGTCAGACTGGGGAAGGGTTTATTAAAATAGCATCTATTCTGCACAATGTTTCTAAAAACTCATTCCACGTGTGCTCCATTTACAGAATGCCCCGGTTCAGGAAAATTTACTGAGCGCACAGAAACAAAAAACTATCAGTGCAAGGCTAAAGTTAGATTTATACTGTTTTTCCACAATCAATCATTTTCACAACTAAGTGACATTTTACAAATGAACACCACAAGAAACAGATACAGTCCAGTAAACTATATCAACCACTCATGAAAAAAACAGCATCGCAAAATGGTTATTTTTTTAAAAAAATTGATGGAAAAAAAGGGGAGTTTGGGACCAATTTTTTGCACTCTTGCTGAAACCGTTTATTCGACAAATCTACAGGCAGAAGCAGCTCTCCAGGACCTTGCCAAAGTAGTCACCTTTCAACTGTGAACATGGACAGGCCGTTTCAGCAGGCTATCCAGCCACTGAAGCCACCAGGGCTGTGGAGGACACCGGGGCACAGGGGACATCAGATACTGGAGAACATCATCAGAGACATGTGGAGGACATTAGAGCCATATAGCCATGTCACCTAATTTGTTTAAATTAATTTGACGGCGGGGGTGGGGGGACGGACCATAGAGGACTGGGAGAGACCAATAACTTTGGAATAAAGCAGTCTTGGAGTGCATGTGCTTAAATGCATGGAGAATAACAAACAAGATTGGTGAGCTGCAGGTACAAGTTGCTATATGGGATTATGATGTAGTGGCAATAACGGAGACCTGGGTAGGAATGGGAACTGGTTCCAATGTATTCAGGAGGAATAGGGAAGGAAAAGGTGGTTGCAGTATTGATCAAAGATACTGTTACAGCCCTGGAAAGGGATGATGAGCTAGAGCAGGGTGGTCCGAGCTGGAATCCCTATTTGAGAAAGGTCAGTTGGCCGCACCCAGCATGGGTCAGCTGGAGGCCCACGGGGCCTCATCTAGCCCAGCCAGTGATTTTATCCGGCCAGAGACCATTTCCATCATTCCATCTTCTGCTTCCTCCCAAGGCAGCGGCAGTAGACAGCGGTTGGGAGGATGCAGCACGGAGAGTGAAAATAACTGCAGCGGGGGTGGAGGGGGGGGGGGGAGGGAGGGCGCTTCACAGTAACGGATCCCGGGACCGAGCCAGGGGGAGGCGGAGGAAGGTGACCAAAGGCACGGTCGAAAAGAAAAGAAAGCAGAGACCTGAAAACAGGAAGGGAGGGAGTGAGGCGAAGGGAGTGAGGAAGGGAGTTCCAGAGCCTCGGGGCGTAGTGGCTGAAGGCACGGCCGCCGAGGGTGGAGCGGAGGACTCGGGGGACGAGGAGGAGCCAGACCCGGAGGAACAAAGGCAACGGGTACTGTTTTGAGGAGAGAGGTCAGAGAGGTGGGAGGTGCAGAGGAGTGCAGGGACTTGAATACAAGGGTGAGGATCTTGAAGTTGATCCTCTCTGGGACAGGCAGCCAGTGCAGTCTGGCAAGGACTGGGGTGATTGGGGAGCGGAGTTTCATGCGGGTGAGAATGCAGGCGGCAGAGTTTTGAATGATTTGGATTTTATGGATGGTAAAGACCAGCGAGGAGGGCATTAGAGTACTCCAGCTAAGAGGTGACAACGATATGGACCAGGGTTTCCGCGGCTTTTGGGGAAAGGTATTGATGGAGGCGGACGATGCGTCAGAGGTGGAAGAAACTAGTGCTGGTGAGGGACCGGATGTGGGGGTGGAAGGATAATTGGTGGTCGAACCTGACGCCTAGATTGCATACGGGTTCGGAGAGTTTTAGGGGGAGGTCGAGTAGGTGGAGGAGGTGAGAGCCGTGAGATTTTAGACATTGACGAGAGCCAAAAAGTGTGGTTTCCGTCTTGTCAACGTTCAGCTGAAGGAAATTTGTGCTCATCCAGCCCCTGAGGTCTGACAAGGCAGGCTGACAGAACATCAGGGGACTGGGGGTCGCAAAGAGAGGTGGGAAAATAGAGTTGGGTGTCATCTGCATACATGTGGAAATGTCCCCATGTCTGCGGATGACATCCCCAAGAGGGCGCATATAGATCAGAAAGAGGAGGGGACCAAGGATGGATCCTTGAGGTACCCCGCAGGTAACCAGGTGAGAACAGGAGGAGAAGCCATTTGTGCAGATGTACTGCTAGCGGTTTGTGAGATAGGACTCGAACCAGGCGAGTGTGGTCCCACTGAGGTGGATGACAGAGGAAAGGGGGTGGAGGAGGATGGCATGATCGACTGTGTCGGACGTGGCGGAGAGGTCCAGGAGGACAAGCAGGCAGAGGGAGCCCTGGTCACAGATAGAGAGGATGTCATTTGTGACTTTCACAAGCGCAGTCTCTGTACTGTGGGCAGGGTGGAAATCGGAGGGAGGGGTTCGAAGAGGAAGTGGGAGGAGAGGTGTGCGTGAAGTTGGTTGGCAACAACACGCTCTAGAACTTTTGAGATATATATATACTATAGACGGAAGGCCTGGAGGTTGATTTTATCCAGCCCTCATGTAAAATCCGTACATAAAAAGTAAAAGGATGGTCAAAGGAAGAGTGGGACCGATTGGGACCAAAAAGGAAAACTTGTGCAGGCAGAGGGTATGGCTTCTTTGCACCTGTCTTCACAAAAGAAGATGTTGTCAATGTCACAGTAAAGGAAAGGGATTAGAGAAATTGCATACGATAAAAATAGATGGAGAAGAGGTACTAAAAATGTTAGCAGCAGTCCAAAGTAGAAAAGTCACCCGGTCCAGATTGGATTCATCCTAGATTGCTGAGGGGAGGTCTTTGAAAGTGGCAGGGCAGGTTGATAGATTTGTTAAAATATTATAAATAAAGGCATAGAGTACAAAAGCAAGGAAATTCTGCTAAACCTTTATAAGTCACTGGTTAGGCCTCAGCTGGAGAATTGTGTCTAGTTCTGGGCACCACACTATAGGAAGGATATCATGGCCTTGGAGAGGGTGCAGAGGAGATTTACCAGAATGGTATCAGGGATGAGGGACTTTAGTTATGTGGAGAGACTAGAGAAGCTGGGATTGTTCTCCTTAGAGCAGAGAAGGTTAAGGGAAGATTCAATAGAGGTGTTCAAAATTATGAGGGGTTCAAAATTATGATGGGTTTTGATCGAGTAAATAGGGAGAAACGTTTCACTGACAGGTGGGTCGGTAACAGGGGACATAAATTCAAGATAATTGGCAAAAGAACCAGAGGGGAGATGAGAAGATTTTTTCTTACAGAGAGTTGTTACAGTTTGGAATGCACTGCCTGAAAGGGTGGTGGAAACAGATTCAATAACAACTTTCAAAAGGGAATTGGATAGGTACTTGAAAAGGAAAACTTGCTTGATATCAGGACCATGGAGGACAGAGTCACAGAGAACCTCAGGGCAATGCCAAATCCTGTCCTTACCCACCATTCAGATACACACACACACATACTTACTTTCCAGAACGTGTCACTGGACAGTGATCAGAATATGACTTAACACCACAGAATATTCAGAATATTGCCGTATACAGGTAAACTCGCCTAAGTCATTTTTTATGAATCATATAATCGTCTAAGTTGTACATGCACCTGGGATCTATTCATTTTCCTACCAAAAAAACACTTAGATTTCTTTGCAATAGTCATATTTTACAAGTTGGATAATTGGTTAAGTTGAAACATTTTTTGGTCCCAAACAGTCCTAAATCCTATGCAAATCAACCAGCTTGTATTGCCTCTATCACACTTCCCAGCTGCATTGATGATATACACATGTGTACTTAGTGCTGCGTTTGAAACAAGCAGGGGAAGCAAAGTCTTGACCCATCATCATGTCACAAAATTCAAACATAACTTTACATAAGTCGTATTAAGTCGGCCAATACCACTCATGCAAGTTTGTTCATAACTCATAGTTCATTTAGGTCATACTAAATGTTATGGTCATGACTACTGATACAACTAATGTAAATTTATCTGTAAAGCCACTACCCAGTTTGGGGTGGGTCCTCCCCCAATGCTGCCCTGGCTCAGATCAGCCAATTCAGTACAGGAAAGGCAAGGAATATATATTTTTATGTATGTACCAGAAGGTCAGCACCATGAATTGGCTGATCTCAGCTAGGGCAGAATTTGGTGTGGTTCCCCACCAAGTGCTTTGAATGCGGTAGAACAGTACATGACACATTGGATAAGTAAATGCTGTACGCATTGTAAGGAAAGAAAAATATTTGGAAAACATCATGGCCTTGACTTTGTTTACCAGGAATGGCCTTCTAATAAGGAGAAGCGGAGAGACGTCTGAACACTGCTGGTAAACATGCCCACAGCATTGGGCCTATGAACTTTAACCAAAGGGTGTATGCAATTGGTCTTGGCTCCATAATAGCCAAACATTAATCGGGTATAAAAATAGAGAGTTTAATCAAGATCAGTGAGATACAGATCAGATGATACCACATGCTGCCTTTTGCACTTCTAGGGATGGGTAAACTGATCAAGACTAAACTTCTCTGATAACCTGATTTCTCCCATTATCGGGTACGAAGATAATGGGTCTTTGCTCTTTGTATAATCATTAACTGTGGAACTTTGATAAAGGAAACAATTATCTAATATCCAAATTGTGTGCATTATTTAATAATTAAGAAAAGTAAAATTTTCTTACAGCATGAAGGTGTCTTAACGCGAGTTCAGCAACAACTTATATAACATGGCATATCCAGAACTTCATGCAGGACAATCAGTGAGAAAGAAAAACTAGCTAAACAGGACAGTCAGGCCAAGACGCAAATGCTTCTCTCAAAAATATGCATCATAAAATGTGTAACTCACAGCACAACCTGATTTCAATTCTAGGAAATGCAAACTTTGGTACTCACACCAGGGACACGATGTCTCCACGATGCACTTCATAGTTCCGAACGCTCCAGCGGTTTAATAGGACAACATCGGAGGACTTTCTACCCGAAGGATTTAATGACGGCTGAGAAATCAGAGCAAATAGCACTGTGTGAAAACTACGCTACCCATAGGCCTGTAGTTATGTGCATACTGTTTATATGAATAATAATAACTCTTGTATTTGATATAACATCTTATCACGTCGTCGAGACGTATCAAAGCGCTTCAAGGAATATACTGGAAAGCGAATTTACTGTATACTTTGTGGATGAAACGAGGCAGCCAATTGGCACAGCAATGTCCCACACACAGTCGTGGACTGAAGGTAAGACAAGGATTTTAAACTCCATCCTCTGGGGGATGAGGAGCCAGTGGAGCTGAACGAGGGTGGGGGCGATAGGGTCACAGAGGTTGGTGCGGGAGAGGACACGAGCTGCAGAGTTCTAAATGATCTACAGCTTGTGGAGAGAGGAGTTGGGAAAGCCGACAAGCAGGGTGTTTGCTTGTGATAAAACCACGGTTACAGAATGAAGGGAGGCTGTGTAGAGTCCAGCAGATCTCACCCTCCAATAAAACACCCTCCGTCTGCCCTGAACCACAGATTCAGATCACCTCTATTTCATTCAAAACTCACATATCACCAAACAACAGCATTTATACAGCAACCTTCACGTGGGGCAGGGACTGAGAAATTAACTGTGGCGGAGCTTGACTCCAAGCCAAGGAAAGAGGGGAGGTAACCGTAAGCATAGTCGAAGAGGAAGATTGCTGTATGGGGAGGGGTCACTCTGTATATGGGGAGGGGGTCACTGTTTGGAGGTGGTCAGTGTTGAAGGCAGTAGCCTTGCAGTTAACAGACCATTATATTAGTTTTACCTGCAGCATTCTTTCACTGTCTTGCAGTTTGTGCTGATAATAATCCTTATCCTTATAATCCTTGCATTTGTTGTAGCCTTAACACATCTTCGAGATGTCTCAAAGCGCTGTAAAGTGAATTGACTGTATATTTTGTGGCCAAAACTCAGCAGCCAATTGCATACAGCAGTGTCCCACAAACAATCGTGGTTTGAGTGACTAAATTTTTTTTTAAATCCTGAAGGGATTATTACCCCTGGAAAAGCGATCCACAAATCGACTAATAACTAGGTTCCTACTTACTGCTAGGTAAACAGAGGTATGTGGAGTAAGGAAACTTGTCCAAAGTTTCGCCATGCCCGAGAATCGAACCCAGGGTCTCTCGCTTGCAAGGCGAGTGCTCTAACCACTAAGCTACAGCACTTCATCACAATGCTTGTAGTGGATGGCAAAGATCCCATGGCCCTATCCAAAAAAAGAAGGGAGTTTCTCCCTCCTGGTGTCCTGGCCAACAATCTCCCCAAATAAAAATTGGTCACTCAATCCGCGACTGTTTATGGAACATTGCTCGCCCACAAAATACAGTCACTCCGTTTCACAGTAAATCCTGTGAAGCACTTTGAGACGTCCTTCTGACATGATAAGGTGCTTCACCAAATGCAAGAATTATTATTGTTAGTATATGAAAACAAAAATGATGTCTCATGTCATTCTGGCCTTTGAATGCAATGCAGAGAAAGGGAGAACAGCACAAACTGCAAGACAAGGAAAGGGTGCTACAGGTAAAACTAATATAATGGGCTGTTAACTGCAAAGTCACTACCTTCACCACCTCCGTGAAACCAGCTGCTAAAGCTGCAAGGAAGATGGAGTAATAAGTTGGTCCGAGTTGGTGAACACACGTTCGTAAGTCCAGTACCTGGAATCCACCATGATTGGCCTGCAGAGAGGCAGGCAGCTGCTGCTTAAACTCCAATTGGTGGAACCATCGCTCAATGGGAAGGGACGTGTGCTCAAGCTGAGGACAGGAAGATGGCGGCAATGCTCTCATGCATTTCATGCTGAGTGCGTTGCCCACTGGGAAGCTTTGAGGAAGTTCTTTGTACCTACCTTACACCTAGTGAGGGCTCAAACCCACACTTGTCATTTGTCGAATGACCAACTGGTGACTATCCTCCTTGGGGGAGAAGTAAGTCAGGTCCTTGGAGCTGAACTGGCTCCAAGGTGACATGTCTGGCAATTTAATATCAGAATCGAGCCAATCCTCTGTGGCGGTCTCGGTAGTTCAGTTCCTGAGCCAGTGGGGTCCGCAGTATTCCACGGCACGGATGATGACAGTACAGCCAGCCTGGCTCATTGGCAGGACTTGGAAGGGCAGACCAGTCACTGAGGGCAGGGAGTCATCTCACTCTGCTCCTGTTAACCCTGTAAGCCAAAGCCTTAATGGGTGGGTGGTCCTAGCTGGACATGGGGTGGGGGTTTTGGAGCGGACAGGTCAGTATGGGGTTAGCAGGTCACAGATGTACGAAGGAGCGAGGCTGTGAAGGGAGGACGAGGATTTTGAACTCTATCCTCTGGGGGATGGGGAGCCAGTGAAGAAGGGCGAGGATAGGGTTGATAGGATCACGGAGCCTGGTGTGAGAGAGGACCTGAGCTGCAGAGTTTTGAATAATCTGCATCTTATGGAGGGAAGAGTTAGGTGGACGGTTAAGCAACAAGAACAACAAAATTACATTTGTATAGCGCCTTTCACGTTGGGAGGACATCCCAAGACGCTGGATAATCAGAGTTTCAGACCAGAGCTGGGGGTCGGGATTGAGGAGGGTGGAAAGCAGGGGGGAAGTAGGGTGATCAAAAGCACGGTCAAAGAGGAGGTTCTTGAGATGGGCCTTGAAGGAGGCAAGGGAAGGAGCGAGGTAGAGGGCTGCAGGATGGAGTTCCAGATGGTGGGAGCAGAAGCCCCAACTGATAATGGTGGGGCGAGCGAGGCGGGGACGTGAAGCAGACCGAAGCCTGCTGAGCGGTGGAAGTGGGCAGGATGATAGGGGGTTAGGGGTCACAGAGGTGGGGGGAGCAAGGCCATGGAGGGCTTTGATAGGGAGGACCAGGATCTTGAACTGTATCCTCTGGGTGATGGGAAGCCAGTGGAGTCGGGCAAGGATGGGGGTAATAGGATCACGGAGCCTGGTGCGGGAGAGGACACGTGCTGCAGAGTTCTGGATGATCTGCAGCCTATGGCGAGAGGAGTCGGGGAGGCCGACAAGCAAGGAATTTACATAGTCAAGCCTTGATGTAACGAATGGGTGTATGAAAGTTTCGGCGGCCTGCGGTGTGAGACAGTGGCGGAGCCGGGCAATATTGCGTAGTTGGGGGAAGGCAGAGCAGGACATGGCGCAGATGTGGGGTACAAAGGATAGTTGAGGGTCAAACAAGACACTAAGGTTCTGGACTGGCTTAGCAAGGTGGAGTGTGCAACCATAGATGGTGATGCTGTCAGCACCTGAGATGTGGAGGCGCTGATGGGAACCAATCAGGAGTCTTGCTGACATTCAATTGAAGAAAGTTAGCTCTCATCCAGGACTTGATGTCTGACAGACATTCTGTCAGGACAGCAGTGATACTGGAGTCAAGGGTGGAGGCAGAGAGGTACAGTTGGGTGTCATCCGCAAGCAGGGAGTTAGCATAGTCAAGACAGGAGTTAGCTTAGTCAGTTATAGAGATCACTTTCTGGGAGATCACTTCAGTTTGTTTGCTTTTCATTCAGAGTACGCATAAATCATCCACCTCTTATCCCTGTGAACAACCAAGTGGGTTAGCAAGGAAGGCAGACCTGTAGGCAAGATACTGCCCAGAGCCAGCAACAAGGCAACCGAGAGCGATGGGCACCTGTAGAACTGGAACTCAGAGGAAGTGCAGAAAAGGAAGTCAAATCTTTACGGGAATGGATAAGTGGAAAATAGGAGACAAAATGAGTAAGGATAAACAACAGTACCAGATATCAACTAATAATAATAATAATCCTTGCATTTGATTTGGCACCTTATCACATGGTTGGGTTGTCTCAAAGTGCTTCACAGAATATATTGTAAAATGGAATTACTGAGTATTTTGTGTACAAAACACGGCAGTCAATTGTGCACAGCAGTGTCCTACATACAGTCGTGGGTTCAGTAACCAAATTTTTTTTGAGGGATTAATCCGCCAATCAATTAACAATTGGTTCCTGTTTAATGCTGGGTAAAAAGGGGCATGTGGAGTAAGGAAAAGTGTCCCACCTGGGAATCGAACACTACGTTAATCCTCTCACTTGCGAGGCAAGCTAACCACTATGCTGCTGGACTCCACCAAATAGGATTTGATAAGAACATCAAGTGATGGCAGTGAGTAGAATTCTCGCCTCTGAGTCAGAAGGTTGTGGATAAAGCCCAGTGTAGGGACTTGGAACCCATATCACCTCCGCTGACACTCCATGCAGTACTACGGGTGTGTTACACCTCCGACAATACAGTGTTTCCCCCCAGCACCACACTGGAGCGTCAGCTGAGACTGTGAGTCCATGATCCGTAAAATAAGTTTTATTACAGCCTGAAATGGGAGCAGAAATTATTCAGCATTGGAAAATTTTTGATGGCTGTGTGCACCTATCCCTTCCATCTTACAATACAGTTGTCTCACAGATACTTATTCAGCTCTTCTTCGAAGCAGTGAACAAGTAACAATGTCAATTGGTTTTGTTGGAACAAATTCACACTCTGCTCAAAAGGGTTTAAATAACAAATATTGGATTTGGTTATCTTGTATTTCAGCAGCTTACGTCCACATATAAAATATCTTTCACAGGGAAACCTGACAATCCTCCAGCTTTACGCTGGAGAAAACACATGTTATTTTAAAAGCTGTCAAGATTACGTAGCACTCACTGTTGCTGAATTCATGCCAGTTTTCTCCAAAGTCTCAGGCTCTTTTTTAATGTGTGGGCTGAAAGAATGTCGTTGCCATTTGGCTCCTTGTTTTGATGCCAGAAATTGAAACTTGTTTAGAAGGATCAGCCTTCCTGATCAGTTGCTTGGTTCAGTGATAGCACTCTCGCCTCTGAGTCAGAAGATTGTGGGTTCAAGCCCCACGTCAGTACTTGGAATCACACAGCTTAAGCTGACACTCCAATGCAGTGCTGGGGGGGGCAGTTTCATTATCGGCGGTGCCGTCCTTCGGATGAGAAGATAAACCAAAGTCCTATCTGTTTGACCAGGTAGACATTAAAGATCCCAGGCACTATTTGAAAAGAGAAGCAAGTTTCTCTCTCCCTGGCCAACAATTCCCCAAAATTAAACAGGTCACTCACTCCATGGCTGTTTGTGGGGTGTTGCTGTGTGCAAAATTGGCTGCTGCATTTCACCTACAATACACAGTCACTCACTTTACAGTATATTCTGTGAAGCGCTTTGAGATGTCTCAAAAAGATGATTAGGCTCTGTATCAAATGCAAGGATTATTATTATTACAGTGGCAAGTCGGCAAAAATGAAGAGCCATCTTCAATCATCCAAGATAGCCTTGAGAAAACAGGCCGCAAACATAACTATATTCAGTGGGAACATAGCCAAGATATCAAAGATTTTCAAAACCAGCTGCAATACTTCAAGGAAATACTTTCAAATTTGTTCAACTAAAAGTATGCAGTCACTGCAATTCACAATAAAATCCTGTGAACCGCTTGTGAGGTGATAAGGCATAGTATCAACAACAACTTGCATTTATACAGCGCCTTTATGTGGGGTAGCATCTCGCTGAAATGAACAGAGGCCGAGCCTGGGGTAGGGAGGTAGGGAGGTGACCGCAGTCAAAATCAAAGAGGAAGGTATTCAGATGTGATCTGAAGTTGGGCAAGGAGGGCGCAAGGCGGAGGGATTGAGACAGAGGCCTCCAATTTCGGGACGGAGTGCTAAAGCTAATGGTGGCAAGGAGGGGTTAAGGGATATGCATAAAGCCTAAGCCTGCTGAGCAAGGGTAGAGGAGTGGCAGAGATAGAGAGGTGCCCAGGGAGTGAAGTGATCCAAATGAAGTCCTAGCTGGGACCAAAACCTGTGTTTGGAGTTGAATAATATGCTTAGTAATTGGCAGCAACAACAACAAGATTCCATTTATAGAGCGCCTTTCACGTCGGGAGGACGTCCCAAGGCGCTGTACAGTTGGGTCAGGACCCGAGCAGGGGGGAAATGGTCAGGGTGAGGGGAGGGAAAGGAGGGAGCGAGGAGGGGGTAGAGAGTCGAGAGGGGAGCTGAAGGCACGGTCAGAGAGAAAGGTCTTGAGACCGGCCTTGAAGGAGGAAAGGGAGGAGGCGGCGAAGGCACTGGGGGATAGAGTTCCAGAGCCCAGGGGCTGAGAGGCTGAAGGCCCGGCCACCGATGGTAGGGCGGTTGGGGCGGGGGATGTGGAGCAGACCGGAGCCAGAGGAACGGAGGGTACGGGCAGGTAGGTAGGGGGATAGTAGGTCGGAGAGGTAGGAGGGAGCAAGGCCGTGAATGGCCTTGTAGGTGAGGATGAGGATCTTGAAATCGATCCTCTGGGGGATGGGGAGCCAGTGGAGGTGAGCGAGGGTGGGAGTGATGTGGTCCCGAAGCCTGGTGCGGGACAGTACACGAGCTGCAGAGTTCTGAATGACCTGCAGCTTGTGGAGGGAGGTTAGCAAACTGACATGTTTGTTTGCATTTCTGTTTGTTTTGTTTTTTTTTGGTTAGATGTTGTACATCAGCAATTGTGGAATGAACGCTGAACAGCTGCAGCAACAAAATTGGCGACAGCAATTGGCAGGCATACCTGCATCGAAGCACCTTCCACTTTCGCAATGTAGGCCACACGGTCCAAGATCGTCACAGTGACTGGGACGGCGACAAAGAAGCCACTGAGGAAAGCCTTGAGGTAACGCTTGCCAAATCCACTTGCTCGTACCATCGCCTGACAAAAAACAAAATTACAACTATTTACAAAATTGTCGGGAGTCCCTAGTGGTTAGCGCGTTCGCCTTGCAAGTGAGAGGACTCGGTTTCGATTCCCAGGCGGGGTGAAATCTTAGGCAAGTTTCTTTACTCCACATTCCTCTATTTACCTAGCAGTAAGTAGAAACCCGGTTGTTAGTCAAATGACCGATCGCTTTCCAAAAAAGATCTCTTTAAAAAAGTCACTGAATCTACGACTGTTTGTGCAACTGGCTGCCGTGTTTCATCCACAAATACACTTAATCCACTTTACAATATATTCTGTGAAGGGCTTTGAAATGTCTCAATTATGTGTATTAATATTGTTATTACGATGGGAGTTCTCGCTCATGGTCACACGAGACGCAAAGCGGGGAAAATGAGTGAACGCTCACTGTCTGCCTCTCTTGCTCTTTTTCCTCTTGCCACCTTGTACAACATACGGCAGCACAACAAAACCAAAGTAATGTGATGCAATAATCCTTACACGTGAAACTGCGCAATTCATATCAGAACATATCAGAACGCAATTCATATCTCAACACATGCCACACTGTGACATGTGAAGTGCAGCGATTGTGGATTTGTTGCCAAATTATTTTGTTGGGTGTATTTTTGACATCCGACAAAACAAGTGGACTGATTTCTTACATTTACATATAAGATTTGTGTGGAGAAATAAGAGTATAAATCAGTCAGCATTTCATGAACAACAATGTCAAAGCAATTTGCTGATTTCAAAGGTACAAGATTGATATAGAACCTTACAAATGCACAACACAGCAGGAGGCGCTTTTATTAAGAGCAGAGCTCAAATGGTTTGCTCAACAAGGTCATAGGAATCCTACTCTATAATAAGTTCTTCACTGGAAGTATCTCCTGTACAATGTGGGCCTTCTCCGTTACAAGAATTTAAAAGTAGTGCTGGGGGAGCGCTGCATTGTCGGAGGTGTCGTCTTTCAGATGAGACAGTTAAACCGAGGTCCAAATTGCCTATTCAGGTGAATGTTGAAGATCCCATGACACTATTCGAAAAGAGAAGGGAATTTCCCTCTCCCAGGTGTCCTGGCTAACAATCCCCCAAATAAAATTGGTCATTTGCTCCATAACTATTTTGTGGGACACTGCTGTGCACAAATTAGCCGCCATGTTTCGCTCACAAAATACAGTCACTGCATTTACAGTATATCGTGTGAAGCATTTTAAGACGTCTCAACAACTTGATAAAGCGCTAAATCAAATGCAAAGATTATTATTATTATTTATCAATATTTACAGCTCCTTCAAACTTTTTCTTTATTCTTTCCAAGTGTCGCATCTTTCATGCAACACTGCTCCTCTTTCAGTTTTGAAATCAAGGCATTCATTGCAGTTTGCCCCAGACCCCAACTCATTCTTTTCCAGAACCTCAACACCGGACCCAACCTACCTAACCCATAACAGTCCCATTTTCCTGCTATTTCCCCATTCCCCAGTAGCTGACTCCTTTTTAGGTATTTATGTTGTTCACTTTTGAAAGCCAATGTGGATTCTGCCTAAACTGGCTCATTCCCAGCCAGGCATTCCTAACTGCACTGTGTGAAAACATTTCTCCTAATCTCCCCATTTGTTCATTTACTAAATTGTGTTTCTTAAATTTATGCCCTCTAGGCACTGACCCAGCTGACGCCCCACAAAAATATCCTTGCATTTGATTTAGCGCCTTATCGTGTCATTGAGACATTTTCTCGATTTCTTGTGCCCTGCTTGTCTCCAGTTCAGGACCAAGCTGTGAATTTGTAAATGAGAGTTTACAGCAATTTGACGATCCATGTGCGACCTCATGCATCTAGAGGTGCTATCACAGCTCAACGTGGAGGTTACTATGACAAACCGCACTGCAGGGGAGATCACCCTACAGTGGGTCAGCAACAGATACATTAAACCGAGCAAAGATCAGGAGATACCTCAGAACCACATCATAAGGGGGGGCGGTCAGGTGACAACTTAAGCCACAACAAGAAATTACATTCATATAGCATATTTTACATCAGAGAGATGCCCCAAGGAGCTGGACAGTCAAGAATTTGCACCAGAGCTGAGGATTGGGATCAGGAGGGATGTAGGGCAGATAGGGTGGGGGTAGGAGGGTTACGCGTTCGAGGAAGAAGGTCTTGAGATGTACTTTGAAGGAGCCAAAGGAGGGGATGAGGTGAAGGGACTGTGGAATGGAGTTCCAAATGGTGGGAGAGGCTGCTGATGGTGGGGTGGGGTGCGCAGGGGAGTGAACGTGGAGCAGGCCAGAGTCTGTCTCGCAGAGGGAACAGGTCTGCATGGCTTTAGCAAGTCACAGAGGTAGGGACGTGCAAAGTCGTGGAGGGCTTTGAAGGTGAGTTCGAGCATTTTTAACTCTATCTTCTGGGGGAATCGGGAGCCAGTGGAGCCTGGCAAGGATGGGGATGATTGGTTCGCAAACTGGTGCAGGAAAGGGCACAAGCTGCGGAATTCTGGATGATCTGCAGCTTGTGGAGGGAAGAGTTGGGAAGACTGACAAGCAGGGAGCTCAAGTAGATGAAATGCTCCACTGGCTCATCGATTTGTCCAATGGACACCACAATGAGAACTCATCTGGGAATCAGATCAAATGTTACTTTCAAAGCACAGTGAGGACAGTGTTAATAATGTGATTTTCTTTTAACTGGGGGAAGTGGGGAGAAGGTTGTTCGTTCATTCCTACGTGTCATGCTTTGATAACAGCAAGCATACTTGGTGCAGTTGACCAGTTAAACATTGAAGGGTTCACCCTTCTAAAGGAGTTACCCCTCATTTGTAAGAATATCATTTTGCCATGTGGCTCATCGGCAGGACTTGAGCAGACCAGTCACTGGGGCAGGGAATCCTCCCACTCAGCTCCTACAACGCCCTAACAAGTCGTGTGGTCTGAGATGGACAAGCAGCAAGAAAGCTTGCTGGACAATGAAATCAATAACAAGCTATGCGGTTTTAGCTGGTTAGAGTCCACCAGTTACCCCAACGGAGCGGAGTCCTGTAGCTCAGTGGTTAGAGCACTCGCTTTGCAAGCGAGAGACCTGAGTTCAATTCCAGACAGGGCGAAACCTTGGGCAAGTTTCCTTACTCCACACGCCTAATAATAATCCCTCCAAAACCAAAAACAATAATTAAATTGGTCATTTTCAATCTATGACTGTTTGTGGGACATTGCTGTGCGCAATTGGCTCCCGTATTCGCCCACAAATATGCAGTCAATTCACTTTACAGTATATCCTGTGAAGCGCTTTGGGACGTCCTCCCGATGTGAAAAGTGCTATATCAAATGCAAGGATTATTATTATAACGCACTCTCTGTGGTCCCCAAGCCTTGGCTCTTGCCAACCTATGCCTCATACATTCAGAAATTACGTAAGTAGGATTTGTCCCTCCAAGGAGAGAATGTGCATTCCATTCTGACAATCTATCTCTGGGGTTTCCATGTGTAGGTGGGATGCATGGAATTCTAAGTTGGGTTTGGATACTCTAAAGCACGGGTATGGGTTTCCACATGTGTCAGACACCCAGCTGACCAAAAAAAAGCGCGATTGTTCAGTCTTCAGCAATCTCTTTCATTGTCCGTCGTCTATTTAATTATTTATTCGCAGTCATTAGACCAGTGAGGTGGAATGAGTATGAGCCCAAACAATCGAGGAAAGGAAGGCAGGTGAAATTTAGTCATTATGAATTATCAAAAGTCCCTCAAATTGAACTTGATCGTTGTTTTCAAAACGCATGTAATTCAATCCACAATAATAACCATTTTTGCATTATACGTAGCACCTATCAAGTCACTGAGATGTTTCAAAGCACTTCACAGCATATAGTGTAAAGTGGACTTCACAGGATATATTGTAAAGTGTATTTTATCAACTCCAATCATGTTTTCTCCTTACATCTGCAGACATCCCAGCATGTAGGGGAGAGTATCACTGAATAGCAATTGGAATGGGAACATCACAGTGGAGTCCTGTAGCTCAGTGGTTAGAGCACTCGCTTTGCAAGCGAGAGACCTGAGTTCAATTCCAGGCAGAGGGCGAAACCTTGGGCAAATTTCCTTACTCCACACAGAGCCTAATAATAATCCCTCCAAAACCAATAATAAATTGGTCATTTTCAATCTACGACTGTTTGTGGGACACTGCTGTGCGCAATTGACTGCCGCGTTCGCCCACAAATATACAGTCAATTCACTTTACAGTGTGTTCTGTGAAGCGCTTTGGGACGTCCTCCCGACGTGAAAAGCGCTATATCAAATGCAAGGATTATTATTATTATTATTTTGTGAGTGAAACGCAGCAGTCAATTGCGCACTGCAATGTTCTACAAACAGTCATGGATTGAGTGAGCACATTTTTTTTTGGAGGGTTTATTACCCCCAGAAAGTGATCCACCAATCGACTAATAACTAACATGACTAAGGTTTCGCCCCACCCGGGAATCAAACCTGGGTCATCTCGCATGCAAGTAACTGCTATAACCACTACACTACAGGACTCCGCATTACAAAGAAGGCAACCTGGTTTTCTTTCTGAGGCAATCAAATCTGACAAAAAGATACAAACTGAACCTTTTATTCAGGGGAGTCAAGTCTCAAACATTTTCCAATAATTATTGAGGAAAAATATGCAGTGGTTCACTGGTGTGAAATAGACATTATTTCAAACTGACATTTATTAACATTGGGTTGTTATCGACTTCAAGATCCTCACACTCATGTGCAAATCCCTTCACTCTCTGGCACCTCCCTACCTCTCCAACCTCCTCACTCCACCATTCACCACCTGGCACCGGCCTCCTGCTCGTCACCTTACTTTCCACCCCACCATCTGAGATCGCTCTTTCAGCCCCTACTCCCCGAAACTCTGGAACACTCTTCCTCAATCCCTCCACCTCGCTCCCTCTCTCCCCTTTTTCAAGTCCCACCTGAAAGCCTACCTCTTTGACCGTCCTTACCCCACCTCCCCCCCTCGGAGTCAGGCTCCGCCAGTGTTAAGCGCTCTGAGACGCTACCCTGCGTGAAGGGGACTAAATAATTGCAAGTTGTTGTTGGTGGTGGCAGTTTGGTAACAAAAACATTTAAAAAGGTGTTATCATTCTGGGATGAACTAGAGTTCAACTGCTCATCCTCCCCTCTCTCGCTATTTGTCTCTTCAGTATCTCTTTCTCTCTCACACTCTCACTCAATCTCTCAGTTGTCACAATTGTCAGTCTTTCCCTTAGTCTCTCTCTGTCTGTCAGTCTTTCTCTTTCACTCAATCTCTCTGTCTCGCTCTGTCAGCTGTGTGTGTCTGTCTCTCTCTCTGTCTGTCTCTCTCTCTCTCTCTGTCTGTCTCTCTCTGTGTGTCTCGCTGTCTGTCTCTCGCTGTCTGTCTGTCTGTCCCTCTCTCTCTCTCTCTATGTCTCTGTCTCTCACTCTCTGTCTCTCTGTGTCTCTCGCTGTTTGTCTCTCTCTCTCTCTATGTCTCTCTCTCTCTCTCTCTCTGTCTGTGCCTCTCTGTCTCACTCACTCATTCTCTCTCCTGTCTTTTACTGTTCTCTATCCTCTCACATTCTTTCTTTCACACACTCTGTCTCTCTCTCTGTCTCTCTCTCTCTATGTCTCTCTCTCTATGTCTCTCTGTCTCTCCCTCTCTATGTCTCTCTCTATGCCTTTCCGTCTCTCTCTCTCTCTGTCTCACTCTCTCTCTATATATCTTTCTGTCTCACTCAGTCATTCTCTCTCTGTCTCTCTCTGTGTCTTTCTGTCTCTCTCCCTCTCTCTCTCTGTCTCTCTCTCTATGTCTATGTCTATTTGTCTCTATGTCTCTCTCTCTGTCTCTCTCTCTCTCTGTCTCTCTCTCTCTGTCTCTCTGCCTCACTCACTCAGTCATTCTCTTTCCTGTCTCTTACTGTTCTCTATCCTCACATTCGTTCTTTCACACACTCTGTCTCTCTCTCTATGTCTCTCTCTCTCTCTCTGACTCTCTCTCTCTCTGACTCTCTCTTTCTCTGTGTCTCTCTCTGTGTGTCTCTCTGTTTCTCTCTCTGTCTGTGTGTCTCTGTCTATCTCTCTCTCTCTCTATGTGTCTTTCTATGTCTCTCTCTCTCTCTCTCTCTATGTCTCTCTCTCTATATATCTTTGTCTCACTCACTCAGTCATTCTCTCTCCTGTCTCTTACTGTTCTCTATCCTCTCACATTCTTTTTCACACACACTGTCTCTCTCTCTGTCTCTCTATATGTCTCTCAGTCTCTCACTCTATGTCTCTGTGTCTCTCTCTCTTTGTCTCTCACTCTCTCTATGTCTCACTCTCTGTCTCTCTCTCTCTATCTCTCTCTGTGTCTCTCAGTCTCTCTGTCTCTGACTTTCTCTCTTTCTCTATGTCTCTCACTCTTTCTATGTCTCACTCTCTGTCTCTCTCTCTCTATCTCTCTCTGTGTCTCAGTCTCTCTCTGTCTCTGACTTTCTCTCTTTCTCTATGTCTCTCACTCTCTATGTCTCTTACTCTCTCTCTCTCCCTCTATGTCTCACTGTCTCTCTCTCTGTGTGTCTCTCAGTCTCTATGTCTCTCTCTTTCTCTCTCTCTGTGTGTCTCTCAGTCTCTCTGTCCCTCTCTGTCTCTCACTCTCTCTCTCTATGTCTCTCTTTCTCTCTCTCTGTGTGTCTCTCAGTCTCTCTGTCCCTCTCTGTCTCTCACTCTCTCTCTCTATGTCTCTCTTTCTCTCTCTCTGTGTGTCTCTCAGTCTCTCTGGCTCTCTCTGTCTCTCACTCTCTCTCTCTGTCTCACTCTTTCTCTCTCTCTCTCTGTCTCTCACTCTCTCTCTCTGTCTCTCACTCTCTCTCTGTCTCTCACTCTCTGTCTCTCTCTCTCTCTGTCTCTCACTCTCTCTCTCTGTCTCTCTCTCTCTCTGTCTCTCACTCTCTCTCTATGTCTCACTCTTTCTCTCACTCTCTCTCTCTCTCTCTGTCTCAGTCATCCTCTCTCCTGTCTCTTACTGTTCTCTATCCTCTCTCACTCTTTCTTTCACACACTCTCTCTCTCTCTCTCACCTCCAGTTGGCTTCCGCTCGCTCTGCGCAGCCTCAGTGCGAGCTGCCCGCTGAGCCCCGCGGGGTCCTAGCGCCGCCTCAGCTCCAGCCGATGGCCTATAAAGTGGGAACATTCTGAAATGTGACACAATTGTTGCCCAAAACTTCACATCTACCTTATATGATACCAGATTTGCGAGTGTTTGATTTGACGAGTTTTTTTGTATCTAATAATCATGCCCTACATTGCCCACATTGCCCTACAAAATGTGCGCTCTCTCTCCACAAAACCCTCGCCGTCAACATCAATATCCTCACCCGCACAGAAACCTGGATCATCCCAGACAACACCTTCCCCCTGACTGAGGCTACATCACCCAACTATACCTTCCACCATACCCAACAACATACCCACCGTGGTGGTAGTGTGGCTCATTTCCAAGTCCTCACTTCCCCTTCCTCATATTCCTCCAGTTCCTTCCCCTCCTTCGAGTACCTTACCCTTTACCATACCTCCAATCTTTCCTTAAAAATCTTCTTTTATCATCCTCCCAAACCCTCCCCCATCGTCCTGTCCGACATCGCCACCCTTCCAGCTTCCATCTACCTCTGCTCCGAATGCCTCCTCTTCCTAGGCAACTTCAACCTTCACTTCACCCACTCTTGCTCTATCTTCGCTGAATTCTCCCTCTCACAATCTCACCCTCCTCATCCACTCTGCCACTCATGTAATGGCCACCCGCTTGATCTGGAGATCACCCTCAACTCGGATCTCAACATCACCGACAAAGCCATCTCGGACCACTACTTCATCTTCCTTAATTCCTAGAGTAATCTGAACTCCTCCCCCTCTGGGCTTCCTCCCGCATCAACTTATCTTCCTCAGTCACTCTCTTCCACAGCTCCCTCTTCACCACTTTTGATGCCCTTGCCCCCGACCCCTCCCGAATGACCGCCTACTCATACAATTCAACCTAGTAGACTAGCCAACGCATGCACCTGTCTCAAATCTAATTTAACAGTCCATTGGCAGATCTGGCTGGACTGCATAAAAACTTACCATTCTGCCCTCGCCTCTGTTAAGTCGGACGCTGGACTTCCTCCACAACGCCCCCACCCACACCTGCTCGAGCCCAAATCCCTGACTGTCCAGCACCTTTGCCCAATATTTGCCCAGAAAATATAATCAATTAACTTTCCATTATGTCATGTGAAGCACTCTGAGATGTCTCAAAGACGTGATAAGGCATTATATCAAATGGAAGGATTATTATACCTGATTTGTAAGTGGTTAATTTGATTTGATTGTAAATTATTTTTGTACATTTAATTTGTGCTCAATGCAAGGTACTAAAAGTAGACTTTGTTCAATTCCTTGTCCTGATGTCCCACAACTGAAAAATTCATTTCCTAAGATTTTGAAAATGATAATAATCTTCATCATCATCTTTGCATTTCATATAGCACTTTTCACATCAGGAAGACGTGTTAATGCGCTTCACAGGATTTAGTGTAAAGTGGCGTGACTGTGTATTTTGTGGGCAAAACACAGCAGCCAGTTGCACACAGTGTCCCACAAACAGCCATGGAGTGAATGATCGATTTTATTTGGAGGATTGTTGGCCAGGGCACCGGGAGGGAGATAAGCTCCCTTGTTTAAATCATTTATGATGTGAAAGGCATTGTACCAAATGTAAGAGATTATTAGTAAAAGCTTAAATTCCTATCTTGAAAGTAACATTGTCAGCCGAGGCTCCGACGTGGGGCTTGGACTCACAACCTCTGACTTAGAGGCGAGAGTGCTATACCAACTGAGCGAGGCTGACACCAGACAATAATAAAATAATCCTTGCATTTGATATAGTGCCTTATGCAATTGAGATGTCTCAATGCACATCACAGAATATACTGTGAAGTGGATTGATTGTGTTTGTGTGCGAAACTTGGCAACCAATTGCACACAGCAATGTCCCACAAACAGCCATGGATTGTGACCAATTTTGTTTTGAGGAATTATTACCCCCATAGAGCGATCCGCCAATTGACTAACAACCGGGTTCCTCTTTACTGGAAGCACGTGGAGTAAGGAAACTTACCTAAGGAATTGAACATGGGTCCTGTCATTTGCGGCGAGGGTTCTAATCACTACGCTATAGACTCCACAATAAATGGTAATTGGCTGTTTACTGGTTTGGGTTTAATCTCTTAGGTATCAACTGCTGTTGTTTTGTGCTGTTGATGCCTTGAAATTGACAAGCCTGGCAGTGTAACAGCATTATCAATGATGGGCAATGGGCCAACCAAGCCAGGCCCTCAAATCCAGATGCTGATCGCAACCTCCACCAGTGTTGAGCACCACCTGTATTTGAAGCCCTGGTATTCTGGCCAACAATCTCCCAAATAAAATTGGTCACTTATTTCATGGCTGTTAGTGGGACATTACTGTACATAATTGGGCTACTATGCTCACCTACAAAATATACTCATTGCACTTTACAGCAATACTGTGAATCGCTTTCAGATATTTGCCGCCCATGAAAGTGCCATATCAAATGTAAGGCTTATTATTATCATTACAGGGTCTGAGATCTAAAATTCTGTGCTCACGATAACATGAATCACTAATTTTATCTGGGGGATTGTTAGCCAGGACTCAAGAGAAACTCCCAGAACTTTAATGTCCAACATTAAAGTCCCGTCAGACGGGAATAGGCGGACGGGACCTTGGTCGAACGTTTCATCTGAAGGATGGCACCTCCAACAACGTAGCACACAACCAGTACCACGTTGGAGTGTCAGCCTAGACTGTAGGTAGAAAGACGTCTTGAACACAGAACCTTTTGACTCAGAGGCAATAGTGCTGCCAACTGAGCTGGGCTGAAAAATGGTTCTTGTTGGTTCTTTACCCTAATTCCATTCCTGCAACGGGTTCAAGCTGTGTACTGCTCTTCGGAAAATGCATGGGGTCTGCGTGTGCAAATAAAATGTGGGATTCAGCAAACTAAATCTCAAGCAAGAAGTTGGGAAGGGAATAGGAATGGAGATGAAGAGAGTAAATAACCCAAGAGAAGCCATAACCAAAGGGTGAAAAAAAGTCAAACAAACTTGGCAAATAAACATGAAACACACAGGGCACATGGCCCGGGTCAGGAGGCAAGTCAGAGATAAAATGCTTTATTCTCATCCTGAAACATTCTCGTTGAGTCTGCTGTGAGTTAACGGAAATATCACAAAATGTTCATCCGTAAAAAGATTTCATGAGCATCACACAACGTGACGTTGGTAAAATGTGAAATCGGTCGATGGTTACCGGTGGAATACAGCAATGAGGCATATTTTTTTTTAGTTGTCAGAGAATTCAGCAGGTCAACCTTGTCTTATATACAAAAATATCGTACAAGACAATACTGTAAGCGAGTCCGATACAGTGTGGGTATTGCGAAACCATATCGAGATTTAGGAAGCTAAATTAATCGTACAAACATTTTTTTTCTCTCTCTCTGATAAAATACAGACATTTAGGTCATCCTGCACTTAAAAAACGCAAATTACATTACTGATAAATGATGTGCAGCCCCTCAGAGCCAAAGGAATCAGAGTTAAAGAGAAGTACAGTACTGTACTAGCATTTTAATAAATGCTCAATAAAATTAACATGTTCCTATATGTTCACATATAGTCACTAAACAGCATATAAATACTAAACATATATTAGGAATTTGTTCTTCCAACATTCAATGTTGTAAGTTAATATGGCTGAATTCTTATAAAAACACTTATGTACAAATCTTATCAATAGATAAAACATTTGGCAACATGACATTCGCACTGTATAATCTCTCTCTCTCTCTCCTTTCTCAAGCGCTTCACTTGAGCAAATACTAAAAAGGTCAAATTGTTTGTGAAAATGCCTACAGAAATTGTAATTCATATTAAAAACCGCTCACGATTTGCCACTCTTGTTCATGTTTTTAAATCAAATTCATGTTCTCTTCTTTCCCTCCCCCACTTACTTTCACTCCCCCACCCCCAACCAACCATTACAGACCTACCTCCAAAATAAACCTTTTGAAATCCCATGGTACAAAAGCATTGCACTGAAACGAGGCATGAGATTTAGGGCAAGCAAATGAGCTGCGGGTTGCGTTCCTCTCATATGATGGCAATAATTTTAAACCACTGGTACAGATGTCATCAAATAGGTCAGATACCCAAAGGCAACCGCTAGAACAGCTGGAGATTCACCATCTGGACCAGGTGAACTCAGGCCAAAGAAAAGCAACTCTCTCCTCCAGCAGAATGGACATTTGCTTCTGTGTATCAGCGGCTCAGAGAAAGTTGGGGGACGGCAGAATTATTGAGCAGCACATAGGGAGGGGAAGGAGGCAAGCCAAGGAAACATATGAGGCTGAAGGATTAAGCTTAAAGTCAACTGCGGTTATTCTAACTCTTGAAGAAAACTACTCTTCCACTTGGTTTGCTCCTGCTGCAACTTCAATTCCTCCCTCCTCTGCACCCACTCACCCACCCCCTCATTCCTTTCCACCAGTGCTACAACACAATATTGCACTGAACATTTTAATACTTAACCAAAGCTTGTTGTATTAATTAATAATGCTTTTGTTTTTTTATACAGCAGCCATGAAAAAAAGGCATTTTAAACAGAACAGCAACACTGTTATTATTGTCAATGTATTTTACATTTCACACTCAACACATGTTGGTTAATCCGAATGAATTAGCATATGACAGAAATCCAGAATTCCCTGTTCCTCTCACAACATAGGATCCCTTGGATGCAAATCCCGAACCCTGGTAGCTACTTGACCTGGTTATTTTAGCATCTAAGGGCCCAAGTTTGGGTCCTCACTTTGACAGGCATTTGACCACCATTGGAGTCTTACAGGTGACTCACCCAGGTCAAACTCCATTCTCACTCAGCCAAAGCTCTGTTGAAATTGAGACTGAATATTAATAATAATCCTTGCATTTGATATAGCGCCTTATCCATGCCATTGAGAAGTCTCAAAGCGCTTCACAGAATATATTGTATAGTGCATTATGTATTTTGTGGGTGAAACACGACAGCCAATTGAGTATAGCAGTGTTCCACGAACAGTTGTGAATTGAGTGTCCAAATATGTTTTTGGAGGAATTATTACCCCTGGAAAGCGATTCGCCAGTCGACTAAGAACCAGATTCCTACTTAGTGCTGGGTAAACAGAGGCATGTGGAGTAAGGAAAACTTGTCTAAGGTTTCGCCCTGCCTGGGAATTGGACCTGGGTACTCTTGCTTGCGAGGCAAGTGCTCTAATCAATACGCTACAGAACTCCACCTGTACGGGACACAGACAATTGTAAGGTTTTGTTCACTCAGGACTCTGGACACAGGAGGTTGGTGATGTTCCCAATAGTTTTGCGCAAATTGGCGGCCATATTCGACCGCAAAAAATACACAGTCACTTCACTTTATAATGAATCCTGGAAAGCTCAGTGAGCCGTGAAAGATGTTATCATAAAATTATTATCATGATAATAAGATGTCTCATGAGTTTGGCATTTGCCCTCACTGACAGAATGTAGCAGAGCATGCTGTGCAAGTGTGAATCAGTCTCATTGGTTGACAAGAGACAGCTCACAGCTGGCCCATTTCCAATTCAGAAACAAGTCAACTTGGCACAATGGGGGCTGTGGGGAGGACAACAACATCCAGAGCCCTAACTTGAGATAGACCATAATGTGTCGTTGCCAAGGTAGCACCCAAAACTGGTTCTCTTAAATCTAGCTTACAACAACACATTGCATTTATAGAGCACCCTTATATAGCGTTTCGGGATTTATAGCATTTATATATCATCTGGGAGCACAGTAGCGAAGTTTGACGCTGAACCAAGGAGAGAGGGCAAAATGTCCATAGGAACAGCCAAAGAGGAAGGTCTATAGGTGCAAATGGAGAAGGAGGGATTGAGGCAGAGTTTCAGAGTTGAACAACTCATAGAAACAACTTGCAACAGGTGCAAGATCATCAAATCAGGAAACAATAGAAATGAAGATCAACACCCCCCATTCCCCCCACCACCACTATTTGTGATGAAGTAGGTGGTAGGGTAAGTGTTCTGGAGGGATGAGGTCTGATGGGCCAAAGGACCTTCTTTATCCAGATCAATCTTGGGTTCTTGTGACTTCCCGGTTTTAAAAAAAATTATCGTCCTTGCATTTGATATGACATCGATCATTGGTCAAAAGTCACAAAGTGTTGCACAGGGAATTGCTGTGTATTTGTAGGAGATACAAATTGTGCACAAATATAGATGTAATGACCACACTGTAAGGTACGACGGACAGCTACTCTCCCAGTTCACCTTCAACTAATTTAAGAAGAAACGTGATGCAGACATGAAGGAGAAGGGAACAGTAGGGTATACGTGAGGGTAATAGGAGGATTTGTGTGGAGTACAAACTCCGGCACGTACTTGCTGGGCCGAGTGGCCCATTGCCGTGCTGTTATCACTCTATATCGGTCTATCCGAGATGCTAAGCTGCGTGAAGGGCATTGATAAATGCAAGTTTTTGTTGCATGTATATCTTTGTGTGTCTCAGTGCACACTGAGTCAAAGCTCACCAGAAATCCAGGTCAGTGTGTGGAGACGGGATCAAAGCAATTACCCCAGCTCCAGTTTTGTTTCCAGACTGTGAGCAATATTCTTCCTTGGTCTGGCCCCCACCACGGAGAGCGAAGGAATTCTGGAGGCCAGATGTCAATGGTGGACAAGGGGAATCGCCGAGCCCTGCAATACTAGACTGCCTTTCGAGCACGTCTGGGACTGTAACCATCAACAATAATAATAAAAATAATAATCCTTGCATTTGATATAGCACCTTACCACGTCATTGAGACTGTATATTTTGCAGGTGAACTGAGGTTCCCAATTGCGCACAGCAGCGTCTCACAAACAGTCATGGATTGAGAGATCACATTTTTTTAAAAAGGGATTATTACCCCCGGAAAGCAATCCACCAATCAACTAGCAACCGGGTTCCTACTTACCGCTAGGTAAACAGAGGTGTGTGGAGTAAGGAAACTTGGCTAAGATTTCACCGCGCATGGGAATTGAACTCAGGTCCTCTCACTTGTGAAGTTAGCACTATAACCACTACACTACAGGACTCTAAAGCAGAGTGAAAAGCTGGGGCTTGGATGCAGGTAACGAAAGGCAAAGAAAACTACAAATGAAAGGACGAGTCCCACCACCAGCACCCGTTCAAGGGCCAAAAAGGGGAGATCGCATTGGCCCGTCATCTTGCCCCGTGCACACGTCAAGCTTGACAAACAAAGCCCTGCGTGGAAAAAAAAACAAGCAAAAAAAAAAACTCTGCAATCCGTGCTCACAGAGGTTCCACATTGCAAAGCGTGCACCCCGACAGCGTTCAGGGCGACGTTCAACTTCTCTTGTCCCCACTAGGATGGCTGGGATCAGGTAGGTGTGTGCAAGTCCTCCTCTAAGGGGCTTTCTTTTTTGCTTTGCCCATCAGACCAATTGCATATGACACAACAGTGCTCCACTACACGCATGTGGAATGACGGCCGAAATGGGTACGTACATACACATGGTCAACATGGTCTTTCTAAGAGTAAGGTGCCCACCTGGATTCTTTTGGTCAAATTAGCATTTGGGTTATAAACACAACGCATGTCTCAATAGCGTCGCAAGACCCTCCCCCCTCCCACCACCTCCAAGACCTCAGCCTCAGCCTCAGCCGCCCCTACAGCTGGGAGACCTTCCGAGGGTGTGGCCGGGGTCTGACCAGGAGTTCGTCCTTCCTGCTCTCCCCCTCCGACCTGTGGATGCGCAGCAAGTGTGGTTTGGGAGGGAGGGCAGGGGGATCGGCGCTGGCAGGAACGGACAGGCTGTGAGGTAGCGGGGCTCGGCGCCGGCACGAGCTGGGCACGTGTTCGGAGACGTTGTACCGCGGCGGCAGGCTGGGCAGGATCCCGTTCTCCTTTTTGGCCGTCTCTTCGGGGCCCATCAGGTTGCAGGTGATAGGCCCGTCCATCAGGGTGGTTTCAGTCACGCTGCCCCTGCTGAGCGAGGAGATCCCACTACTGCTGCTTCCTGATAGCAGAGGCGAGTTGTACACGGGCCCCAAGGTCTGGTAGTCAGTGGGAGAAGGAGTTAGTGACTGCACAGAGCTCTGTCCCCATAAAAAAAAGGGAAACAAGACTGGTTAGACATCAGATAGCACCTCTGTACAGCTTAATTTCAATAACTACACCAACAAATTGCATTATTATAATAATAATCCTTGGATTTGATATAATGCCTTATCACATTGTTGAGAAGTCTCTAAGTGCTTCACAGAATATATTGTAGATTAATTGTGTATTTTGTGGGCAATATGAGGCAGCCAATTGTGCACAGTAATGTCCCACAAACAGTCGTAAATTGAGTGACCACATTTTTTTAGCCCCAGAAAGCGATTCGCCAATAGACTAACACCGAGTTTCCATTTACTCCCAGATAAACAGAATAATAATAATAATAATAATCCTTGCATTTGATATAGCGCTTTTCACGTCGGGAGGACGTCCCAAAGCGCTTTACAGTACACACTGTAAAGTGAATTGACTGTATATTTGTGGGCGAACGCGGCAGCCAATTGCGCACAGCAATGTCCCACAAACAGTCGTAGATTGAAAATGACCAATTTTATTATTGTTTTGGGTTTTGGAGGGATTATTATTAGGCGTGTGGAGTAAGGAAACTTGCCCAAGGTTTCGCCCCACTCCCTTCTCTTTTCCAGTAGTGCCATGGGATCCACCTGGACAGGCAGACAAGACCTTCTTTTCATAGAATCATAGGATCATAGAATCGTACAGCACAAAAAGAGGCCATTCAGCCCATTGAGTCTGTGCCGGCTCTTTGAAAAGAGCAACATAATGTCAATCCCACTCCCCAGCCCTTTCCCCATAACTCTGCAAACCCGTCCTCCTCAAATACCCATCCACCGCGTTTCCAAAAGTTGTTATTGAATCGGCCTCCACCTTCTTACAAGTCTTTTATGTGGCACTTTGTCAAATGCCTTTTGAAAGTCCATATAAACTACATCTACTGCACCAACTTCATCCACTTTCTCCATTACCTCATCGAAAAATTCTATTAGATTTGTTAGACAAGATTGCTGGCTGTCCCTAATTAACCCATATTCTTCTAAGTGAAGATTTATTCAGTCGGATTATAGTTTCCAGGAGTTTCCCCACTACTGATGTTAGGCTGACTGGCCTGTAGTTCCCAGCTTTGTCCTTCTGCCCCTTTTTGTACAGGGGAGTAACATTGGCCACTCTCCAGTCCTCTGGCACCACCCCTGTGTCCCACAAAGATTGAAAAATTGTAGCCAAAGCCTCCGCTATTTGTACTCGTGCCTCCCATAGTAACCTTGCTGCATCCCGTCCGGACAGGGCGACTTGTCTACCTTGAGCCCAGTCAACCTTTTCAGTACTTCCTCTCTGTTTATACTTATCCTATGCATTTCCTCTACCCTCTCCTCCGATACTGCGGCATTTGGTGCATCCACTTCTTTTGTGAAGACAGATGCAAAGTACTCATTCAGTACATCAGCCATGCCCTCTGCCTCCACAATAAGATTTCCCCCCTTGGTCCTTAATTGGCCCGACCCTACCTCTGACTAACCTTTTTTTCTTGATATGTTTGTAAAATATTTTAGGATTCCCTTTAATGTTACCTGCTAACCTTCTTTCGTATAATCCTTTTTCCCCTCTTATTTCCTTCTTCAGTTGATGCCTCATGTTCAGGGCCAATAGAAAATTGCGAAAATATTGCTTAAAAATTATGGGGGAATTTGACAAGTTTTCAGAAAATTGCAGGAGGTGATTGGTGCTATTGAGAGGCACATTTTACTGCTAACCTACACACGCCTAATAATAATCCCTCCAAAACCCCAAACAATAACAAATTGGTCATTTTCAATCTACGACTGCTTGTGGGACATTGCTGTGCGCAATTGGCTGCCGCTTTCGCCCACAAATATACAGTCAATTCACTTTACAGTCTATTCTGTGAAGCGCTTTGGGACGTCCTCCTGACGTGAAAAGCGCTATATCAAATCCAAGTATTATTATTATTATTATTATTATTTTTGCACCTAGATGATTGTTTGGGGAAGGCCAGAGGTGAGGCCCGAGCCTGGCAGAGGAGTGAAAGCAGGAGCATCTCACTTTCATTCACTTTGTGCCTAGTGTCCAGAGACATTAAAGCAAACAAAAAGTGGCCAAAACGTACCCCAAAGGCTCTCTGCAATCTTCCATCACACCAAGCTCCGAACTAGCGCCAGTTCGACAAAAGAATAAAACAGTTGAGTAACTATTTATAGTTAATATAACAACAACAAAATTACATTTGTAAAGAGCCTTTCACATCAGGAAGACATCCCAAGCCCCTGGCCAGTCAGAGTTACGGATCTGAGCCGGGGGTCAAGGTGGGGGAGGGTAGAGGCAGGGAGGGAAGGAGGGAGATCGAAAGCACGATCGAAGAGGAGGGTCTTGAGATGGGTCTTGAAGGTGGTGAGGGATGGGGCGAGACAGAGGGACTACAGAATGGTGATGGTGCAGAGGGTGATGTCGGAGAAGCAGAAGGCACGCCCACCAATAGTGGGGCGAGCAAGGCGGGGGACGTGAAGCAGGCCGGAGCCCGCTGAACGAAGGGAGCGAACAGGATGGTAGGGGGTTAGGCGGTCACAGAGATATGGATGAGCAAGACCGTGGAGGGCTTTGAATGTGAGGACCAGGATCTTGAACTGTATCCTCTGTGTGATGGGAATCCAGTGAAGTTGGGCAAGGATGGGGGTGATAGGGTCACGGAGCCTAATGCGGGAGAGGACACGGGCTGCAGAGTTCTGGATGATGTGCAGCCTGTGGAGGGAGGAATTGGGGAGGCCGACAAGCATTGAATTTGCATAGTCGAGCCTCGATGTAATGAAAGCGTGTATGAGGGTTTCTGTGGCCTGCGATGTGAGACAGTGTCGGAGCCAGGCGACGTTGCGGATGTGGGGGAAGGCAGAGCGGCTCATGGCATAGATGGGGGGGCTATAAAGGATAGTTGAGAGGCCGGACTGGCTTAGTAAGGTGGAGTGTGCAACCATGGATGGTGATGCTGTCAGCGCCTGAGATGTGGAGGCGCTGACGGGAGCCAATCAGGAGAGCCTCGGTCTTGTTGATGTTCAACTGAAGAAAATTAGCTCTCATCCAGGACTTGATGTCTGACAGACATTCTCAGGACAGCAGTGGTCCTGGAGTCAAGGGTGGAGTCAGAGAAGTAGAGTTGGGTGTCATCCGCGTGCATGTGGAAGTTGACCCCAAGTCTACGGATGAAGTCACCAAGAGGGAGCATATAGATATTAAAGAGGAGGGGACCAAGGACAGAGCCCTGAGGAATGCCGCACAAGACGGTCGGGGGGCTAGAGGAGATGCCGTTTATGGAGATGAAGTGCCATTTGCAGATAATAAAGTTTAATGTGCTGGATGGGAACAGACCACTCCTCTTTCTTCCTCTCTCGTCCCATTCTCTTTGCCAATGATCTTGAAGTGTGTTTTTAGTACAGTAATTGTCTGGCTTGTTCTCTCCTCACCAACTAGTTGCTCACATGTGCAGTCAAACGCATCAATAGAGGCAGACTGCAGCTCCCACCAATTCCTCATGGCAAGCGATGCGGCCACCTGAGCTCTCGCCCACCTCCCTGCCGCCCAATGGCCTCTTCCAACAACAACAGTGTCCCGGAGCACTTGATAGTGGCAGAGTCTGACAAGCCAGGGGGAGAGGGAGGAGGAGATGACTAAGCACAATCAAAAAGGAAGGTCTTTAGGCAGGATTTGAAAGTGGGGAGGGAGGGGCAAGGAGGAGGGATTGAGGGAGAGAGTTTCAGAGCATAGTGGCTGAAGGCACGGCCACCGATGGTGGAGCGGAGGAACAAAGTACAAACAGGAGGCTGGAGCCAGCCTAGCGGAGGCAGTAGGGGGAGTCGGGGGTAAGCAGGTCAAATAGGTAGGGAGGTGTGAGGACATGAAGAGACTTGAAAACAAGTGAGAGGATTTTTATGTTCTCAACACTAAATGTGTAGAAAACTCAGCTCCAATTATTTTCAGCTCCAAGGTGCAAATCAAACAATCCAACCAAAAACCCTCTAGTCAGTTCTCCCTGCTTTTCTACCTCCTGATCCCCTTTTATTGGTCCTAGTTAATTGGTCCTCAGTTTCTTAATAGGTATCCAACATCTTCCCCTTTTTGGTTTCTTCTTATTTTTTTTCTCAGTATATTAATCTTGTTCAATTTGTCTCCGTGTTGGTTTTACTACTCTTCCTGACCTGGTGGTTCTCAATGTTTCTGTCACCCTCAGATCTTCCTTCTGCTCTTCTTTTTCTTCCTCTGTCCTTCTTTGGCGTATTTCCCATGATGTTCTTCTATATATTTTTCTTGATTTTTGGTTCAGTTTGTGGTTTCACTCCATTTCTATTATGTTGTTCAATTGTTGTGGGTCAAGACATACTCTTTATGATTTATCTGTTTTTTCTTCCGTCTCCTTTTGTTTGTAGTCTTCTGTCGCCATACTCCAAATTCTTTTGAGCAATCCCATTTCAATGTTATCTTTCAGTCCGAGCAGAGTATCGGCTTTTAATTTTATAATGTGAAACTTTATCTTGTATGATCTGTCTTTGTGCTCCACTTCTATAGCTACTCTGCCCACTTTCTCTATTTCTCCTTTGTTATAGGCCAATAGTCTATTTTTCCCTTTACAAATTTGTCTTTATTGGATTCTCCCAGCTGTATATACTCTTCTAATGACAATTTGAAAAGGGGAAAAAAAATAATAAATTGGTCACTTCAATCCACGACCGTTTGTGGTATACTGCTGTGCGCAATTGGCTGCTGCATTTCGCCCACAAATATACAGTCAATTCACTTTACAGTATACTCTGTGAAGCGCTTCGAGATGTCCAGAAGACCTGATAAGGTGCTATATCAAATGCAAGGATTATTATTATTATTACACTTGCCTGAGCTCCGGTGTACAATTTACACCTTAACCGTTTCCTTTCTTCTGTGCACCATAGCGATATCATGCACTCCCTTTTCTCTTTTTCTGTATGCCATGATTTTTATTGCGTCAATATTATTCTCCTCTTCTTGTTCAGTCACTCCAGATTCCGTATCAGAATTGTCCCTTATTTCATCTTGCCTTGATCTTATTTGCTCTATTCTAGTTCTATGTGGCTTATTTGAGCTTTGTTTCGTCCTGTACTCTTTTTCTCCTGGATTTCTCTGCCATAACTCCTATGGGTTCTCTTTGTCCACTTCTGCCTTGTCTTGTGTAATGTCCATACCAATGACACACATAACACGCTGAACATTGCCAAAAAGGAGGCACTAATCCACACTTCTCACGTTTCCTGTATATGTGTTTGCCTTTTAAACCTGTATATCCTCCGTACTACATATTCCACATCTGGATCATTCCAGCTTCTTCTTTGAGCTAATTCATTGATTTCCATCTTCTCTTATGCATTTCTATCAATCGTGTGTACTTTGGACATTATTTCTATACCAACTACTTGCAGAGCTTTTTGCAGCATTATACTGTCCTCTTTCAAGAGCTTGCTGCATATTTTATTGTCTTTCAACCCTGATCATCTCTTCCCTTAAAGCTCCATAATTACATGTTTTATTTAGTGATGATAATACCACACAATAATGATGAAATTATTCCATAGGCCCTTGCTGCCTTGTTCTACATTTGTATCTATGCACTGTGACATTGTTATATCCACAACCTCTTTCGTGCATGACCTCTATCATTCCATCTAATGGCATATCCACATTTTTCTCCGTAGTTGCAAAGTAATCACTTGCTTCTTCTCCTGTCAGATTTAAGAAAATAGCCGACTGCTGTACTTGTAGCAATTTCTTCACATTTGAGGCTAGCACAAATATATAATAATCCTTGCATTTGATGTAGCGCTTTTCACGTCTTCTAGACGTCTCAAAGCTCTCCACAGAATAGACTGTAAAGTGAATTGACACTATATATTTCGGCGAAACGCAGCAGCCAATTGCACACAGCAGTGTCCCACAAACAGTCGTGGATTGAGGTGACCAATTAAGTGTTTTTTTTCTTGAGGAATTATTATCAGACATGTGGAATAAGGAAACTTCACCCTGCTGGGAATTGAACCCAGGTCTTCTCGCTTGCAAGGCAAGTGGTCTAACCACTGAGCTACAGGACTCTTAATATTTTGAAATCCCACTCAAATCTTTGTCAATTATACCTTGTTACCGTCTAACCTCAATGTTTGTGGTATTTGCAGATATCTTGTAGATATATTTGCAGAGCATCTGACTCTGCTTCTCCAACATTCATTTTGTCTTCTTTTATCATCCCTTTTCCAGATCCGTTAACTTTTACTTCTGAAACCATGATATGTTCTCAACAGTCAATGTGTAGAAAACTGTTTTATTCTCAGCTCCAAGTTACAAATCAAACAATCTATCCCAAAACCCTCTAGTCAGTTGTTCCTGCTTTTCTTCCTCCTGATCCCCTTTCATTAGTCCTAGTTAATTAGTCCCTGTTTTTTTAAAGGGTATCCAACAAGGATCTTAAAATTGATCCATTCGGTAATTGGGAGCCAGTGGAGCCTGGCAAGGATTGGTGTGATGGGGGTACGGAGTTTCGTGTGGAGAATCCAGGCGGTGGGAGTTCTGAATTAGTTGAGTTTTGCCCCGTGCCCGGCCCGCCATTGGGTGAGGGCAACACCAATCAGGATTGGTCACCTGCCATTGAGTGGAAAAGCCACCCTGAATTGTTATTGGTCAAGAGGGCGCCAAACAACCACCCATCCATCTCTGCAGCAGTGAAGGGCCTGACCTGTCCTGGCACTCGGCCACTCACACACCTCGCCTGCCAGGTTTCGCGCAGAGTGTTGGATTTTGTGGATTCAGCGGAAAATTGTGGCCACATTTTTCTATTGGCCCAGCACATGTCCTGCAAACAACCATGAAGTGAGTAACCAACTTTATTTGGGGGGATTTTTGGCCAGGACACTGAGAGGGAGAAACTCCCTTCTCTTTTCAAATAGTGCCATGGGATCTTTCAAGTCCACCTGAACAGACCGATGGGTCCTCAGTTTAACGTCTCATTCGAAGGTCTGCATCTCCAATAAGCGACACCCCCAGCACTGCATTGGAGCATCAGCTTAGGCTATGTGATTCCAATTCGAGGAACCTTCTGACTCAAAGGCAAGTGCGCTAGACTGAGCCAGGCTGACACACACAAATTGCCATTTGACAGACATGGATCACCCTGAGCTTCTGGTTTCTTGCCATTTCAACTCTCACTCACACTCTGACCTCTCCATCCATGGTCTCCTACGATGTTCTAATGAGCCACAGCGCAAGCTCGAGGAGCAGCACCTCATTTATCTGCTAGGGACCTTAAAGCCCTCTGGTCTAAATATTGATTTCAACAATTTCAGGCCATAACAGCTCACCTTCCCCCTCCCCCTCTACTGTGACCATTACCACATCATCTAGGTCCCAGACACCTTTCTCTCGCTGGTCTGCCTATTTTGTTGCAATTCCTCCCCCCATCCTCTGTTTTGCAGTATTAACACCTCTATTCCCCTGTTTTATTGCAATCCCCTCCTTTGTTCTGCATCATTGACACCTCTTTAACCCATCATCCCCTGTCCTCTACCCCATTTTCTACTTTGTCTTCCTTGCCCTGCATCCCCCCTCTCTGTTAGCCCTTAAAAGCCTCTTCCCTCCCAACATGCCCCAGTTCTGACGAAGGGTCATGGACCCAAAGCGTTGACTCACTTTCCTTTCTCCATAGATGCTGCCTGACCTGCTGAGGTTTCCCAGCTCTCTCTGTTTTTGTTTCAGATTTTCAGCATCTGCAGTATTTTGTTCACGGATCACACTGTGTTGCGATGCCCTCTGCTGCCTTGTTCCATTATTACACAGAGAACAGTCATGCTGCAGAACGAATTGGAGTTACAATCCCACTTAACAGGGTCTTGATAAGAAGGCTACAGAGCAGAATTTTACAGCCAATCAGAGGCCTGAAACAGGACCTAGTCTCTTTCTGTAACCCTATTATGCCCACAAAATAACCCGCAGTCACAACACATTACAGGATAATGTCCAGAACAGCAGAACCAGAGGATATGGTAAATTCAAAACCCCAGAAAGCGATCCGCCTAACAACGTACTGCTGGGTAGGTTTCGCCCAGCCTGAGAATCAAACCCAGACTCTCTCGCTTGTGAGGCGAGCACGCTAATCACCATTGGATGGGACCAGAGGGGATCTGCAAATCTGCCAATGGTAATGAAGGATACAACTGTGCGAGACTACTGAAGTTTAACCACAACAGTAATCGGATATATTGTAGAGCAAAGGGTATGTGTGCATTTTCAAAGGAACCCTTGCATAGACCGCACCTACCTTATGAGGAGATCTGGGAAGTGCAGGAGGAGCATCAAACGTCTGTGGAGAAAATGACCTGAAACTCTTTACAGGCGACTCTATTTCATCAGATGGAAAAGAAATACAACACGTTGTAAAGAGCAAACACATTTCATATAACTTGCATGATTCAACAACAACAACAAATTACATTTACTCCTTTCACGTTGGAAGGAGATCCCATAGCAGTGGACAGTTAAGGGTTTGCACCTGAGCTGGGGGTTGTAATCAAGAGGGGTGGAGGGTAGGGAGAGTGGGGGTGAGAGTGTGTCTGAATGCATGGTCAAAGAGGAAAGTCTTGAGATGGACCTTGAAGGAGGCAAGGGAGGGGCAGAGGGGCCCCGGAATAGAGTTCCAGAGTGTGGGAGCAGAAAGGCTGAAGGCCTGACCGCTGATGGTGGAGTGGGCAGGGCAGGGGATGTGGAGCAGGGAGGAGGGAGCAGACAGATTGGTATGGTGTGAATTGGTCTCAGAGGTAGGGAGAAGAAAGGTCGTGCAGGGCTTTAAAAGTGAGGGCAAGGTGGTGGTGTTGTTGTCACACAAGAGTCCGTTGGCACAATCCAATTGACTGGAGGAATTCACTGAGTCTTCCCCTCCTGCATGCAACCCCCCTACCACCCACTCAACCCCCTATGTACCAAGCACTTGAAATTCTTCATGGTTTTAGCATTGAGACCATTGTCTTCAAATTTGGGAGGAATTTGGAAAAGAATCTCAAATTCAGTCGTAATTTGGAAGTTCCACTGAAGAAACTGCACGAAAAATATAAAACATTGGAACACAAGCCTGTTCTGCCATTATATTGAATCAAAGGCTGATCTGTACCTCAACTCCATTTACCTGCCTTTGCTCCCTTTGTACCTTTACCCAGCAAAAATCCATCCACCTCAGTCTTGACAATTTCAATTGATCCATCCAACATCCACAGACCTTTGGGGGAGAGAGTTCCAGATTTTCACTCCCCTTTGTGTGAAAAATTGCTTCCTGATTTCACTCTTACAGGCCTCCAAATGTATTCGACTTGATGAATTCAAGACTGTTTTCCAAACTTGCACACAATGCTGCACTGAAAGGTAGCATGTTTACAGAGAATGATGAGGAGTTTCAGGGCTCTGATCCCCAAGGATCCAGTTCTCCAAGTGACTGAGCACTCACATTCACGATTGTTTTTGATGTTATTGATTGTAACACCAAGGACGTTCTCAACACACACAAGCATACGCACACACACACACAAGCGTACGCACACACAAAGCATATATACACACACAAGCATACACACAGACACACAAGAATAAGCAAAGACACACAAGCGTACGCACACATACAAGCCTACACACACACAAGCATATGCGCACACAAACACACACACAAAGCATATGGACACACACACAAGCATACGCACACACACACAAGAATAAGCAGACACACAAGCATATGCATACCCACACAAACATACGCAAAGACACACACAAGCAAACGCACACAAGCATACTCACGCACAAGCATAAGCACACACACACAAGCGTACGCACACACACAAGCATACACACACATTCAAGCATACGCACACATTCAAGCATATGTGCACACAAACACACACACACAAAAGCATATGCACTAATATACACACACATTAACAAGCATGCACACGGATACACATGCGCGCACACACACACACACACAAGCTCGGACATACGAACACAAACAATCCAAAAAAATTGCTTTGTAGATAAATATCACAAAAAAGGCAAATGTAACTGAGGCAAAACAGACTTAGAAACATTTATATTTCCTGGATCATTATGCAGAACACTTGTACACATTAAATACACTGTTGAATTACCCACTCATTGCTGGAGTTTCCCCAGGAGCGTAAATGGAGCAACACTGGGAGTTGTGGGGCTGGACAGATGGACAGACGGGGAGAGAGGAAAAGGAGGTGGGGGGAATCGATGCTGGCCTTACACATTGTCTCCTGCACAAGTTCCAGACTTCCTGCTGCTGTCCAGCCTCCAACATGTGGCTGAAGTGTTGTTGTGGTATGTAAAAGCCACGGATGGCGTTACCTGTTGGCGCTGGCCTGGGTGGAACTGGGGGGGCTGCCAGCCTTGCATTTTCTGTTATACATGCTCGAAATTCTTTACCACTGTCGAGACTCCAACTGCTAGGTGTTGGATTCAGTACTACAAAGAAAATAAAATATGTGGCGTTTAGTGTCCTGACAAGAGAAACAAAGCTTAGTGAGTGCTTTGTTTTAGCATCGAGTGGGTTGGCCGTATGAACAATGAAATTTCGAGGCTGACCGAACGATTCTAAAGGGATTGGTGATGGGATTCAGAAATGCTCCAGTGACGCATCTCTTTTTTCTCTCTTGCTCTGAAAGGTGCGTATTTAGAGAATTTTTGTTTTTTAAATCACGCCGCATGTGGCAAAACGCACATCAAGGTCATTGTCGCTGAACAGCAGGAGGCAAGTTCGGTGGCACGTTTCCCCACAGTTCCTGATCCAGGGATTCAAAATGCAAGTTGTTGTTGAAAAATAAGAGAAATATTCTTGCACTAAGTAACATCACTGAATGTGAAACCGGGCTCAGGACTTATTCTACAACAACTTGCATTTATATAGCACTTTTCAGGCAGGACAGCATCTCAGAGCGGTTAAAGTAACAGAGCCTGACTTTGAGTTGGTGGGAGGGAGAAGGTGACTGTCAGCACAGTGGAAGAGGAAGATCTTCAGTCATGATCCAAAAGAGGGAAAAGAGGGAGCAAAACCGAGGGATTGCGGGAGACTTCCAAAGTTTTCTGGCTTAGTGGCTGAAAGCATGGCCGTCAATGGTGGAGCAGAGAGCACGAGGGACGAGCAGGAGGCCAGAGCCAGCTGTGGGTAATGGAGTGAGGAGAATCCAGGTCGGAAAGGTTGGGAGGTGCCGGTGCTTGAAGGGATTCGTAGACGAGTGAAAGGATCTTGAAATCGATCTGTTCTGTGATAGAGAGCCAGTGGGGGAGCCTGGCGAGGACTGGTGTGATGGGGGTACAGAGTTTAGTGTGGGTGAATTTACAGGTGACAACACAGGGTAAATTCAAAACTAATCTACGGAAACACTACTTAGGTGAGCGTGTGGTAAATCTATGGAATAGGCTCCCCAAGGAGATGATGGAAGCAGAAAGTGTTGATTCATTCAAATACAAATTAGATACATTTCTTCTAGAAAATAATATTTTGGGATACAGTATATGAGTAATTTGAGACATGGCGTACAATAAAAGTATCCTTGAATGAGGCAACTTTAGATCTAAGGTTCCCGAAGCTTTACACTCTGTTGTAAACTTAATTCTGTTGTACAGAATTAATTGCTGTCAACATCTCCATTATTGTAGAAGCGACTGCCAGGATGGTAGAAGGCAAACTAGATTGACCTTGGTCTTTATTCAACTAGCAATTCCTATGTTCCTAAAGGCTGCAAAAAATATAGCCCGGAGATTGAGAGGGGGGAGACTGAGAGGGGGGAGAGAGAGAAGGGGAGACTGAGAGGGAACGAGAGAGAGGGGGGAGAAAGAGAGGGAGAAGGAGAGGGGGAAGAAAGAGAGGGGAGGAAAACGAGAAGGGGAGAGAGAGGGGTTAGAGAGGTGGAGGGGAGAGGGGGGATAGAGAGGAGCTGGGAGAGAGAGGAGAGGGGAGAGAGGGGATGTATATGAGAGGTAAGAAAGGGGAAGTGAGGGACAGAGACAGTGAGAGAGTGATTGAGAGAGGGGGAGCAGAAAGAGATTAGAGAAAGTGTGACAGGCGGAGAGAGAGTGCGAGGTGGAGGGAAAGAAACAGAGAAGGGGAGATTGAGAGAGGGTGATTGACAGAGAGTTTGAGAGGGGATAGAGAGAGTATGTGTGGGAGGAGGAGAAGAGAGTGGGGGGGAGTAATTGAGAGGAGAAGGTGGAGTGTGAGAGGGAAAAGAGAGTGTGAGAGGATGTGATAAGGAGAGTGAGAGAATAATTGAGAGAGTGTCTGAGAGAGAGGCTGGAGAGTGTCCTTCTCCCCTCCCCCTCTCTGTCCCCCCTCATTCTCTCTCCCTCCACCCCTTCTCTTTCTCCCTCTTCGTCCCCCCTCACCCCTTTCTCCCCCCCTTCTCCCAAACGATCCCCCTCTACCCCCTCCTCACTCTCTCCCATATCTCTCCCCCCTCTCTCTCCCATCCCTCCCTCCTCCCTTTCCCCCACTCTTTCTCTTCCCCCTCTATCTCTCCCCTCTCTCTCCCCACCTCCCCCTTTCCACTCCCCCTCTCTCCCTCACACCCCTCTCTCCCAACCGTGGGCAGGAGCTGCAGGTGGTCGGTTGCTAAGGTGGTTGGTAAGAGACGCGCTTGCTTTGCTGACAGACTGCAGTAAAGGCTCTGCGAGCTGCGGTCTCCCAACCGCTGGCTCCTGCCGCTGCCCTGGGGGGATGTTCACCAGGGAGGGCGGGAGCGGGTTGGTATGTTGGAAATGATCTCGGGCCAGATGCGGCCCCCCAGCTGGCCCACTCTGAATGCGGCCGATAGACCTTTCTCAAATAGGGAATCTGGCCCGCGGTAGCCCAACACATCTCTTTGTGGCTCCCATGGTATTCCCCCGATCTCTATTTGCACAAAAGCATATAATTACAGTCTGTAAAGCAGCAAAACCAAGCCATTTGTCTTAATTCGTCTGTGCTAGTGTTTATGCTCTACATGAGTCTCTACTCCTTCCAAATCCACTTCTTGCTTAGACCTTTTATTCCCTCCTTCATGTTTACGAATGTCATCTAAATCCACTTCACCTCAGTCTGCTCCGACTCCAGGTCCGCTGATGTTCTGTGAGCTCCTCTGTCAGACATCAAGGCCTGGATAAGGGCAAACTTCTGCAGCTAAATGTGAACTAGATGGAAGCCATAATTCTTGCCTCCTGTCAATGTCTTGTCTCCTGCAGCTCTAACCTCCTCAACCACCCTGGCCTATCCCTAAAACTTACCGAACCTGTGTGTAACCTGGGTGTCAGATTCGACCCCCAGGTCCTCCTCCTTCCTCCTCCACATCTGGTCCCTAACCAAGACTGCTTTCCTCCACTTCCATCACACTACCTGCCTCAGACCTTACCTCACTCCCAGTGCAGCAAAAACCTTCATCATCTCCAGCTTCGACTATACCAATGCCCTTTTCACGGTCTCCTCAGCCTCCCTACCCATAAACTACAACTGATTCAGAACTCCGCCACCCCTATTCTCACCCACATTAAACTTTGTACCCCCATCACACCAGTCCTCTCTAGGCTCCAATGGCTCCCTATCACAGAACAGATCGATTTTGTAAATCATAGAATTTTACAGCACGGAAGGAGGCCATTCAGCCCATCATACCTGTGGGCACTTTGAAAGAGCTACCAACTAGTTCTATTCCCTGTTTTTACCCCGTAGCCCTCAAATTCTTCCTTTTTATGTACCTATCTAACCATCTTTTGAAAGCTATTATTGAACCTGCTTCCACCACTCTTTCAGGCAGTGCATTCCAGACCATAACAACTCCCTGGGTGAAAAAAATTCTCCTCGTCTCACCTCTGGTTCTTCGCCAATTATCTTAAATAATTAAGATCCTCTGGTTACTGACCCACCATCCTGAGGAAACAGCTTCTCTCTATCTACTCTATCAAAACCCCTCATAATTTTGAACACCTCTGTTAAATTTCTACTTAACCTTATCTGCTCTGAGAATAATCCCAGCCTCTGTAATATTATAGATGAGCGAGAAGATTTCAAGATCCTCTCGCTCGTCTACAAATCCCTTCCTGCTCTGGCACCTCCCTACCTCTCCGACCTGCTTTCTCTTTACTCCACTACACGCTGCCTCCACTTAGCTGGTTCTGGCCTCCTGCTCGTCCCTCATCCCCTCTGCTCCACAATCGGCAGCCGTGCTTTTAACCTCCCAACCCCAAAACTTTGGAACTCTGTCTCAATTATTCCACCTTGCCCCCTCCTTCCCCTCTTTACGATCACAACTGAAGGCTTTCTTTGACTGTGCTTACAGCCACCTCCTCCTTCCCCCCTGCTGGTCGCCAGGCTCCATCACTGTTAAGCACTCTGAAAGGCTGCCTCGTATGAAAGGTGCTATGCAAGTCGTTGTTCCTGTTGTTGTTATTGTTCTGGCCCACATACACATGTCTCTTCTTGTCCTTCCCAACTCTTGGCTCCCACAGTGGCATGGAGGGAGTGATGGTTTCAGTGGTCGTCAACTTCACAAACAGCTCTACCGTTAACTACATCAATTAACAAACAGGGCCCAAGGGAGGCTGAAGGTAACATTTCAACCTCCATATTGCACCGCTGTTCACAAGCCTGCTCTTGTGCTCTGTGGCTGACTCATGCCTCTTATGACTGAAGAGAAGCTTTGGAACTCGATCCCCAGCCTCAATAACTTGAGACAAATGCCGCACCTGCTCGACACACACTTACTTAACATTTCAACACATTAAATTGTAGAGCTATTGTATATATGACTCCAGGGTTACCTCGTCATTGAAGAAATGGTCACGTACTTTTAATCCACAAATGGGCATTCGGTGTGAGAAATTAAAAGTTTTTAAGAGCGCACAAACAAACACACACACAGGCAAACACACACTCACAGGACGCATAAAGACGCCTGTTCTCACAGGCAAACACAATTCACACATGCATAGCCATTCGCACGCACACACACATACTAACACACTCACACACACAGCCATACACCTACACATGCAAACACACACACAAACACAGACAAAAGTCATGGCTCAAAAAGCATCTCTAACTGTATTGCGATAGTTACAATGGACGCCACTACTCACTGCACAGAGGGCAGCCGGCAAAGTGAGGCCTGGTCTTGAGTTTCACGTTGACCTGCCTTTCCCCGACTTCCCCAGTGGAGCAACAACTGTCCAAGGCAAAGAGGTAAGTGTGAAAGGAACGGCAGTGCATTCTTACCTTTCTCGGGCGCAGAGAGACTGGGGTCGCTTCTGGGCATGCAGGAATCGCCTATCTGCTGGGTGAGTGTCCGCTGGCAAACAGAAGGATTCACGTGAAACCAACTCTGGTCAAGTACAAGCCTTGCAGAGTGACTGAAAGCCCAATGGCTCCGCGCCAACCAATAAAGGAGCCACTGTGAATGGGGCACTGGTACAAGACAGTTAGGCATGCCTGCTCTCAGATTCCATACGGATTTAAGATTGTGCAGATTTTGACCTGGACATTTTTGTCAAGAAGGAAATAAAGAACTTACATTTTCGCAGATCCCCACGTCAAAACACCTCAAAGTGTTTCACAAGCAAGGCGCTAATAAACCCCCCCCAAAAAATTGGGTCACTTGATCCACAACTGTTTGTGTGACACCTCTGTGTGCAACTGGCTGCCACGTTTCATCCACAAAATACACAAGTCAATTTGCTTTAGAGTATATTCTCTATACTGCTCTATCAAATGTAAGGATTATTATTATATCTGTTAAATGTTTTATCAGACAATATAGGAGCCAAGTTCCCCAAAACAGCCATGAAGTGTATGATCATCTTTATTTGGTGGATTGTCAGGCAGGACATCAGAAGAGACAAAGTGCCATGGGATCTTTAACAACCACCTGAACAGGCAGACGAGACGGGACCTCAATTTAATGTCTTATCTGAAGAACAGCACCTCTGACAATACAGTGCTTCACAGGATACTGTAAAGTAGATTGACAGTGTATTTTGTGCGTGAAATGCAGCAGCCAGTTGCACACAGCAATGTCCCACAAACAGCCATGGAGTGAGTAACCAATCTTTGTTATTTGGGGGGATTGTTGGCCAGGACACTGGGAGAGAGATACTCCCTTCTCTTTTCAAATAGTACCATGCGATTTTTAATGTCCATCCGAATAGACAGTCAGGACCTCAGTTTAACGTGTCATCTGAAGGACAGCATCTCCGACAATGCAACACCTCCCAATTGGAGTATCAGCTAAGACAATGTGATTCCAAGTCTCGACGAGGGGCTTGAATCCACAACCTTCTGACTCTGAGGTGAGAGTGCTACCACTGTGCCGAGCGTACACATCTACTTACCTGTGCAGCTTCAATGGGGACTGGATAAATGGCACTGCAAGGTCGTTCCCTGGGCGACAAGCAGGGATTTTCTCTTGAATGCTTGTGCTTATCAGTTAACAAAGGCGAACCTGAATGAATACACGATAAAAGGCAAATGTAACTTCAATTAAAGGAAAAAGATGGTCACTTTTTGTCCTGACAGGATGTCAGATTTCCCAAATGCTTTTACATGTGTTCTGAACAAACCTGGAGCTGACATACCTCTGGCACTGGACGGTGCTGAGCTGGTGACATTTGGGGAGGCTGAATGTGTGGAGCTTAAACTTGAGGTAGATGGACTTGCCTGTGGATAACAAATAATGAACTCATTAATACAGGCACACTTGGTATTTCAAGGGCTCTTCCCACCACAGTCACTTCCATTCTAATTACACTTCTCGATGAGTCCATAACTAGAAGACATAAATACAAAATAGCTATTGGTAGATTGTGCGTCAGCCTGGCTCAGTTGGTAGCACTCACGCTTCTGAGTCAGACGGTTTCAGATTCAAGTCTTACATGGAGACTGAGCTCACACCGTATAGGCTGACTCTCCAATGCAATGCTGGGGGCTGGGAGGGGGTTCACTGCACTGTCAGATGCCGTCCGGCATGAAGGGCGCTATATAAATGCAAGTTGTTGTTGAAGTTGTTGCTGGCCTTTGAATGAGACGTTAAACCGAGTGCCCATCTAATTGTTCAGGTGGATGTTAAAGATCCCATGGCACTATCCCATGGTGGTTTGGAGTCCTGTAGGTCAGTGGTTAGAGCACTCGCTTTGCAAGCGAGAGACCTGAGTTCAATTCCAGGCAGAGGGCGAAACCTTGGGCAAGTTTCCTTACTCCACACGCCTAATAATAATCCCTCCAAAAAAAAACCAAAAACAATAATTAAATTGGTCATTTTTCAATCTCCGACTGTTTGTGGGACATTGCTGTGCGCGATTGGCTGCCGCGTTCGCCCACAAATATACAGTCAATTCACTTTACAGTGTGTTCTGTGAAGCGCTTTGGGACGTCCTCCCGACGTGAAAAGCGCTATATCAAATGCAAGGATTATTATTATTATTATTACTATTTGAAAATAGAAGGGAGTTTCTCTCTCCCGGTGTTCTGACCAACAATCCTCCAGATATAATTGGTCATTCACTGTGTGGTTGTTTGTGGAACATTGATGTATGAAAATCGGATACCGTGTTCAGTACAGTACAGTAACTGCATTTTACAATGAATCTTGGGAAGCGCTTTAGGATGTTCTCCTGCTGTGAAAGGTGCGAGACCAAACGTAAAGATTATTATTATTTATTTTTATCGTTAATTATTTATTTATTATTATTTTGTTGTTCCTCTCTTTTAAAGCCAAATTTCTACCCAGCTATGCAAACCAATAGATGCAACCTTTATTCTCTCTACTTCAACCCTGTTGCATTTTCTACCCAGCTCTGCACTTTCAACCCCTAATAATATATGAATAATAATTATAATACTTGTATTTGATATAGAGCCTCATAATGTCATTGAGGTGTCTCAAAGCTCTTCACAGAATATACTGTGAATTTTTTGCACGAAAGACAGCAGTCAATTGTGCATAGCAGTGTCCCACAAACAGTTGTGGATTGAGTGACCACATTTTAATTTATTTTTGGAGGGATTATTATCCCTGGAAAACGATCCGCCAATTGTTTAATAATCGGGTTCTTCCTGCTAGGTTTCTTGCCTAAGGTTTCGCACTGCCCGTGAATCAGACCCCGGTCCTTTCACTTGTCAGGTGAGAGCGCTAATCACTATGCTACGGGACTCTAAGGTTTTGAAGGAAGAGCTTACGTATTTGTGGTGGGGGGGGGGGGTGAGGCAGAGTAGCCACAAAAGCTTGTTTCATCCGCGCCCACGAAGCTATGTCAACCAGTAAGTCCCTGTTGCCCCCAAGCACCTGCTCCTCCCAAAAAATAGTACAGTGAACTAGTTGCTATTATTAACCATCAGAGTAAAATAACTCTAATGTTTAACCACTAGAGAAAGGAAAATAATTGAAAGATCAAAACCACTTAGATTTATGAAAAAAAGGTGGCAAATGAAAATGACTCCGCATTTCCTGATTCCCAGGACAGCCCAGCCAATGCCACACTGCAGAGCACTGACCTATACTAACACAATAAAAAATTACACTGTTAATGCCCCTTTCACAGAGGAGGGATGTTCCAAAGGGCTAAACAATATAGTAAATCTTGCACAAGTCTTATTGTCATAAATCAAATAACTGCCAAATTCATAACATTCACCTGAGTCCAATTCAGTTTCCTATCAAAACCACTTAAATTTATTTTCATTACTCAATTTAATCACCTTCTAACTCATAACGCAGCTCCCCTACCTTCCATTACTCCTGCTAGTTGCATTGAATCTCGCGAAATTACTAGTTGCATTGAATCTCGGGAAATTACATCATGAACGGTCGACAAATGTGCACTTACCAGCTGCATTGAATCGTGGGAAAGTCTTGAAACCAACCACCAGCTTTCTAGACCAGATCCCTACCCCTCCCTTATTATCACCCCATCTCCATCCTCCCTTTCGTTTCCAAGGTCCTGGAACAAGTCGTTGCTTCCCAGATTCGCTCCTTCCTCTTCTACCACTCCCTTCACAAACCCCTCCAATTGGGTTTCTGTGCCACCCACAGCACAGAAATAGCCCTGGTCAAAGTGACAAATGAGATTCTGTCCATCTGTGATCAGGGCTCCCTCTATCTCCTCGTCATCCTTTCTGATAGCACCTTTCACATTGAGAAATTTTCACATTGCCTCATCCAAGATCCATCAACTTTCTACCCCACATCCGCGCCATGATCCGCTCTGCCTTTTCCTACCTTTGTAACATCGCCCGGCTCCACCACTGCCTCTCCCCTCAAGCTGCTAAAACCGTCATCGACACATTTATTATATCTAGGCTCAACTACGCAAACTCCCTACTTGTTGGCCCAACTCTTCCCTCTACAAGCTGCAGATCATCCAGATCTCCGCGACTCTTATCTCCCCCACTCTCGTCCGGCTCCACTGACTCCCCATCTCCCACAGGATAGAGTTCAAAATCCTCATCCTCGCCTTCAAAGCCCTCCATTGCCTTGCTCGTTCCTCCCTCCATGACCTCCTTAGCCCCTACCTACCTGTCCGCCCCTCCACTCTGCTTCACATACCTCACCTTGCCTGCCCCACCATTGGCGGTTGAGCTCTCAGCTTCTCTGCACCCACCCTTTGGAACTCCATCTCACAGTCACTTCGACTCACCGCCTCCTTTGCCTCATCCAAGATCCATCTCAAGATCCTCCTCTACGGCTGTACCTTCAGCCACCCTTCCACCTTACTGCCCTCCAATTCTCAAACCACCAGCTCAGGTCCAAATTCCTGACTGTCCAACTCCTTGGGATGTCTTCTCGATGTGAAAGGCGCTATACAAATGTAATTTGTTGCTGTTGTGTTGATGATCCGCCAACGCACGCGCAGAACTTCATTTCCCATGATCCAATACGATCCCAATGTTTGCCAGTAAGTGCGCATACACAGGCTCCTTCTTTCTTCCACAAAATGGGAGTGGCTCGCACAACATCAAAAATGACCATCGTCATCAGACCCACTTTCTGTCAGCTTCAATTCAAACTTGATTCAGGTTTTCAAAAGCAACAGTGATCTGTGTCTGCCTAACTCTTGACTTTGAGTCAGAAGTTTGTGGGTTCAAGTTCCACATCGTCTCTTTGAACTCATACAGTTTAGTCCTCCTGACGTGAAAGGCGCTATACAAATGTAATCTTGTTGTTGTTGTTAGTCTGATGCACCAATGCAGTGCTGGGGATATGCTGCATTGTTGGTGGTGTCGTCTTTCAGATTAGACATTAAACCAAGGTCCCGTCTGTCTGGTCCAGTGGATGCTAAAGAACCCATTGCACCATTCGAAAAAAAAAGGAAGTTTCTGTCTCCCAGTGTCCTGGCCAACAATCCCCAGATAAAAATGATTACGCACTTCATTGCTCTCAGTGGGACATTGCTGTGCTCAAATTGACTCTCACATTGGCCCACAAAATACAAACACTTCAATTGACAGGAAATACACTGAAGCACTCTGAGATGTCCTCCCAGCGTGAAAGGCACTATATCAAACGCAAGGATGATTATTATTATTCATGTCACCGAACAGACTCATCCGACCAATGGCAACGGTGTCATGTCCGGCTAGGTGAATGAAACCAAACAAAAAACTTATATTATTTGCGCAAACAAAAAGCAAAGTTGCAGAGGAATCACGGACGTATGTGAGCTTTTTTTTAACTGGCAGCGGGCGAGTGAGCTGTACCTGCATGTGAAAGACTTCATCTGAACTTTCGGATTGGCCCGTGATGTTGCTGGCTTCAGCAGAGGCTTGTGATGACAAAGAGGAAGAGGAATAGCGGTTGATCGCTGGGTAGCTGAGTGGGCTGCACGGCAGAATAGAACAAGGTCCAAAATATTATTAATCTGCAACACGACGGAGAGGGGAACAGAAAAGAGTAGCAGCAGGGGAGGCAGGAAGGAGTGGGATCAGGGGATGCAGGAAGGAGTGGGCGAGACTCTTGTGCTGTATTAACCTATGTGTTGGCCTGTCTCAGAGATAGAAGGCCTGCCTGAGTCAGAAGGCTGTGGGTTCAAGCCCCATGTCAGGACCTGGAATCATATAGTCTAAGATGACACTCCAATGGAGTGCTGGGGTGAGTTGCATTGTTGAAGGTGCAGTCCTTTGGATAAGACGTTAACCCGAGGTCCCGTCTGCCTATTCAGGTGGATGTTAAAGATCCCATGATGCTATTTGATAAGGGAAGTGAATTTCTCTCTCCCAGGGTCCTGGCCAACAATACCCCAAATAAAATTGGTTGTTTCGCTCCCAGATAGAGTCACTACACTTTTCAGTATGTCCTGTGAAACACATTGAAATGTCTCAACAACATGATCTAGTGCTATGTCAAATGCAAGGATTATTTTATTATTATTGATATTAACACTGTCATGGACTACTTCACCGAATGGCCTGTTTCCATCCTGTACAGTCAATGTAAACAGACACTCAGTGGGTTTCAAAGATATCATAGAATTATAGAAATTTACAGCGCAGAAAGAGGCTATTTGGCACATTGAATCTGCACTGGCTCTCAGAGCAATCCCACTGCCCTGCCCTATCTCCACACCCCTTCAAGCCTCTATCCTTTACATACTTGTCTCCTTCCCTTTCGGGACCCACAAGGGTCTCTGCCTCTACCATCTCACTTGGCAACGCCTTCCACATCTCAATAACACTCTGTATGAAAACATTTTTGCTTTTGCCTTTCTTGTGGCTACCTTGTATCCTTGTTCCTGTCACTTCCTGGGTTGTTTCTTTCCCCATCATTTATTATGTTCTCTCTCCCTTGAGTTCTCCCCATTCAAACCCATGTTTGCTTGATACTCGATTACCTAACAAAAATCTATTCAACTGAGTCTTTAAAATTGTATTTGATCCAGCACTCATAGTCTTTTGGGGGAGAGAGTTCCAGATTTCCACTACCCTTTGTGTGAAAATGTGTTTCCTGATTTCACCACAGACAAGACATTAAAACCGAGGTCCCCTTTATCTGTTCAGGTGGACGTTAAAAGAAAAAAGCGTTTCTGTCTCCCAGTGTCCTGGCCAACAATGTCCCAGTTAAAAATGAACATGGCTGTTCGTGGATCATTGCTGCGCACACATTGGGCTGCCTTGTTCCTACAGAACACGCAGTCATTACACTTCACAGAAGTGGTGGCCAACCTGTAGCCTGCAGACCATCAAGAAGTGTCCCCCTCCCCAACATTAAGCCCCAACATACAGGTAAATCCATGTTCGAACGGGTGTGCTTTCTGATTGAATATTTCTTAATTTATGGCATAAATCGAGAAATATTCAATCAAGAATTTTGGGGGGGGGGCCGACTGTAAAGGTTGGCCACGACTGGTTCACTGGGAAATCTGCGAGGCACTTTGAGATGTTTTGATGTGATAAGGCGATGTGTCAAATCCAAGGGATTATTAGCGTTTTATCAAAAAAGCACGTCTGAAGGGTTGCAGCTTCAGCAGTGGACAACAACAATTGCATTTATACAACGGCTTTCACGGAGGGTAAATTCTCAGAGCGCTTTACAGTGGCAGAGCATGACTTGGAGCTGGAGAGTGGCGGAGGGGTGACCACAAGCACATCGACTCAACCTGAAGAAGGAGGGGCAAGGTGGAGGGATTCAGGGAATGTTTCAGAGTTTCGGGGCATAGTGGCTGAAAGCGCGGCTGACGATGGTGAAAGGATAAGCACGAGGGATAAAACAGAGGCTGGAGCCAGTTGAGCGAAAGCAGTGGAAGGTAGCGTGGGGAGTAAGCAGGTCGGAGAGGTAGGGAGGTACCAGTACATGAAGGGATTTGAAGACAAGTGTGAGGATCTTCAAGTCGATCCGTTCTGTGAGTGGGAACCATTGGAGCCTGGTGAGGACTGGTATGATGAGGATACAGTGTTTAGTAGAGATGAATATACAGGACTCTACGGTGAATTTCTAGACTAACTGAATATTGTGGATTAGCTGGGGAGGAAGGTGAGGAGGGCATTGGAGTAATCGAGGCGAGAGTTGATGAGGGTTTCGGCTGCGTTTGGACACTGGCTTACCTGCGTCTATTGACGAGCCGGACACCATCTGGGCTGACAGCACCGAGAGCAGAATTCCTACAGGCACGTGGGCTGCCATTGGTGAGGTGGATGGGACTGGCGCGAGGGTACCCTGAAAATTCCTGGGAAGACAGAAATGAAGAATTAATGTGTTGCATTGACGGAGGTGCCATTTACTTGGATGAGACTTTATCCAAGGTTCCGTCTGCCTGTTCAAGTGAATGTCGCAAACATAACTCCACTATTTAAGACGACAAAAAATGGGGAACTATAGACCAGTTAGTCTGACATCGGTGGGAGGGAAAATTCTAGAGTCCTTAATTAGGGACGTCGTCGTGGGGTACTTAGAAAATCATAACATGATTAGGCAGAGTCGACATGGCTTTACGAAAGGGAAATCATGTTTAACAAATCTTTTAGAGTTTTTTGAGGATGTAACTAGCAGGTTAGATGGGGGGATCCAGTAGATGTGGTATACTTGGATTTCCAGAAGGCATTCGACAAGGTACCACATGAAAGGGTGTTGCATAAGGTTAGAGCCCATGGAATTAAAGCTAATATATTAGCATGGATTGGAGTGGGGCTAACAGGAAGAAAACAGAGTGTAGAGGTAAACGGGTCCTTCTCAGATTGGCAGGATGTGACTAGCGGTGTGCCACAAGGATCAGTGCTTGGGCCTCAATTATTTACAGTCTATATCAATGATTTAGATGAGGAAATAGAACTTAACATATCTAAATTCGCGGATGATACGAAGATAGGTGGAAGAGTAAGCTGTGAGGATGACACAAGAAGAGTGCAAAGGGAAATAGACAGGCTAGGTGAGTGGGCAAGAAGGTGGCAGATGGAGTATAACGTGGGGAAGTGTGAAATTATTCACCTCAGTAGTAAAAATAGAAAAGCGGATTATTTTCTAGAGGGGAGAGACTAGGTAGTGTTAAGTGTTCAGAGGGATTTGGGTCTCCTTGTACATCAGTCACAAAAAGTTAGTATGCAGGTACAGCAAGCAATAGGAAAGCTAATGCTATGTTGGCGTTCGTTGCAAAAGGGTTAGAGTACAAGAGTCGGGAAGTCTTGCTGCAGTTGCATAAGGCCTTCAGGAGACTGTAACTAGAATATTGTGTGCAGTTTTCGTCTCCTTATTTAAGAAAGGATATACTAGCCTTAGAGGGGGTGCAACATAGGTTCACTAGGTTGGTTCCTGGGATGAGGGTTTGACCTATGAGGATAGGTTGAGTAAACTAGAACCATATTCTCTAGAATATAGAAGCATTAGAGGTGATCTTATAGAAACCTATAAGATTCTTAAGGGTCTTGACAGATGCCATGAGACTGTTTCCCCTGGTTGCAGAGTCTAAAACTAGGGATCATAGCCTCAAGATTAAGGGTCAGCCTTTTCAAACTGAGTTGAGGAAACATTTCTTCACAGAGGGTAGTGAATTTGTGGAGTTCTCTACCCCAGAAGGTTGTAGATGCTCAGTCCTTGAACATATTCAAGACTGAGATTGATAGATTTCTAAAGGATAGAGGGATTAAGGCATATGGGGATAAAGCAGGTAGATGGAGTTAGGTTAGAAGATCAGCTATGATCTTACTAAATGGCGGGTCTGGCTCGAAGGGCCGAACGACCTAGTCTTGCTCCTACTTCTTATGGTCTTATGAACGTTAAATATCTCCCACAGCGCTATTCGAAAAGAGAAGGAAGTTTCTCCTGGCCTGGCCAACAATCTTCCAAATATAATTGGTCACTCATTCTATGGTTGGGTTTGAGACACTGCTGTGCACAAACTGGCTGCTGCGTTTCACTCACAAAATACACAGTCAATCCACTTTAAGTATATCCTGTGAAGCGCTTTGAGATGTCTCAACGATGTGAAAGTCCCTATATAAAATGTAAGGATTATTATTGTTAATCTGGGTTGATTTTTTCAATCCCATTTAAAATGTTACACACCTCTGTGAAGTTCCCTCTGAGTTGCCTTCAGTCAAGACTGAAACAAAACCAGGTGTTACAGCGATAAAACAATGGGTACCTGTATTCCCAAGCTGGATTTCATCACGTAGAACTGATCGATCAGCTTCTTGTGCAAAGGTCTCATGTCCTGGGGTACAAACTTTTCATGTACAGCCAATCCATACTCCAGAATGTGTGCCTGTCACACAGAGAAACAGACGATCATTTACAGTCAGTATTAAAACTGTAATTCTCCACAGCCTTTCACTTAATCACATCACTTCATTCTTGGCACTGCTGATGACAGCACAGCCAGCTTGGCTCATCAGCAAGAATTGGACTGGTTGATCAGTCACTGGGGTGGGGAATCCTCTCACTCAGTTCCTGTTAACCCTGCAAGCCAGAGCCCTAACAGATAGGTTGGTCCTAGCTGGACAAGCAGCAGGAAAGCTAGCCAGGCAGTGCCATCAATGGCAAGCTATGTGGTTTTAGCTGGTTAGACTTCAGCAGTACCCCAAAGCACATTCTGTGGTCCCCAAGCCTTGGCTCTTGCCAACCTGCATCAAATACTTTTCGAAATTAGGTAAGCAGGATGCATCCCTCCAGGGGGAGAGTGTGCATTCCATTCCATTTACATATTCAAGACTGAGGTTGACAGATTTCTAAAGGATAGAGGGATTAAGGGATATGGGATTAGCGCGGGTAAATGGAATTAGGTTAGAAGATCAGCCATGATCTTATTAAATGATGGGGCAGGCTCGAGGGGCCGAATGGCCTACTCCTGCTCCTATGTCTTATGGTCTTATGGTCCAACAATCTACCTCAGGAATTTCCATGTGTAGTGGGATGCATGGAATTTTCAGTTTGGTTTGGATACACTTGAGCATAGTGCTGAGTTTCCACATGTATCAGACAGCCAACTGAACAAAAAAATATTGGTACCCTTTGGAACTCCATCACAAGGTCCCATCGCCTCGCCTTTCCTTTGCCTCCTTGAAGCGCTGTCTCAAGACCCTCCCCTTCGACTGCCTTTGATCACCCTCTTACACCCACCATCACTACCCTCCACACTTCCTGATCCCAACCCCCAGCTTGGGTGCAAATCCTTGACTGTCCAGCAACTTGAGACGTTCTCCCAGCATGAAAGACGCATTTACAAATGTAAGCTGTTGTTGTCACCTGTTCGAACATTAGTTCCCTGAGGCGGGATATTTTATCGCTGTCCTCAGGGTGGTTGACAATGTAATCCTTCACGAAGAAAGCCTGCAAAGAAAACAAGGCTGTTGCAGAACAGATCGATTTCAGATCCTCAATCTCACTTTCAAGTCCCTTCGTGCGCTGGCACCTCCCTACCTCTCCCATCTGCTCACTCCCGACTCCACCACTTGCCTAACCCCATTCTGCCCCGACTCTCTGGAATTCCATGCCAGAGTCCCTTTGAACTCATTGCCTTCCTCACCTCTTTCAATGTCCATCTCAAGAACTACATCTTTCTCCTCCCCACCTCTCTCAGTTCTCACCCCCAGCTCGGGATAAAAAGCCAGGATTGTTAAGGGCTTTTGTATGTCCCCTTGAAATGAAATGCACTTCATAAATGTAAGTTTGTATTCTATTGTTGTATTGGTGCATCGTCTCCTTCCCTTGTACCAAGCTCCGGGATCTGATTACCCCAATCCTTCCCAGCTCCCTAGCTCCCTATCCCTCAGTGGATCGAGTCACGCTCCGACCCCCACTCCCCCTATTCTTTATCCCTCTTGATTCCACCCCCCAGCTTGGATGTAAACCCTTAACTGTCCAGCTGCTTGGGATGTCCTTCTGATGTGAAAGGTGCTGTATAAATGTAATTTGTTTTTGGTGTTGTTGTAGGGAAGTACGAATAGCCAACTGAGGTGCCGGCTGAGCGTCCACCACTATATCCCGCAGGGTGAGAACCCAATCACCCGCAGCTGGAATTAAATCTACAAAATTATCACAGGAGCACAAGATTGTTTCACATGAAGACCCTTTGTTCCATCCGATCTCATCCCTCCAGAACTCCCACTCTACGTTCCCCCATCACAGCATCAAGTTGCTTTTTAAATGAGTACCAGTGTCCTGGTCTGAACCACCTTTAGTGGAAACCTGTTCCAGGCATTTGTGTTCTGTTCAGACACAGCAAATTTGAAGTCAATAACAATCTAGTTTCTTTGTCACGTTGCAAGGAAACAAACAAGAATGGAGCACAGACACTGGATCCCACTATTTCACCTGTGAATCAAATGCATTTGGTAGGAAGAGCTTTAAATGAAGAAACAGTGAATGAAGATATTCCTGAGCAAACTTTCAACACTTGATGCTCAGACACACATACCACATACAAATACACAAACAACACACAAATCACCACACAAACACACATACAAAACACACACACACACAAACAAGCCAAAATGTTGCTGCACTTTTCCAAAGGAAGATTTCGATCTTTCCTCAATGTTCCTCTGCCCATCTCAAGTTAGCGTACTGGCCTTGCAAGTTCGATTCCCAGGCAGGGTGAAACCTTAGGCAAGTTTCCCTCCTCCACATGCCTCTGTTTGCCCAGCGGTAAGTTAGAGCCTGGTTGTTAGTCGATTGACATATCCGTCAACCCTCATCTTGACCGGGGGTAATAATCCCTCAAAAAAAAATGTGGTCACTCAAGCCACGACTTTTTGTGGGACACTGCTGTGTGCTACTGGCTGTCTCGTTTTGCCCACAAACACAAGTACAAGATATATATATTACAATATATTCTGTGAAGCGCTTTGAGACACTTTGAGAGGTGATAAGGTGCCATATCAAATCCAAGAATTATTATTATTATTAGTAGTAGTAATATTATCTTTCCCTGATGCTCCTCTGCCCATTTCAATTTACCTCTTGGTATCTGGCAAGACCTCCATTCACGGCTGCATCAATGACACCATTCAGGCACATGGTCAGAGGGTTGATATTCTGCATTTGTCTCATCTGACACTGGGTGATCAGCGTCCTCAGTTGTTGGTTCTTGTTTTCCAGCACCTCAATCGCATTTTCAAGTGGACTCATTTCAACCTAGAGATCGATTTACCAGGAACATGAGACAGGTTTACAGTCTATAATCATTTTTTTTATATCAGCCTTGGCACTTATGGAAATCCAACACCATGTTTAAGCATATATCCTCCATGGGCGGGAGGTAAGTGGAGCCTCCTTGGAGCTGAACTGGCTCCAAGGTGACATGTCTGGCAATGGAATCTCGGAAACAAGCCACCCCTCAAGGTCCAGTTCCTGAGCCAGGCAATTAACTGACGCATTTCGCCCAGAAAATACAGTCTATCCACTTTATTCACTTTGAGATGTCCAATGACGTGATAAGGTGCTATATCAAATGCAAGGATTATTATTACTATTAAGCACTCACCACTTCTCTTCTTTCAACTTCAAACCAGCGGGAAATGCCAGGCAGGCTCTGAACTAGTGTCAGCGCAGTCCGTTCAACCCACAGACTCTGACAAACACAAGAGGGAGTGAACATTCAGAGATCAGGGCTGAAAGCAAACTTCTACAGAAATGAAAATAAGCCACAATCTTCGGAAATGTTTTTCTTGCAGAACAAAATAAACTGTAACAAAGCAAGCCAACAAAAGTGAATGTGGACCATCTTGACTGGTCGTGAAAATGGTGGATTTTAAATTACTGATGAAAAATTCTAGCCTATCATTGGAGACCGGTAGTGCAGTGGTTAGAGTACAGTGATAATCCCCAGAAAGACAAATATAAAATTTGGTCACTCAATCCACAACTGTTTGTGGAACACTGCTGTGTGCGATTGGCTGCTGAGTTTCACCCACAAAATACACAGTGAATTCCACTTCACTGAAGCTCTTTGAGACATCTCAATGATACTATATAATGCAAGGATAATTATTATTATTATAATCGAACGACATGACACAAAAGGTCTTGGTCTTAGCATGTAAGACCAGTCTGACTTAAAACATGAGATCACAGAGAAATGTGGAGAATTCTTTAATTCAGTCTTGATTTGAAAGTCACTTATTTCCAAAATGTACAGAAAACTGACTCCAGATTAAGAGTGAATTCAGCACATTTATATAATCTTAAATATTAAGACTAAACAGTTTTACAGGCCAGTTTTACAGGTCTAAGTTTACAGGCCTTGAGTTCAAGATCCTTGTCCTCACCTTTAAGGCCATCCATGGCCTTGCCCCCTCCTACCTCTCTGACCTGCTGACTCCCTACCAACCTGCCCGCTCCCTTCGTTCATCAGGCTCCTGCCTGTTCCATGTCTACCGCCCGACCAGCCCTACCATCGGTGGCTGGGCTTTCAGCCTCTCTGCCCCCACACTCTGGAACTCCATCCTACAGTCCCTTCACCTCGCTTTCCCCCTTGCCTCCTTCAAGGATGGTCTGAAGACCCTTCTCTTCGACCGTGCCTTTGGTTTCCCTCCCACCTCTCTGCCTCCCCTCACCCCTAGACCGCCCCTCCCCCATGCTCAGACCCCGACACCCGACTGTTCAGCGCTTTGGGACGTCCTCCCAACGTGAAAGGCGCTCTATAAATGTCATTTTGTTGTTGTTGTTGTAAGGTTTGGTGCAATTTCAAGGCTAAGATGCTTTTGTACAATATTAAAAAATTTGGGGGGGGTCAGCTCGGTATCTGACACATGTGGAAACCTATCACCACACTTAAGAATATCTTAAGAGTAGTCTGACCCCAAAATGACAAAAGTAGACACCCATCCCCATGCTTAAGATTATCCAAACTAAACTGAGATTTCCATGCTCCCACCTACACATGGTATTTGCAGAGATAGATTGTTGGAATGGAATGCGCAATCTTTCCCTGGAGACACGCGTCCTGCTTACCTAATTCCGGAAAGTATTAGGCGTATTGGCAAAAGCCAAGGCTTGGGGCCCTCAGAGTATGTGGTGGGTTAACTGCTGGAGTCTAACCAGCTAAAACCGCATAGCTTGCCATCTATAGCATTGTCTTGCAAGCTTTCCCTTTGCTTGTCCAGCTAGGATCATCCTACCCATTAGGGCTTTTCGCTTGCAGGGCTAACAGGAGCTGAGTGGGAGGATTCCCTGGCCCCAGTGACTGGTTTGCTCTTAGCAGTCCTGCCGATGAGCCAGGCCATCTGTGCTGTCATCAACAGTGCCATGGAGTACTGTGGACCCATCTGACTCAGGACCTGGAATACTGATATTGGGACAATATTAAACTGTAGACAGCCTGAGGTTTAATATTGACCAAAACATCCCTTGGGACTATTTGAAAGGAGAAAAGGGTTCTGAGCAACGATCACCCAGATAAAACTGCTCATTTCATTTTGTGGTTGTTTGTGGGACATTGCTGTGCCCAAATTACCTACAAAATACACAGTCACTGCATTTTAAAGTAAATGCTTGAAGCAGTTTGATATGTCGTCCCGATGTGAAAGGTGCCATGAAAAATGCCAGGACTCCTTGCTATTATTACTCTGTATCATACCATAGAATTAGAAAATCACAGAATTATACAGTACATAAGGAGACGATTCAGCCCATCTTTCTGCGCTGGCTCTTTTAAAAGAGCTATCCAAATCAATCCTACTCCCCTGTGCTCTCCCATAACTTAGCGGGACCAAATCTTAGCTGTACCAAAACACATCATCCGTTCAAAACCGTGGAGTAACAGGTGTTTGAAACATAATTTCAAACAAGGGGAGGACAAGTTTGCAGGGCTATGGGGAGAGAGCAGGCGAGTGGGATTGATTTGGACAGCTCTTTTCAAAGAGCCGGCACAGACACGATGGACCGAATGGCCTCCTTCTGTGCTGTATAAATCTATCATTCTATGATAATGTATTCAACACTCAACAACAACAAATTACATTTATATTGTGTTTTACATGTCAGAAGAATGTCTCAAGGCGCTGGACAGTTAAGGATTTGCACTCAAACTGGGGGTGGAATAAGATGGTTGGTGGGTAGAGGGGTGGTGGTCGGATTGAGGACGAAGGCACAGTTAAAGAGAAAGGTCTTGAGTCGGGCCTTGAAGGAGGTGAGGGTGGGGTAGGCGGAAGGATTCGGGAAGTTCCAGAGTTGGGGGCAGAAGGACCATCTGCTGAAGGTAGGCAGGGTGGGGGACAGGTTGTTATGGTCAGCAGGTTAGTGCCCGCTGAACAGAGGGAGAGAACAAGTTGCTTTGGTTTTAAGAAGTCGCAGTGGTAGGGAGTATGACCCATGGATAGGGGTGATCAGTTCACGGAGCTTGGTGAGGAAGAGGATGAGAGCTGCAGAGTTCTGGATAATCTTCAGCTTGTGGAGGGAAGAGTTGGGGAGTTCCGCAAGAAGGGAGTTTGCATAATTAACTCCCGATTTCCACTCCCTGACTTGCAAAATTTTCAAGGTGCATTTGGTCCAATAAAAATCCTAACGAAAGAGCGTGAAAAATTTTGGAAAAATCTTTAACCCGAGCTTGAAATTCATAAGAGATGATCGAGGCGCGAGCCATCACCAATCTGAAGTACATACCTTGAATTCATTCTCTTTGTCCTTGATTCCTTTGTGGAATGGCCGATCATATCTGAACCTCCATATGTTATTGACCCTGTAAAAGCTCTTGATGTGGTCTGGGATGCCTTCTTTCTGCAGTATCTCCTGGGCCTCTGGGATAGGAATCACTGCATAGATCTGCAGGTCTGTACACAGCCATTAAGAAAGAAAACTGGCTGGAGTGGAAGAGTCAGTGAGTTAATGAGGTACTAGATATTGGGTGTTAGCATTTTTCAATAAAAAAAACACAATCCAAACTCTGAGTCCTGTAGTGTAGTGGTTAGAGGACCAAGGTTTGATTCCCAGGTGGGGCGAAACCTTAGGCAAGTTTCTTTACTTCACACACCTCTGTTCACCTAGCAATAAATAGGAACCCGGTTGTTAGTCGATTGGCGATTGGTTTTCCGGGGATTATAATCCCTTTAAAAATAAATAGAATAAAAATAAATAGTAATTTGATCACTCAATCCACAACTATTTGTGGAACACTGTTGTGCGCAATTGGCTGCCACGTTTCTCCCACAAGTATATTCTGTAAGACGTCTCAAAGACGTGATGAGGCGCTATATCAAATGCAAAGATTATTAAAATGCAAGGATTATTATTTTGGTCCCAAATGATATGATTTATGTTAATTTTACGGTTTCTCTTTTTCACACATCCTTTTGGCATGGTTTGGGAAGATGAAGTGATAAGCAGGGTTGCCCTTGCTGATTGACGTTTTGCCCACTGCACTCTGGGAACAGAGGATACATTGAGCGTCGGCTTGAAAGATTGTCTCCTCGGGCTGGTTGGCATGCTGCATGGCAATGGCGTGCGGGAACTCATTCAGCATCCTCTGCTGGAAGGCCTCCAGTCTCTCATAGTCATGCCCACGGCACACAAACTCCTTGTTCTGTCGGAAGTGAAAGAGCGATGAGAGAGTGCTTTTTGTGAATAACAACAAACAACAAATTACATTTGTAAAGCGCCTTTTATGTCAGGAGAATGTCCCAAGGCGTTGGTCAGTCAGGAATCCACACCCGAGCTGGTGATTGAGATCAGAAGGAGTGGAGGGCAGGGAGGGTAGGGGTTGGAGAGTGATTGAAGGAACGGTCGAAGAGGAGTGTCTTGAGACGGGTTTTGAAGAAGGCAAGGGAGGAGGCGAGGTGAAGGGACTATGGGATGGAGTTCCAGAGGGTAGGGGCAGTGAGGCTGAAGGCCTATGTGCAAATGGTGGGACGGGCAAGGCGGGGGTCATGAAGCAGGCCGGAGCCCGCTGAGCGGAGGGAACGGATAGGTTGTTAGGGGGTTAGGAGGGGCATTTGACAAGGTGCAACACAATCTAAAGGCTATGTCACTCTAGGTCAGTTACGGGGCAGTCGCTAGAAGCCCAACATTGAACATTTTGCCAACAGTCAATCCACTTTACAGTATATTCTGTGAAGTGCTTTGAAATGTCTCAATGACTTGATAAGGCGCTATATCAAAATCAAAGATTATTATTATTATTGTAAGTGAGAAAATGCAGAGGAGTCCCATTATAACGAGGTATTTAGGATCCATATAATCACAACCTGAGTTGTACTGAGGCAGAATAGTGGGTTTGGCTGCACATGGTTGCGACAGGTGACAGCATTTCCTGTTTGCTGTATATGAGCATCAAAGCAGGAAATTATGTCAGCAGCATTCTGATGAGCCGGCAGTTGGCCATTTTTAGTGCGAAACACAGGGAAGTGAACCGACAACGTGATAAATCGCAATAATAACAATCCTTGCATTTGATATAGCGCTTTTCACATCTTCTAGACATCACAAAGCACTTCACAGAATATACAGTGAATCAACTATATATTTGTGGGCGAAATGCGGCAGCCAATTGCGCACAGCAGTGTCCCATAAACAGTCATGGGTTGAAGTGACCAATTTATTATTGTTTTTTTTCTTGAGGGATTATTATCAGACGTGTGGAGTAAGGAAACTTGCCCAAGGTTTCGACCTGCCGGGAATCAAACCCAGGTCTCTCGCTTGCAAGACGAGTGCTCTAACCACAGAGCTACAGGACGCTACACAAATACAAGTATTATTATTGTCATATCATGATCTGGGTTTACTTTTTCAATCCCATTTAAAGTTTTATACAGCTCGATAAGGACCCCTCTGAGCTTCACACAGCTCTACAAGGTCCTCCCTCTCAAAACTGAAGAGTTCCAGCTTGTCCAATCAATGCTGACCATCTTGATCCCCACAAATCATATTGTCAATTTCCACCGTGTAACACGCACACAGACCTTCACCCTGAAATACACGTTCAAAACTGCAGCAAAGGCTCCCTGCAGCAGGTTTCAGCAAAAATGAGGACAACAGTGATAATGTAAAGGGCCTCATTAACGTAACCTAGACTTGTCATATCCACTGTCAGCTTTCACAACCCACCCACCAGCTGCAGGGCAGTGAGGGTGCAGTGGGCAAAAAATGACGAAAGGAAAAGAAAATGTTTCATTAAAAATCTCGGTGCAAGAGAAACTCTTCTGTTGCATTGACGTCTGCAATTTGCTCATTGTGAGATTGATCAAAACATAACCTCAGCTCAGAACTGACAATTCAAGTTTAAAAATCCAAAGGGCTAAATTCCACCTGGGTCTAGATTTACTGTTTTTACAGCATTTCAGAGACTCCAGAATTCGCCAAATACTTGAATACAGCTCGATTTTGGAGCCGGCTTTCTGTACGTTATTTTGAAGAATGCCAACTGCATGCCAATTGCCTCTTGCCGATCTTTCCAACTCTTCCCTGCACAAGTTGCAGATTATTTGGAACTCTGCAGCTCATATCCTCTCCTACACAAAGCTCCGTGATCCAATCACCTCCATCCTTGCCCAGCTTCGCTGGCTCCTCATCCCCCAGAGGATCAAGTTTAAAATCCTAGTCCTCACCTTTAACGCCCTCCAAGGACTTGCTTTTCCCTACCTCTAAAACACTACCAACCTGTCCGCTGCCTCCGCTTGGCATGTTCCCCATTTGGCCCACTCCACCATCGGAGGTCGGACCTTCATACTTTCAGCCCCACCCTCTGGAACTCCATTCCGGAAACCCCTACACCTTGCCCCCTCCCTTGCCTCCTTCAAGGCCCGTCTCAAAACCTTCCTCTTCGACCGCGCCTTTGGTCATCTTTCTACCCCACCCCCCTTGCCCTCCAATCCCGTTCCCACCCTGCAGTTTGGGTGCAAACCCCTCATTGTCCAGCTCCTTGTGACATCCTCCCGACTATATAAATATAATTTGTTGTTGTTTTAAGAACCGCAGAAACCAGGCTTACCTGGGTCCTTGCATTTGGTTTCAATGTTAAGACTGAATTCAACCATCAAACAAATGCTGGACGCTCCAAACGCAACATAAATAGTGTAAAGCTCGAATTGAGTGAAATGCCTCCCTCCCCCTTTGCTCTCAGTGTTGAGAATCAGCACTTAACCCCATTCTCTTCCCCTATTTTAAGGCGGCCAATCTATCTATCTAGCGGAAGCAGATAGGCCAAATGCCAATACGCCTTTAATAATAATAATAATAATCCTTGCATTTGATATAGCGCTTTTCACGTCGGGAGGACGTCCCAAAGCGCTTCACAGAACACACTGTAAAGTGAATTGACTGTATATTTGTGGGCGAACGCGGCAGCCAATTGCGCACAGCAATGTCCCACAAACAGTCGTAGATTGAAAATGACCAATTTATTATTGTTTTGGGTTTTGGAGGGATTATTATTAGGCGTGTGGAGTAAGGAAACTTGCCCAAGGTTTCGCCCTGCCTGGGATTGAACTCAGGTCTCTCACTTGCAAAGCGAGTGCTCTAACCACTGAGCTTTGGGGGAACGGGGAATCTGGGAGACATGAAGCAGGCCGGTGTGCAATGGTAGCGCTCAGATTTGAGGAGGTCGAAGAGGTAGGGACGAGGCTGTGGAGAGATTTAAAGGCGATTTACCAGAACGTGAGTTCAACGCTAAAAATTATTTTCTTCTCACACAACGACGACATTGCCAGAACTCAGCGCCGGCACACAATAAAAAAGAGAAGGCGTTGACAAATGAACTATTTGCTGACATATAATTGCTACCTTTGTACATTTTCATCACACAGTTGGCCCATGAACGTCCTATTTTTAAGTTCCACACACAAGGCAACAAGCACTCACCCTGAGGAAGAAGGGAAATTTCTTCCCGTAAAATCCAACCCGGAAAAACTCGGGCTCCAAACGCTGTTGATCCATTATTTTATCATAGAACGAGGCTTCCATCATCTAGCCGATGAAGGCACAAATAAAACATGTTGGAAGGCAGAGCAGTTGTAAGACTTTAAACCCACACCCATTGCATGCTCTTCACTGAACAATTTTCAAAATGATTTTCCCGAATTATACTGCAAATTAAAATAGTCATAATTCTTGTACTCGCTACAGTGCTTTTAATGACAGGACCAGTCACTGGGGCAGGGAGTCCTCCCACTCAGCTCCTGTTAATCCTGCAAAGCAAATCCCTATCGGGTAGGGTGATCTTAGCTGGGCTAGCAGCGGGACTGCTTTGTCAGAGGTGCTGTCCTTCGGAATAAGACATTTAACCAAAGTCCCATTATCTGCCTGTTCTAGTGGATGTTAAAGATCTCATGGCGCTATTAAAAGAGAGAAGGGATTTTCTCTCCTGGTGAACTGACCAACAAATGCCTCAGATAAAATTGGTCATTCACTTCACGGCTGTTTGTGGGATGTTACTGTGTGGAAAATGGGCTGCTGCATTCGCCTACAAAATACACGGTCACTATGCATTACAGTAAAATTCTGCGAAGCATTTGGAGACCTCCTCTGACATCAAAGGCAGTGTACAAAACACAAGGATTATTCCTGCCAACAGAGCCACGCTGACATCTAGTAGTATGTGTTGGGGCGTTGGATAATAAAGCAACAATAAGAAACAGCTGACAATTATCCCGATATTCGTAACCAATCAAATGACCAAGCACAAAAGGACAGCGGCGGTGGAGTGGGGGGTGTAGGGTAGAGAAGGGGCGTGTAATGCCCACTGCCTCACCCTCGAACAAACCCACAATATATTACCCTCATCTTGCTTAAGTTGCGATAATCATAGAAGCTCTCGTATTGGTCAGCTAATTCCCGGCAAAGGATTATTCCATTTTCCCAGCACTGAAAAGGAAACACAAACAAAAAAAAATCAAGCCTTGCTTTTACATGTGTTGTTGGGGTTTTTTTGTGGGGGGGGAGGGGTGATGCGAAGGTCCACCTGTGGATCCTGTCTTAACCGCTTAACCCTTTTAATGATAATAATAATCCTTGGATTTGATATAACGTCTTATCATATCGTTGAGACATCTCAAAGCGTGTCACAGAATATATCGTAAAGTTTATTTTGCGCACAGCAGTGTCCCACAAACAGGCGTGGATTGAGAGCTTATTATTAATTTTTTGGGGCAGGATTATCACCCCTGGAAAGCGATCCACCAATCGACTAACAACTGGGTTCCTATTTACTGCTAGGTAAACAGAGGTGTGTGGAGTAAGGAAACTTGCCTAAAGTTTCATCCCGCCCGGGAATCAAACCCAGGTTCTCTTGCATGCAAGTCGAGCACGCTAACCACTACGCTACTGGACTCCACACTTAACAATAGAAGCTGGGCATTCAAGATGGAGTTGAAGAAGGAAAAGACAAGTGAAAGGATAATTAAAGGGGTCGGGTGTGAGACGGATTTTGAATGAGGGGAGAGAGGGAGAAAGTTAGAGGGACTATGGGATGGAGTTTCAGAGAGTGGGGGCAGAAAGGTTAAAAGCTCACCCACTGATGGTGGGTCAGCTCAGGCGGTGGAAGCGAAGTTGGCTGTTGCCCGCCAAGCAAAATTAAAAAAAACTTTTAATTGTTGAATTCAGTCTGCATTTTGAAGCAGGTTTTCTGCAGTTCTTAAAAGAAACTGATAGTAAACTAGTTTTAATAATTTGCCGAATTCTGGACACTAAATGCACAACAACAACAATAACAACCGAATACATTTATATAGCAGCTTTCACGGAAGGATGTCACAAGGCGCACGGCAGTTAAGGGTTTGCACCCGAGCTAGGGGTTGGAATCAAGAGGGTTAGAAAATAAGGGGGCTGGGTGGGATTGTGGCTGAATAATAATAATAATCCTTGCATTTGATATAGCGTTTTTCACATCTTCTAGACATCCCAAAGCGCTTCACAGAATATACTGTAAAGTGAACTGACTGTATATTTGTGGGCGAACGTGGCAGCCAATTGCGCACAGCAGTGTCCCACAAACAGTCATGGATTGAAAATGACCAATTTATTATTGTTTTGTTTTTTTGGAGGATTATTAGGTGTGTGGAGTAAGGAAACTTGCCCAAGGTTTCGCCCTGTCTGGAATTGAACTCAGGTCTCTCACTTGCAAAGCGAGTGCTCTAACCACTGAGCTAGAGGACTCCACGTCAAAGACGTGGAAAGCACGTCAAAGTTCTGGAAAGCACGTTCCAGAAGTCAAAGAGGAAGGTCTTGAAACGGGCTTTGAAGGAGGCAAGGCAGGGAGCGAGGCAGAGGGGCTCTGGGATAGAGTTCCAGAAGATGGGGACAGATAGGCTGAAGGTCCGACTGCCGATGGTGGGGCTTGGCGGGCGGGGAATATAGAGCAGGCCTGTGTCCACTGAACGGATGGAGCAGACAGATTTGTGTGGTGTTAAGAAGTCACAGAGGTAAGGAGGAACAAGACAGTGGAGGGCTTTAAAACTGAGGATGAGGATTTTGAACTCTTTCGTCTGGGGGGGCTGTGGAGCCAGTGGAGCCGGGTGAGGAATGGGGTGATCGGTTCACGGAGCTTGGTACGGGAGAGAAGATCAAATTGCGTTTGAAGACCCCCTCTGTATTAGAAATTAACACCTGAGATTTTAAATCAAAGCTGCAAATTGTCATCTGCATGGAATATTGCAACAGTTTTAAACACAGATGTTTTTGAGTTTGTTAGCATTTCTAATCAACACCAAAAAAAAATGTATAATGTTGGAGGAAAATTAATAGCCAATTCTCTCAACGACAGCAACTTGCATTTATTAGCATTCCTCATACAGGGTAGGATCCCAAGTGTTTGATAGTGGCACTGCACAACTCCGAGCCGGGGGAGATGACTAAAAGCACAGTTGAAGAAGGTTTTCAGGTGCAACCTGAAGGTCAGAAAATTGGGGCAAGGCGAAGGGATTGAGGGAAAAAGTTCCAATTTCAGGGCGTAGTAACTGGAAGTACAGCCACCGAAGGTGGAACGCAGGGCAAGAGGGACAAGCAGGAGGCCGGAGCCAGTTGATCTTTGTGATTTTTTTCAAAAAAAATTAGCAATTTGTAAAATGCAAGGGTTAGGGACATAGGAATTCCTACCGAAAGAAAAACTAAGGTCCATCTAGTTTGCCTTGTACTATCCTAGTAGTTGCATGCTCCAATAATGGAGATGTTGACAACAATTAATTCTGCATGGATTAGTCTAAAACAGAGTGGAAAGCTTTGGGATCCTTAGATGCAAAGTTGCCTGGTTCTTGCAAGGATACTACACTTACTATATGTCGAATTACTCATATACTGTATCCCCAAATATTATATTCTAAAAGAAATCTATCTAATTTGTATTTAAAATACTAATGGCCCCCTCTTCTTCAATATCTATATGCTCCCTCTTGGTGACTTCATCCGCAGCCATGGGGTCAACTTCCACACCCAACTCTTCCTCTCTGCCTCCACCCTTGACTCCAGGACTACTGCTGTCCTGACAGAATGTCTGTCAGACATCAAGTCCTGGATGAGAGCTAACTTTCTTCAGTTGAACGTCAACATGATCGAGGCTCTCCTGATTGTCTCCCATCAGCGCCTCCTCACCTCAGGTGCTGACAGCATCAGCATCCATGGTTGCACACTCCACCTTACTAAGCCAGTCTAGAACCTTGGGGTCTTATTTTCCCCTCAACTATTCTTTCTATCCCACATCTGCGCCATGACCCGCTCTGCCTTCCCCAGCTCTGCAATGTCGCCCAGCTCCGACACTGTCTCACACCGCAGGCTGCTTTCATTACATCAAGGCTCGACTATGCAAACTCATTGCTTGTCAGCCTCCTCAACTCCTCCCTCCACATACTGCAGATCATCCAGAACTCTGCAGCCCGTGTCCTCTCCCGCACTGGGCACCACGTCCCTATCACCCCCATCCTCACCCAACTCCACTGGCTTCCCATCACACAGAGGATACAGTTCAAGATCCTGGTTCTCACCTTCAAAGCCCTCCACGGTCTTGCACCCCCTACTTCTCCAACCTCCTAACCCCCTACCAACCTGCCAGTTCCCTCCTGGGACGTCCTCCTGACGTGAAAGGCGCTATACAAATGTAATCTTGTTGTTGTTGTTTTTGGGACGTCCTCCCGACGTGAAAGGACCTAAACAAAGGTAATTTTGTTGTCGTTGAATGAATTGACACTCTCTGCTTCCACTGTCTCCCTAGGGATTTCTGTGATCTTTCGCCCATCTGCCTACCCACCCCTCAGATTTGTATAGGAAGCATACAAATAAGAATAAGAATAATCCTTGCATTTGGTATAGCTCCTTATGTCTTTGAGACGTCTCAAAGCGCTTCACAGAATATACTGTATATTTTGTGAGCGAAACCTGGCAGCCAATTGCACGCAGCAGTGTCCACAAACAGTCGTGGATTGAGTGGCCAAACTATTTTTTTAAAAAGATTATTATTACCACCGGAAAAGAGATCCGCCAATCGACTAACAATCGGGTTCCTACTTACTGCTAGTAAACAGAGGCGTGTGAAGTAAGGAAACTTGCCCATCGTTCCACCTTGCCTGGGAATCAAACCCAGGTTACTTGCGAGGCAAGTGCTCTAACCACTAAGCTACAAGACTCTACATATGCCAGGTTTGAGAAGATTCAGCGAGGAAACAAAAGGAACCCAGTGTGAAAATCAGGCAGGAGAGTAGTGGGGAGAGGAGAGGAGGTATCCTAGCTACCGATATGTTCTCATACTCTGACACCTGCCCACACAGCACAAACCCACACAGAGGTTGGAATAAAACACATTGCAAAACGCATAAATTTAAAGGTCCATGCATGAAGACTGCCTGCCTGCCCCATTTCTCCTGCACAGTGCATTTCTGTAAGTGACGTGGGATTTAACCAAACAGCCAGACATCTAAGGAGATAAAAGGAGTCCTGTAGCATAGTGGTTAGTTCACTTGCCTTGACAGGACCCAGGTTTGATTCCTGGATGGGGAGAAACCTAAGGCAAGTTTGAATCAACAGATCTCTATCCCGGGGTAATAATTTCCCCCCACCGCACCAAAAAAAATTTGGTCACTCAATTCACGACTGTTTGTGAGACATTGCTGTGTGCAATTGGCTGTTACATTCCACCCACAAATACAGTCAATCCACTTTACAATATATTTTGTGAAGCACTTTGGGCCATCTCAACGAAGTGATGAGGCGCTGTATCAAATGCAAGGATCATTTAATAAACTGTGAAGTGAACAACAGTGTGGAAGGGAAGGGAAGAGGAGGAAGCAACATTTACATTGACTTTTGCACTAACTTGACCTCAGCTCCCGGCTCAGCTGGGAGAAAGGGGAAATGAGGTGCTCAGGGTTGGGAGGGCTGAAATCATTGAAGTAAAAGAAAGGATTGAATACTTTTGAGCGGTTTGCAAAAGGCAACAGCAGCAATGACAATATTACATTTATTCAGCATCTTTCATGTCGGAAGGACGTGCCAAGGCTCTGAATGATGAAGAACTGTGGGTTGGGATCAGAGAGGGATGGAGAGCAAGGTGGGTGGGTGTGGGAGGCTGGCCGAAGGCACGGGCTAAGAGGAAGGTTTTGAGACGGGCCTTGAAGGAGGCCGTGGGGGGGAGGGGTCAAGTTGAAGGGTTGTGGGATGACGTTCCAAAGCGTGAGGACAGAAAGGCTGATTGTGGAGCAGGCAGGGCAGGGGACGTGGATCAGGCCAGTGCCCGCCGAGGGGAGGGAGCAGACAGGTTGCTGAGGTTTAGGAGGTCACAGAGGTAAGGCGGAGCAAGACTGTGGAGAGCTTTAATGGTGAGGACAAGGATAAGAACTGCCCAATTCTTTCGAAACTCACATTCCCTAGCCAATGGAAAAGGCAGGGTGGGGGATGTGGAGCTATTATAAAATGTTATTGTTTTGAGTGAACAGTGATTGCTTGGGTCTCAAATGGAAGTGAAAGCGAGGCGTTAATAGCTATAAGCCTATTTAATGTCACAAATGGGAATGGGATCTTGCAATATTTTACGCTGTGGTTATATTAAAATCAAAGTGAGGTTGCAGAATGTTTAGTTTCACATGCTTATTATTTCACACAGAAGTCGACATTATATCAGTGTAATAAATTATTCCTGAAATATTTGATTAACTGTTGCAGGGCTTTTTAAAATGCATCAACAGAGCACTATAAAATATATGACTCTGGAAAACACAGCATTGTGTATAAATTGCCCCTCTGGATTTTTGAAGCTTATTAATCAACCTCGTGGCATTTACAACTAATCTGGTTGATACTTTATTTTGTCTAAAATTTATCATACAGCTGGGCAAACGGACGTCCCGACTGCAAACTGTTGAACTTACTTTGCCCTTGTCAAAGTTCTGGATGATGGTGAGATGCAGGGTCTCCTTACGCTGCCATTCAGTCTGCATCGGATAATGAAGGAAATCTCTCAGTGGTCTCTCCGACCACTCCAGGAGCTCGTCATACAATAACAGAGTGTACGCAGCTTCTGCATTACAGAACAAGAGTCAAAACAAATGTCAATTTTATTTTTTGGTCAGCCAAATGTCTGACACATGCGGAAACCCATCACCATATTTCCAAACCAAATGGAGAATTCCATTCATCTGACCTACACATGGAACTTCCAGAGATAGATTGTTGGAATGGGATGCACACTCTATTCCTGGAAGGACCATCTTGCTTACCTAATTCCAGAGAGTATGAGACACAGGTTGGCAAGAAACAAGGGTTGGGACCCCAGAATGTGCATTGGGGTACTGCTGGAAACCGCATAGCTTGACACTGAGAGCATTATCTGGCAAGCTATTCCACTGTTTGTCCAGCTAGGACCATCCTGCCTTTTAGGGCTTTAGCTGCAGGGTTAAGAAGAGCTGAGTGGAAAGATTCCCTGTCCCCAGTGACTGGTCTGCCTTTCAAAATTCTGCCAATGAGCTAGGACCCACTTGGCTCAAGAACCGGACAAGTAACCGCCACAGAGGGCTGACTCGATTTGGATATTCCGTTGGCAGACATGTCACCTTGGAGCCAGATCAGCTCCAAGGAGACCCCGCTTATCTTCCCTTCCAGGGGATGCTGTTGGGGGGGGGGGGGGCGGGGTAACAAAATAGATCCAAGAAATCTGCAGAATTACAATTTACAGCTAAATGTCTGTTACTCATATCTGAACAGTGAACGGTTCAGCGGAGTGGAACCCTGCAATTTGCTGAGATGTGTGACTTTTGCTGAACTTGTACAGAGGTTTCTTCCAAATTGTCACCAATAAGCACACACAACACGTTCAAAACTCCGTGAGAAGATTTCCGAGCTTTTCCAAGTGCGGCTATAGCAAGTGACTCCACATGACAGCTCACCTCCGCAACACACAATGGGAATCATTTTTTTTAAATCACCAAAGGTAGGTTACTGTCTGTGGGATTCTCATTGCAAGTGTATGGGTCATTGGCAGGTTCTGGAGCAGCATTGCCTCTGCTTCTCTCTGACATCTTCCTCCTCTCACATTCCCCTCTCCTCTCTCTCTCAAACCCTTATTTATTAGGCTGGGGCTCTGTCTAACCTAATAAATCAGACTATGAGTGATATCCCCCCTCTCCTTCCAGGGTGCTGTCTCCTCTAGCCCCCTCTATGCCATAGCAGCAACCCCGACGGTCCCATCGCCCACTCTCTCCAGCAGACCCTCCCGCCTCCAGGAGGCAAACCCCCTCCTTCATACACATTCACACCCTTCCCAACTCTCCTCCCCCCTCAAACCCCATGGCCATTTTCCCCCCACAATCTGCAATCTCCCCAAAACCCCTCCTCCCTCAGCCTCTGCCCCCTTCTCCCATCAGCCCCCCAAGCCGCATCGGCCTCCAATACATCTGCTCCCTCTTAAACAAAGCTCTTGCCATCCACGACCTCATCCTGGATGAGTATAACATCCTAGTGCACACAGAAACCTGGCTGTCCCCCGATGACCCAGCCCCTCATCGAAGCTTCCCCCCCGGCTACACTTTCCACCCGCCCTAATCCTCATCCCCATCAAACACCCTCAATCCTAACATCAAATCCAGTGCGAGGAGGTCTTGGATTTCTTTAGCTCCAATATAGATAACATCCGCCTGTCCATCTCCTTCTCATGCCCCATGTCCCCCAACACTTCCCCCCCACCTCATTCCTTCTCCATCACTCACTCCTCCTCCCATGGCTCCTCCCATGGGCCCAAACCTACACTCCTTTGCCCCCATCTCTCCTTCCTCCCTCTCATCCTCCATCACCCAGATGAAACCGACCACCTGCTTCCTCAAACCGCTCCTCACCCAGCTCTTCAACTTCCCCTCCTCTGCCCATTGCTGGCAGACACCATAAATCAGTCCCTCTCCTCAGGCTCAGTCCCACTCCCCCTCAAGATAGCTGTCATCACTCCCCTCATTAAACAAAATACTCTTGACCCTTTCAAGCTCGCGAACGACCATCCCATTTCAAACCTGCCCTTCCTGGCCGAGGCCCTGGAACGAGTTTTTGCAAACCAACTTCGCTCACACCTCACTGCCAACTCCTGACTCAAATCCCTCCAGTCTGGTTTCCACGCAGCCCACAGCACAGAGACAGCACTCGTCAAAGTAACAAATGACATCCTCTTTGTCTGTGACCAGGGCTCCCTCTGCCTCCTCATCCTCTTGAACCTCTCGCTGCATTCAACACAGACGAGCACGCCATCCTCCTCCACCGTTACTCCTCCCTCATCCATCTTTGTGGGACCACACCCACATGGTTCGAATCCTACTTAACAAACTACCAGTCACCTGTGGGGAACCCCAAGGCTCCATCCTAGGCCCCTTCTTTTCCTCATCTACATGCTCCGTCTCGGCGATGTCATCCATAGACATGGGGTCAACTTCCAAATGTATGCAGATGACACCGAAATCTACTTCTCCTCCTCCAGCTATGACTCACAGTCCTTAGATGTCCTGTCAGCTTGTTTGATGGACATCAAGGCCTGGATGAGCACAAACTTCCTGCAGCTCTCCCTCAGACTCTCCAAACCCGTGCCCAACTTAGGCGTCAGGTTCAATCCCGGGCTCTCCTTTCTACCCAACATCCGTTCCCTGACCAGGAAGGCTTTTTTACACCACTCTCACATTTCCTGCCTCCGTCCATACCTTATAACTGATGTAACTGAAACCCTCGTCCATGCCTTCATCATTTCCCGGCTGGACTATTCCAATGCCCTCCTCGCTGGTCTCCCCAGCTCCACCATATACCAAATCCAATTAATTCAAAACTCCGCCGCCCAAATACTCACCCGCACAAAAGTCCGCACCCCATTCACACCAATCCTAGCCAGGCTCCACTGGCTCCCAATCACCGAACGGATCGATTTCAAGATCCTCTCACTCATTTTCAAATCCCTTCATGTCCTTGCACCTCCCTATCTATCCGACCTGCTTACCTATTCCACTACCCAATGCCTCCACTCAGCAGGCTCCGGCCTCCTGTTTGTCCCTTGTACCCTCTGTTCCACCATCAGTGGCCGGGCCTTCAACCACTACGCCCCGAAACTCTGAAACTCTCTCCCTCAATCCCTTTGCCCACTCCCACTCAAAATCCTCCTCCTCTACCGGCCCCCTAAAACCTCTCCCACCTTCATCTCCGATATTTCGACACTTCTTACATCTCTCTGCCTCTGCTCTGATCGCCTCATCATCCTGGGCGACTTCAACCTGCAGTTCACCCCCTCCTGCTCCATCTCCTCGGACTTCTCTTCCCTGCTCTCCTCGCTCAACCTCTCCCTCCACATCAACTCCCCCACTCACAGTCACGGCCACCCACTCGACTTGGTGATCACCCGGGGCCTCAGTGTCTCGGATGTCACTATCACCGACAAGGCCTCCACGCCCCTCCCCACCTCCACCAGACCCACCACCATCTTCTACCGCCCCTGGAAGAAGTTACCCCCACAATCCCTAACCGCTGCCTTGGAGTCCTCTGAACTCCTCTCCCTCTGGCCTTCAACCCTCACTGACCCCTCTTCTCCTCTCACCCTCCTCCACAATACCCTCTCCTCCACACTCGACACTCTTGCCCCCATCACCTCCCGTACTGTCTCCTACTCTCGCTCCTCCCCCTGGTTCACCACCCACCTCCGCTCACTGAAGAGCCAGGTGCGGGCCGCTGAACGCACCTGCCTCAAATCTGGCCTAACGGTCCACCGACAAATCTGGCTGGACCTCCTCAAAATCTACCGCTCCACTCTAGCCTCGGCCAAGTCGTCCTTCTACTCCAGGATAATCCTGGAGGCGAAGAACAACCCCAGGCTACTGTTTTCTACCACATCCCGACTCCTCCGTCCCCCCCGCCACCCTGCGCAGGTCATCTCCTCCAACCTTCACTGTGAGGAGATGCTGGATTTCCTTGAATCCAAAATCAAGGGAATCCGCTCTGCGGTCACTTCCCCTCCAACCTCCACCCACCCACTCCCACACTCTGACTTCTACCCATCCTCCCCTACACACTTTCGTACCCGTTTCCCCATCCTCTGTCACCAAACTCATCCTATCCCTGAAACCCACCACCTGCTCCCTTGACCCCATCCCCACTCCACTCCTTATCTCCCAGCTCCACCTCCTTGCCCCACATATCACAGACATCGTCAACCTGTCCCTCTCCTCTGGCTCTGTTCCCATTCCCTTAAAAACTGCCACCATCACTCCCACCTTGAAAAAACCCTCCCTTGATGCGTCGCAGCTATCAAGCTACCGGCCCATCTCCAACCTCCCCTTCCTGTCCAAGGTCCTTGAAAGAGTTGTCGCCTCCCAGCTGCGCTCTTTCCTCTCCACCCATGCACTATTCGAACCCTTCAGTTGGGTTTCCGTGCTGCCCATAGCACAGAAACTGCCCTGGTCAAGGTCACCAATGACATCCTGACCATCTGCGACCAGGGCTCCTTCTGCCTCCTCGACCTATCGGCAGCATTCGATACGGTCGACCACGCTATCCTCTTCCACCGCTTGTCCTCCCACCTCAACCTTCAAGGCCCTGTCCTTGAGTGGTTTAGGTCGTACCTCTCCCACCGTCTTCACTTTGTTTCCACGAACGGCTTTTCCTCCAGCCCCTGCACTGTCTCGTGCGGTGTCCCTCAGGGCTCTGTCCTCGGTCCCCTCCTCTTCACCCTCTATATGCTCCCCCTCGGTGACATCATCCGCAGACATGGGGTTAACTTCCACATGTATGCGGATGACACCCAACTCTACCTTTCCTCCTCTACCCTCAACTCCACGACCACCGATGTCCTGACAGCTGCCTGTCCGACATCGAGTCCTGGACGAGAGACAACTTTCTTCAGCTCAACGTGCGTAAAACTGAGGCCCTCCTGATTGGCTCACGTCAGCGCCTCCGCACCTCAGGCGCTGACAGCATCAGCATCCAAGGCTGCACTCTCCACCTCTCAAAGCCGATCAGGAACCTCGGTGTTCTGTTCGACCCTGAGCTGTCCTTTCTCCCTCATATCCGCACCACAACTGGCACCACCTTCCATCACCTCCGGAACATCGCCAGACTACGGCACTACCTCACCCCTCACGCTGCTGAAACTCTGGTCCACGCCTTTATCACCTCAAGGCTGGACTATGGGAACTCTCTCCTCGCCGGCCTTCCCGGCACCTCCCTCCACAAGCTGCAGGTCATTCAGAACTCTGCAGCTCGTGTACTGTCCCGCACCAGGCTTCGGGACCACATCACTCCCACCCTCGCTCGCCTCCACTGGCTCCCCATCCCCCAGAGGATCGAATTCAAGATCCTCACCTACAAGGCCATTCACGGCCTTGCTCCCTCCTACCTCTCTGACCTACTATCCCCCTACTTACCTGCCCGTACCCTCCGTTCCTCTGGCTCCGGTCTGCTCCACATCCCCCGCCCCAACCGCCCTACCATCGGTGGCCGGGCCTTCAGCCTCTCAGCCCCTAGGCTCTGGAACTCTATCCCCCAGTGCCTTCGCCGCCTCCTCCCTTTCCTCCTTCAAGGCCGGTCTCAAGACTCTTCTCTTTGACCGTGCCTTCAGCTCCCCTCTCGACTCTGTACCCCCTCCTCGCTCCCTCCCTTCCCCCTGACCATTTCCCCCCTGCTCAGGTCCTGACCCAACTGTACAGCGCCTTGGGACGTTCTCCCGACGTGAAAGGCGCTCTATAAATGGAATCTTGTTGTTGTTGTTGTTGTTGTTGCCTTGCCCCCTCCCTCCCCACCTTCAAATCCCGCCTAAAGGCCTTCGTTTTTGATCGTACTTATGGCCAACCACCCCCTCCCTCTTCCCATGGCTTGTTGTCAGACTCCGCCACTGTGAAGTGCTCTGGGATGCTACCCCACATGAAAAGCGCTAGATAAATGGAAGTTGTTGTTGTTGCTTGTCTAATGCAGCATCAACAATACAATTTGTCCTGCCATAAAACAGGACATCCTTTTGATATCAATGACAAACTATGAAATTATAGCTGGCTAGACTCCAGGGGTTACCCAACTCAGGTCATCCAGTGACACTCTGGGGTCACCCAAATCTTGGCTCTTACCAACCTGCACCTAATATTTTCCAGAATTTGGTTAAGCAAGGTGTGTACCCCCAGGGAGAGAGTGTGTATTCCATTCCAACAATCTATCTCTGGAAGTTGTATGTGTAAGTGGGATTCTCAGTTTGGTTTGGATATTGTTAAGTATGGGGATGGATGTCTGCTTGTGTCATTTTGTGTTAAACTACCAGATTGATCAAAAACAAAATAGCCCCATTCCTGTCTTCAGTGACACAGTCCCAGTTTTCTTCACATAAAGGGAAGGGCTCTATGATTTAAACTGTGAGGAGAACTGCCTAAAAATAACGCAAGTGCAATTGGAGTGACAAGTGCACACCCAAACACGCAGGCACACACACCTCAACACAGCCAAACACACACATAAGCACAAGCAAACAACATGGAACATAAACCTTGTGAATACAGAAACAAACAAGAAATGCATGCATACACATACACAGATGCATTCAGGCACACACAAACATGAACACATTCAAACACATACATATAAGTGCATGCATATGCATCAACACTTTGCATTTATATAGCGCCCTTTGCACGGGTAGCGAAAGGGCGGGGGAAAACACAAACACACAAATAAGAATGCATTCATACATATGCATGCACACACATACACAACCCATTCCATTCAACCCTGGACCTCAATTGGTTCCATTCTTCACCAAGTGTGGCTAAAAACATGCTTTAAAAGATTCAACAAGTGGTGAGCGTATAGCTAACCTGGCGACCTGGACACTGGGTGGGTGGGTGAGACCTTGACATACCTGTAAAGTTCTGGGCCTTCAAATGTAAGTCATACAGCTTGTGGATGTAACGGATGTACATTTCTTCTTTATTTATTTCGGTTTTATAAAAATTCTGAAAATGAACAAGAAAGGGTTAAAAATGGAAAAGGAAGCATATGTAAGTGTCAACTTTCTCACTTTGCTGATGGGACCACAAATTCTAAGCTCCTGACTGAAACAATATCCCCTCCCAGCCCCCAATTGAAGATAATCTTCATTGTGATTGTTTTCTGTACCTTTTCTAATAGAAACATGGGATTTACTGTCCATTTTGTAAGCTAAGTGCAGCAGTCAACTTGCACAGAGCAGTGTCCCACAAACAGCCAATTGACCAATTTTTTCATATTGGATCGTTGGCTAGTAGGCAAGGATCCCATTATTGGAAAAGAGAAGGGAGTCTCTCCCGGTGAACCAAACAGCTTCCACTTATTCCTGTTTCCCTGTGTTCTGAAAGATCCTTGAGGAGAGTTACTTTGATTCAAAAGCCAAAGAAAAAAACGCTGAAGGTAACCTGGCCAAAGAACAGCAGCGCAGTAGAATGCCCAGTCTCAAAATCACAACTTAATGAATCAATAAGAGACCAACGATATCCACATATATTGTGGGTGGGAGAGAGACAGAAAGAGAGAGACAGAGCACGAGAGAGTATGCATGTGTGTTTTTATGCTGTTCAAGGTGAGGGACATGTGATACAGAATGGATATTGATTCCATTTTTAGCACCATGATGTACTCCCAGGTCAACCTATAACAAGGGCTGAATCTGGAGAAAGGCCATATCCACTTGGCTCCCCCCAAAAATGGACGTCCCTCTTTCCACCTTCCACCCACCCACACTCTGTGTTACACACACCTTTCCTGCATCAGTGTGTCAGCTTGGCTAGTGTTAGCACTCTCGCCTCGGAGTCAGAAGGTTGTGGGTTTAAGCCCCACATTGGGAACTATTAATAATAATAATAATCCCTGCATCTGATATAGCGCCTTATCACATCATTGAGAAGCTGCCGTCTCTCTCTCAATATATCTCTAATGGTGTATAGTCTAAGATGACACTCCAATGCAGCGCTGGGGTTGTGCTGCATTATCAGAGACGCTGTCCTATGGATGAGACATTAAACCAAGGATCCATTTGTTTATTTTAGTGTTTTAAAATTCCAGGAACTATTTGAAAAGAGAAGAGAGTTTCTCTCTTCTGGTGTCCTGGCCAACAATCCCCCCAAAAAGTTGGTCACACACTCCATGACTGTTTGTGGGACACTGCTGTGCGCAACTGGTTTCTGCATTTGGCCCACAAAATACACAGTCACTCCAATTTACAGTATATCCTGTAAAGCACTTTGCATCATCTCAATGATGTGATAAGGTACCATATCAAATGCAAGGACAATTATTATTATTATTAATACAATGGGGAGAATGAAACAAATTGAAGGTTCCTTTTTTGCAGGATGATAGTTTTCTGGTATTTTTTTGCTTCACTGTTTGGATCATCACCTCAGCCCACCCACAGGCAAGAGAGTCTCAAGTCTCTGATAGTGGAGTCCTGTAGCTCAGTGGTTAGAGCACTCGCTTTGCAAGTGAGAGACCTGAGTTCAATTCCAGGCAGGGCGAAACCTTGGGCAAGTTTCCTTACTCCACACGCCTAATAATAATCCCTCAAAAAAACCAAAAACAATAATTAAAAATTGGTCATTTTCAATCTACGACTGTTTGTGGGACATTGCTGTGCGCAATTGGCTGCCGCGTTCGCCCACAAATATAGAGTCAATTCACTTTACAGTGTGTTCTGTGAAGCGCTTTGGGACGTCCTCCCGACGTGAAAAGCGCTATATCAAATGCAAGGATTATTAAGGATTATTATAACTCTACCCATGAACTAACCCCTGGGAAGCTGCCATTTCTCTCCCAATGTGTCTCTATTGGGGTTTATCCACAGTGACGGGGGAGAGATTGGGAGTGCGATGCTTTGAGGGGAGAGGAAGAAAATCGCTGGTATCTGGGTGGATGGACAGTCTGGTCGCCAAATAATAATAATCCTTGCAGTTGATAAAGCACCTTATAACATCGTTGAAACCTCTCAAAGTGCTTCACAGAGTATATTGCAAAGTTGATTGACTGTGTTTCTTGTGGGCGAAACGCGGTAGCCAATTGCACACAGCAGTGTTCCTCTAACATTCGTGGATTGAGTGACCCAGTTTTATTTTAAGGATTATAACCCTCAGAAAGCGTTCCACTAATCAATTTACTACTAGATAAACAGAAGAGTGTGGAGTAAGGAAACTTGCCTAATATTTTGTGCAGCTCGGGATTCGAATCCAGGTCCTCTCGTTTGCGAGGTGAGCGCGCTAACCACTGCACTATGGGATTCTGATGAACCGCGAACACACTTAATGACGTACCCTGTTTTTCTGTGGACTGAGTTGGTAAAGGAAAGAGATACTGACCAGCAGGCTGACTGTGCAGCCAATCTTTTTGCCATCAACCTCCGCCACTTTCATACAATCTCTGCGAATGGTACACAAAAAAACACAATGATTGCAAGGGTGATTTTCTTTCCCCACAAACAGCCCAGTACCCCCACCCCACCCCACCCACATTCACTTTTCCAATCTTGCAGCTCTCACCGCATGAAAAGGACACTTAGCTGTCTAGAGGGGAAAAATCTATTTTGCATAACAACAGGACAATTCTCAAAGCAACGGAAAGAAGCACAGAAAGAAAACACAACTGAAGCTTTAGGGTTTTTTTGCTGTGGGGGGAGGAAGGAGAAAGAGAAATGGGTGAGGAGGAAATTAAACAAAAAATATTTAGAATACAGGGGTTATTGTCCTAAAATGCGGGTGATTGCAAGCCGGTGTTGTTTAAACTGTTCAAAAAGGCACCAATCTTATTCTCTGCACATTACCAACAGAAAATAATTCACCGAAGACTGCGACATGCTTCAGTTTAAAAATAAAACACACACACAGCAGTGTGTGCGCAAACAAAATTCAACAATAGCACACATAGAGAGAGAGACACCTACAGAGAGACTGAAAGAAAGAGAAAATACAAGGCTCGCTTCTGTGATTTTACCTATAATCCAACAACCTCTCCATCAGGCGAGTCACAGTAGCCACCAGAGAAATGCCACTTTCTCGCCACGTTTCCCTCTCGATTTTCTTCAGCAAGCTGCAGATTGAAAAGGACAAAATTGTCAGGGCTTCTTTTTTGCCCTCGACCAGCTGGCTGGCACAGCACAGCCCAGCCCAGTTTAGTTAGCCCACAGAGCCACCGACTGAGCCATGATGATTCACTGGCTCAAGTCCTCCACAGACAGTTCGAAAAATACATCGAGGATAATGATTACTTAAGTGACAGACTGTAAGTTTTAACATGCACCAGGTTTATCTACAACACATGCTAAAATGTAATAATCCCTGGAATGTCTTACCTGGGATAAGGCCCAAAAAGTGGTATTCTAGATCCAGGAAGCATTGGCAAAACAAATGAATTTTTAGAATATCCATGAAAGAATGAACACAGGCAGGCTCTCTTTTCGGCAGCACTCTGCGTCAAAAGTGCGTTGTCATGGCTACAACCTTCTATGCTTATTTTGTCATTTTAACAGGGCCTTTTTTTTAATATGGATATATATAAATAAAAAAAAGTAAAATTAGCATAATTGCTGAGGGAGAAGCGAATGTGGAGCAGGGATGAACCAATTCCACACGCACAGTCAGGTTGTTATTTCACCTCGACACTTTGCTCAACACCAGAGGATTCGCTGTGTCTGATGCCAGGGCAGTGGAGAGCCAAGTACCGACCACCTTCGATGACTACAAGGCAGTATGCTGATATTATCCCACAACCCAAGTGGATCAGCAATGGCAGCAATGGTGCTGACAGTCCAATATGATTTTCTTACACTCCTCGTCTTTCCCCCTCCTCCCCTCGTTCTGTTATTTTGCACAATTACTTTTCACGTCAAGTCTTCTCCCACGAAGATGGGATTTGCTGTTCTCTCTCTCCTCTCCCCCCTCACACAGACACACAATGAACTCTACCAAACTGCAGCAAACCATCATTTTGGCGTCTAACGTGTGGTACTTGCTGTCAAATGACTTGCCAAGTGCAATTACAATGACAAAAGCAACCAGGCACCCCTCCGCGGGCTGAAACATCAACCTCAGGACTGCTCTTTGCTCCCGATCTTAACACTTGAGAGCAACCAAGTGGAAATGCACAATAATTTATGATGGAAAGAAAGAACTTCACCCACAAATCAGTGATCCAAATCCACTTCATGGTGAAGCACTTTTGACATGTCTTCCCAATGTGAAGGACATTATACCAAAAGGATTATTATTTGTTGTAGTAGTATCATTAACTTGTATTTTTACAATGCATCACCACATCGAAACGTGCCAAAGGGCTTCACAGATTCAGGCAGAGTTGTAGGCAAATACAGGAAGAATTTCAAACACAGCAATATCCCTCAAACAACCATGGAGTGAGTGACCATTTTATTTTGAGGGGTTGTTGCCCAGGACACAGGGAGAGAGAAACTCCCTTCGCTTTTCAAATAATGCCATGGGATCTTTAACATCCACCTGAACAGGCCGATGGGACCTCGGTTTAGTGTTTCATCTTAACGACAGTACCTCCAATAATAATAATAATAATCCTTGCATTTGATACCGTGCCTTATCTTGCTGTTGAGACATCTCAATATGCTTTCACAGGATATACCTTCAAGGCCTTCCACGGTCTTGCTCTCCCTACTTCTCCGATCTCGGACCCCATATCAGCCTGTCCATTCCCTCCGCTCGGCGGACACCGTCCTGCTTCAGGTCCCCCGCATTTCCCGCCCAACCATTGGTGGCCGGGAATTCAGCATCCCTGCCCCCACAGTCTCGAACACTATCCTGCAATCCCTCTGCCTCACCCCCTCTCTTGCGTCCTTCAAGTCCCATCTGAAGACCTTCTTCTTTGATCGTACCCTTGGCCACCCTCCCACCCCGACCCCCCAGCCCTTTGCTCTCTTCCCCTTCTGTCCACAACACCCAGCTCGGGTGCAAAACCCTGAGTGTCCAGCACCTTGGGACGTCTTTCCAACGTGAAGGGCACTATAAATTGTTGTTATTGTATAATGTAAAGTGAATTGACTGTTTATGTTGTGGGCAAAATGCAAAACATTTTGTGGCTGAAACGCGAAACAGTTGCACACAGCAGTGTCCCACAAACAACCATGGAGTGAGTGACCAATTTTATTTTGGAAGATTGTTGGCCAGGACATGGGAGAAACTCCCTTCTCTTTTCAAATAGTGCCATGGGATTGTTAACGTCTACCTGAACAGGCAGATGGGACCTCGGTTTAATGTCTCATTTGTAAGACAGCACATCTGACAATGTACACAACCCCAGCACTGCATTGGAGTGTCAGGTTAGTCGATGTGATTCCAAGTCCCAATTTGGGGCTTCAACCCACAACCTTCTGACTTGAAGGCCAGAGTGTGACTGAATGAGCCAGGCCAACAGCTTGAAATGGAAACAGCTCCTGCCTTGGTGTGCGCGTGCCTGTGCACGTGCATGTGTGCGCGTGTGAGTGCATGTATGGGTGGGGGGAGGGGGAGAAGTATCAAGGTTGGAGGTGGTGGTTGGGAAGGGAGCAGGCAGTTGCCTCTTGCCCATTTCCTGCATGACTCTCAACACAAATGACCTGTCAGTGATTGGGAATCTCTGCATGGCACAAGAGTACAGATCAGCAGTGAGACAAGGGGGCTTCACTGCTCCAGCAAGGGACAGTTCAATGGAAGCCTCACAATGTGTTTACCCAATCAGCCATTCAGACAGCCCCACACAAACCAGGGTAAGCATAATGGAACAGAAAATGGATAGGAAATAACAGCAGATTAAATAGGTGTTTTTCTGTTAGGGCGCAATAAAGCAGAACGATCAAAGAGGCTGGAACTCACATGCTGTTGAAAAGCTCTCTGTACGTTTCATCACCTTTGCCTTCCGACATCAAGCTGTCCAGCTTGTCAATCAGCTTCGCCTCCACCTGAGGGATACAAAGGGCGAGTGAGTGAGTGAGTGAGTTTTTTTTGTCAGCTAAGTGTGACAAACATGTCACCTTGGAGCTGAACTGGCACAAAGGTGGCATGTTTGGGAACGGAATATCGGAATCGAACCAGCCCTCTGTGGTGTCTCTAACTTGGGTCCTGAGCCAGGAGGATCCGCAGTATTCCAGGACACTACTGTTGACAGCACAGCCAACCTGGCTCATCAACAGGATTTGGAAAGGCAGACCATTCACTAGAGGCAGGGAATCCTCCCACTCAGCTCCTGTTAATCCTGAAAGCCAAAGCCCTAATGGGTAGTGTGATCATATATAGACAAGCAGCAGGAACACTTGCCAGACAGTGCTATCAATGGCAATCTATGCGGTTTTAGCTGGTTAGACTCCAGCAGTTACCCCAACACACACTCTGATGTCCCCAAGCCTTGGCTCCGGTTCTTCGTAATACTCTCAGGAATTAGGTAAGCACAAGAGAGTGCACAACAATCTATCTCTAGAATTTCCATGTGTGGGTGGGATGCATGGAATTCTCAGCTTGATTTGGATACTCTTAAGCATGGGGATGGGTTTACTCATGTGTCAGACACCCAACTGACCAAAATAAAAAATCACCAACAACCACATTTTAATGCTCATCACACACAATCAATTATACACACACCACGCACAATCCCCCATCACACTCACACAACCATACACACACATAAGTAAGTACACACATACAAAATCCAAACCAGACACAAATAAGCACACACAAAAAATTATTTCGCTCAAGTGATAACACTGCAGTGATAACACTGAATTTCATATTTTAAAAAACTGTCTCTGGGGACAGGTACACAAGGGTGTTTGCAGTTGAAGTGGTTCCGGAGTGGGGGTTTCAGACAGGCTCTCGGTAAATCCAAGGCACTGTCTGGGCAACTTGTCTGGTCAATAACAGGAGATGGAGATGTGGATGTGTGTTCTGACAGGCAGCCTCACCCCCTTCCTTGCCTCCTTCAAGGCCCGTCTCAAGACCTTCCTCTTTGATCGTGCCTTCGGTCACCCTCCTAGTACCACCCTCCGTGTCCTCCACCCCTCCTGATTCCAACTCCCTGCTCAAGTGCAAATCCCTGACTGTCCAGCGTCTTGGGACGTCCTCCCAACGTGAAAGGCACTGTATAGATGCAATTTGTTGTTATTGGTCCACATTGGATGAGCCAGTGTGCTGGATGGTGATCGTGCTTGATCTTCGAATAAGAATTAGTGCCCCTCCAGCTTGACAGCATTAATGCATGTGCTGTTCTCCTCCGGCTTCTTAACAACACTTTGTGCGGCTGGTTGCTTGATGCTCGTCAGTGGAAAATAACTGTTAAAAGCCGTGGACACAGCAAGTAGGCAGTCAGACAGGCTTCCGAGCTGGGTTCCATTAAGCCACACGCAATTCACACTTGCAGAAATAAGAACCACGTCACCGGAGTGGAAAAAGAAATGTCATTTGAAGTTACCAGCGTTTCCAAATGTATGTAAATCTTCAAACCCACTCACAGCCAGCTGGTGCTTCTGAAATTTCTTGCTCGGAAACTGAAATGGATCTCAAACCGCCTCTCCCTCCCTCTCTCCTCACTCCTCTCTCCCAAGAGAGAGGAGTGAGGAGAGAGCAATATCCCCAAACAGCCATGGAGTGAGTAACTAATTTTATTTGGGAGATTGTTAGCCAGGACATCAGGAGAGAAGCTCCCTTCACTTTTAAAATAGCGTAACCGGATTATTAATGTTCACCTGAACAGACAGACATCAGTTTAACATTTCAGCCGATGGATGACATCTCCAACAGAGTAGCACACTGCAGCCATGGGGCATCAGCCAGGTCTGTGAGTTCAAAGTCCCTATTTGGTGCTTGAACCCACAATCTACCTCCTTGAAGTTCCTCTGGATTGCACATTACACAATTCGGTCCATTAAAAGTAGCTTCCTCCAACATAAGGGGGATACTCAGAATATTTTATCAAGGAACAATGAACATGCTTGTGTTATAACCCCGTGTCTCCTTTACAATCAAAAACAATGACTGGCGGACTCAGCCCTCAACATTAAACTCAATCTGTTCCACCAGTATTCCATCAGGGATGTCTCAAAGCACTTCACACAGCAGATTGATCACCAAGGTGTGGTGGCGGGGTGGGGGGGAAGAGCGGGGGATGAGGGAGGGTTGACTGAAAGCTCAGTCACAAAGATAACTCTTAAGACGGATTTTAAAGATGGGGAGGGAGGGACTCTCAGATGGAGTTCCAGGAAGAGGGCACAGAAGATTGGGAGTCGATCTAACATGGATGTGATGCAGGCTGGTGTTCATTGGGCAGACAAATAGGCCTGGGAAGCCGGGTCCAATACGGTGGGAGCAATGTATTGTCGGAAATCTGCCCTTCAAGGTCAAGTTGGATGTCCTTAACGTCCATTTCAACAGGCAGATGAGAACTCAGTTTAATACCTTAACCAAAGGATAATAATCCTTGCATTTGATGTAGCGTCTTATCACGTCGCTGAGATGTCTCAAAACGCTTCACAGAATATTTTGTAAAGTGAATTGACTGGATTTTGTGTGGGTAAAACGTGGCAGCCAATTGCACATAGCAATATCCCACAAACTGTCATGGATTGAGTGCCAGTGTCCGCCCAACGGAGGAGGCAGACAGGTTGGCTCGGTGTTTAGAGGTCGCAGAGATAAGGAGGAGCAACCCCTAGAAAATGATAGGAATGTAAAACGCAGCATAAATTCACAGCATCACATTGTTCTGATTTGAAGTGTCGTTCTTTTCAAGGAACCTCATGAATTTCAAGGGATTTGGCTCCGGAAGAACAGACAATTCTGTTGCTCACACACATGGCACTGATTCAGCACTGAGAGTGTTGCTAAAAGCTTGGCGACTTGTTAGTAACAATAATAATAATCCTTGCATTTGATGTAGCACCTTATCACATTGTTTGAGATGTTTCAAAGTGTTTCACACAATATACTGTAAAGTGGATTGACTCTGTATTTTTTGGCAGATAATTGCGCACAGCAGTGTCCCACAAACAGTCATGGTTTTTTTTTTGAAGGGATTATTACCCCCGGAAAGCGATCCTCCAATCAACCAGCAACTGGATTCCTATTTACTAGTAGATAAACAGAAGCGTGTGGAGTAAGGAAACTTGCCAACTGGGAATCAAACTCGGGTCTTTATTGGGGGTTGGGAAGGAGATTTTTTAAATTATTAACGATAACAATAATTAACCTTACATTTATTTGATTGCGCCTTCAGCGTTGAAAAGCTTCACGGGGAATTGCTGACAAAGGGAGTGACTGTGCATTCGTAGGAAAAAGTCCCACAAACCTTGATACAGCGAGTGACCAAATTAGCTGTTGGCCAGTTCTGATTAGGTTGAGATTGGGCGAGGCTGAGCTGAGTTGGGATTGGGTGAGTCTGAGCTGAGTTTGAATTGGGCAAGGCTGAGCAAGTTTCGGATTGGGCGAGGTTGAGTTGAGATGGATTGGATGAGGGTGACCTGGGTTGGATTGGGTTGGGTTGGGATTGGGTGGGGGTTGTGATTAGATTGGTTTACCCTGAGCTGGTAATGAGCTGTCTTGGGTTGGGTGGAGTTAGGTTAGGGTATGTTGTGCTGAGCTGATTTGGTCTGGAGCCATAGAGAAACCATCTTTACAGCTGTACTGATGTTGAACCCTCAACTCTGGGTAATCCAACATTGGAGAAGTAGCAGATCAAAGTGGTGGGAATGATTTTTATTCTAGAAGGGAAATCAATTCACCTGTTTGAAATTTCCGGTGCGTCTCTGCTCCCAGTCCATCATGTCATGGAAAATTGGGATCATGACATTCCGAAGATCTGCTTGAGGTACCAGGGTCACTTCAAGAAAAGGTCCAATCAATCCAGGTATGAAATTCATTTTATGTTCTCCTGCAAACCAAGCACAGCGCAAAGAGTCAGCAACAGGTGACTTCAACTCTGACCAGTAATGAATCACCGCAACACGTGAATTCAAGGTACATGGAGGTATCATGCGGTATAGCGTAGTGGTTAGCACGCTCGCCTCGCAAGTGAGAAGACCAAGATACAATTCCTGTGTGGGCCAACTTTCCTTACTCCACACGACTCTTATCTAGCAGTCAGTAGGAACCTAGTTGTTAGTCGATTGGCAGATCGCTTTCCAGGGTAATAATCCCTCAAAAAACAAATGGGCTCAATCCGCGACTCGGTCATTGCTGTGTGCAATTGGTTGTAGTGTTTCACCAACACAATACACAGTCAATTCACTTTAAAATATATTCTGTGAAGCACTTTGAGACGTCCCAAAGATGTTATGAGGTGCAATAACAAATGCAAGGATTATTATTATTATTAATCGCAGTTTAAACCCCCCAACTTCACTGGCCTCTTACCGAGATTTTGCCACATGCTGAAGATTTCACATCCCATCATTACTCTCATGTCGCCGTACCTGAAATGCAGTTTGGAGATGTACAGTGATTCACCTATACACAAAAAATCAACCCACACATCTGGCCCCGAAATTAAACACAGTTGTTTGAATTGTATGCTGTGAAATGGCCCATACAAGTTATATTGGACAAGAAAGCTTTGGCAGTCAAAAAATTCAAGTTTAAAAATTTTTTTTAAAAATAATTTGGTCACTCAATCCACCCAAGCAACATGGTAATGTGCACTATCAAATGCAAAGACTATTATTATTATAGATTAAATCAGAGTCATACACTTGTCAGACCTTGTGGTTGCAACTCACTTTTCCAGGGCTTTTTTCCTCTTCGAAGGAGAATAGATCTCAAGCTGGAGGCAAGGCTGGTTTATAAATATGACCGCAAGGTAGAAGTATGAGTCCCACACCTGCAAGAAAGCAAAGCCTTTTATCTTCAGCGCAACTTGATACATCACAAGGTCGTTTCAGATCATCCCTCCAGAATACCCACCCAACCGTTCCACCATCACAGCATCAAGCAGAGCCCGGGCCAGGGCCTTCAACAACAACAACAGTAAATTACATTTGTAAAGCATGTTTCACTTCAGGAGGACGTCCCAAGGTACTGGATTGTCAAGAATTGTGGAGGGATTTAAAAGTGAAGATGAGAATTTTGAACTCTACCCTCTGGGAGATGGAGAGCCAGTGGAGCCGGGCGAGGATGGGGGTGATAGGATCAAGTCTGCACGGAGAAGCCACAACTTGGAGCTGGTGATGGGCCCATGGCTTCTCATTCCTTCTTCCCATTTGGCTTTCATGGTTAAGTCCCTTCATTGCTGCGTTCACACATCTGCAAACAGCATGCATGCTTTCCGATCAGTGTTATTGCATGACAGGGCTCTGAGGGTACTGGCAGAAAGAAATCTCTTCCTTTTAACCGGACAAAATTTTGCAGAGTGCAAGTTGACTGCGAGCACACTAACCTCAATCACCATGAGAGTGAGAGCACCAGCAGGAACACCCACCAAAGGCCAGGAGTTTGATCAAGTGGAAGCCCAGGGCACAGCAGGAGAATTGGAGGCTCATGAAAGCACACCATGTGTGGACCCACAGCAGGTAACCATTCATCGAAACGTAGGAACCTCAGAACAGGAGTCGGACATTCAGCCCCGAGCCTGTTCTTCTATTCTATTAGATCATGGCTGATCTGTACAATTCCATTTACCTTTGCTCCATATCCCTTGATACCTTTACCGAACAAAAATCGATCCACCTCAGTCTTCAAAATTTAAATGGATCCAGGATCCGCAGCCTTTTAGGAGAGAGAGTTCCAGATTCCCACTACTCTTTGTGTGATAAAATGCTTCCTGATTTCACTTCTAAATGGCCCAGCTCTAATTTTAAGATGATGCCCCTTGTTCTGAATTCCCCCACCAGAAGAAATAGTTTCTCTGAATCTCCCCTATAAAATCTCTTTATCATTTTAAACACCTCAATTAGATCACCCCTCAACCTTCTAAACTCAGGGGAATAGAGACCAAGTTTACGCAACTTGTCCTCTTAATTGAACCTTTTTAGCCCTGGTATAATTCTGGTGAATCTGGCTGTATCCCTTCCAATGTATCTTTCCTGGGGTGCAGCTCCCATCCAACACCCTGGAGTCTTTCAGTTACAACAAAGATCCCAATTGAGAACGGAGATGCAAATAATGACAGTCCCTAAAGCAACTGTTAAACATAGTACCTGGTAACTGAGTCTGGTTACCTAGGAGTAAGTAGGTAACCGCTTGTTAGTCGATTGGCAGATTGCTTTCTGGTGGTAATAATCCATCCAAATTTTCTTTTAAATTTGGTCACTAAATCCACAACTGTTTGTGAGACACTGCTGTGTGCAATTGGCTACCACGTTTGGCCCACAAAATACACACAATATATTCTGAGTTAGTCGAGCAGTGATTGCAGTCAGCATACCCTCCAGTTACTCTGCCCCCACGTATGTCACTCCCTCCCTCTATACGTTTTACCTTCCGAGCACAGACACAACCTGACAAAAAAAAATCCCCGACATTTCACCGAAAGGAGTCATCACCATTATGAAGAAATACATTAGAAATCGCCTCACGTGACTGACTAGTTAAACCGCATCACTGACGCACATTTGGAATGACAGGTAGTCGTCCACACAGTAATTCACTAAAGCGCCCACCTTGTAGTCAAAATTGTCGTTCAGGAAGTTTTTTCGGAGGGCATCGGAGAGATACAGGATAGTTGTGATGATGACACTGCAATGACAAGGGCAGAGCAAAGCTTCTCAGTCACTGTCATAGTTCAGATCACCATCTCTAAGCCCCCATGCTCACTCAGTTTCACTGGCTTCCCATCACCCAGAGGATTACATTTAAAAGACCTCTGCGGTCCTCTGGAATAAAGAAGGGTGAAGGGTAGGGGGAGTGGGGGTGGGAGTGTGGCCTAAGATACAGTCAAAGCGTAAGGTCTTGGGCCAGGTCTTGAAGGAGGCGAAGGGAAGGGGTGAGGTGGAGGGACTCTGGGATGGAGTTCCAAATGGGGGGGGCAGAAAGACTGAAAGCCCGACTGCCAATGGTTCAAGCCCCACATCAGGACTTGGAAATCATATCGTCCAAGATGACACTTGAATGCAGTGCTGACTGGTCATGCATTGGTCACTCACTCCATGACCATTTGTGGGACACTGCTGTTGGCTGCTGCTGCATTTCGCCCACAAAATTAACAGTCAATGGTGTGAAGCGCTTTGAGATGTCTCAACGATGTGATAAGGCACTATATCAAATGCAAAGATTACTATTGTGATTATTTTTATTATCTTACTTGTTGGTGACCAAGCGCATGATCGTCCAGTCTTTGGGAAACATCTCAGGTCGAATCAAGATCCGAAACACTGTGAAGATCTGCAGCAGAAAATCCTGAAAGACAGACACACAAACATTACTTTTACATGCGCCTTAAGCCACACTTTTGTTTCTGACTCCTGCTTCTCAAAGCTCCCAAACCGCTGTTCATTGCTTGCGATGCTGGAGAAACTATTTCCACTGGCGGGTGGATTGGTAACCCGAGGACACCAATTTAAAATAGCTGTTAAAAGAAACAGAGGGGGGGTGAGGAGAAATGTTTTCACACAGCGAGTTGTTCGGATCTAGAATGCATTGCCTGAAAGGATGGTGGAAACCGTTCGATAACAACTTTTATGTGAGAAGTAGATAATTAATTGGGGAGGACAAGTTTGCAGGGCTATGGGGAGAGAGTGGGGAAGTGGGATTAATTTGGATAGCACTTTTCAAAGATCCGGCACAGACACGATGGGTCGAATGGCCTATTTCTGTGCTGTATAATTCTATGATTCTATGATTATGCCATGTTAACAGCAACGGTTGAGCCAGAATCTATAGTAGCTTTCAAAAAGGAACTAGATAATAATAATGATCCTTGCACTTGATATAGCACCTTGTGACATCATTGAGCTGTCTCAAAGCACTTCACAGAATATATTGTAACGTGGATAGACTGTGTATTTGGTGGGCGAAACATGGCAGCCAATTGTGCACAATTGATTATTGCGTAATAATGGATTATTACCCTGGAAAGCGACCACCAATTGGCTAACAACCAGGTTCCTACTTACTGCTAGGTAAACAGAGGCATGTCGAGTAAGGAAACTTGCCGAAGGTTTCGTCCGACCAGGAATCAAACCTGGGTCCTCTCGTTTGCGAAGCGAGCGCACAATAACCACTACACTAAGGGATTCTTCCATTGTACTTAACTTTAAGTGAAATTACTGTGTATTTCTAGGGAAAAGCAACAGCCAATTTTGCTCACAGATTATTTCCCCCCCCAAACAATAATAAATCATCCTTATCATCCTTGCATTTGATATAGCGCTTTTAACGTCTTCTAGACCTCTCAAAGTGCTTCACAGAATAGACTGTAAAGTGAATTGACTGTGTATTTGTGGGCGAAATGCGGCAGCCAATTGCACACAGTAGTGTCCCACAAACAGTCGTGGATTGAAATGACCAATTTTTATTATTGTTTTTTTTTCTTGAGGGATTATTGCAATTATTACAGGGATTATTACCAGACAAATATACACAGACGAATTTTCAAGTCGTTGCCCAAAACCATTAAATCCCTTACAGTGCCTTACTGCTGCCCAGCCAAGATCATTTTTTTTGTATATATCATAAATTGGTCACTTCAATCCACCACTGTTTGTGGGACGCTGCTGTGCACAATTGGCTGCCGCATTTCGCCCACAAATATACAGTCAATTCACTTTATAGTATATTCTGTAAGTGCTTTGAGACGTCTAGAAGATGTGAAAAGCGCTATATCAAATGCAAGGATTATTATTATTATTTTATTATTTCCACAGAGCCAGGAGTTGAATGATTACAAATACGGTTCTATGTCTGAGCTAATTTCTCAGCAGCTGAATGAGTCTGAGACCTGATCAGTGTTTCAGGTGCTTTGAGGACTGGTGAATTGACGCATTAGAACTGACCCAGTTTGCCAGATCGCGGAATAGCTCAGAACTATCAGCTGTTCTTCTCTGGGGACTTTGTCATGAGGGTCAGAACTGGAATAATAGCATATTTAATAATCATCCTTGCATTTGATACAGCGCATTTCAAGTCAGCTAGGACATTACAAGATCACAAGCTTGGTCTGGATGAAGAAGACCCTTTGGCCCATCTGATATCATCCCTTCAGAACACCCACTATATGGTCCCTCCACCACAGCATGAAGCTGATTTTAAATGAGTCCCAGTATCCTGGCTTTAGCCACCCTTTCTGGTAACCTGTCCCAGTCATTGATTACCCTTTGATTAAAGAAAAACTTCCTGGTGTCCCACCATCCCACAGTCCCTCCGCCTCGCCCCCGCCCATGGCTCCTTCAAGGACAGCCTCAAGACCCTCCTCTTTGAACGCGTTTCGGTCACCCCCCTACCCGCAAACTCCCTGCCTTCCACCCCTCCTGATCCCAACCCCCAGCTCGAGTCCAAATCCCTGATTGTTCAGGGCCATGAGACGTCCTCCCAACGTGAAAGGTGCTTTACATAATAATTTGGTTACTCAATACACGACTGTTTGTGAGACACTGCTGTGCACAATTGGCTGCCGCATTTCGCTCACAAAATATACAGTCAATTCACTTTACAGTATATTCTGTGAAGAGCTTTGAAACGTCTAGAAAAGGTGATAAGGTACTGTATCAAATGCAAGGATTGTTATATTATTATATTACAACTGTAATTTGTTGTTGGTGGTGGTGCTTTCTGTCCTGAAATTGCCCTTTACAACTCTAAACCTATGTACTCTTGTTCTAAAAGAATTCAAGTGACTACAAAGCTCCATGGGAGTTTCTTCCAGTAAGCTTAGGCGTAACTGATCATTCCATCTCAAAGAGATTCACAAGAATTACAGTAAAATGCAGCGACTGTGTGTTTTGCATGTGAATAAGGCAAGGTTTATTATTATTACTATCATATTATAAGATTGGGTCCATTATGGGTTTCAAGAGGGAAATAGACAGGTAAATGAAGGACAGACTGTTGATAGGATATGGGGATAAGACATGCCAGTGAGATTGAACAAACTGTCTGCTCTGAGAGCCAGTGCGCACTCTATGTTTTGAATAGCCTCCTTCTGTGCTATAATAATAATCCTTGCATTTGACATAGCGCCTTATCACATCACTGGGATGTCTCAAACTGCTTCACAGAATATATTGTCAAGTGGATTTACTGTCTATTATGTGCGCAAAATGCGGCAGCGAATTGCGCACAGCAGTGTCCCACAAACAGTCGGGGATCGACTGATCAAATTTATTTTTCTTTGGAGGGATTATTACCCTTGGAATGCGATCCGCCAATCAACTAACAACTGGGTTCCTACTTACTGCTAGGTGAACAATGGTGTGTGGAATAAGGCAATTTGCCTAATGTTTCTTCGTGCCTGGGAATCACAATCACTTGTGAGAGTGTAAATTTCCATGATTCTAAGACTATACGTCAGAATTTTCCAGAATTTCATTGCTCCCTTAAAGTTGAAGGCAAAATGTTCTTACAGAACACAATAAGGTGGAATTTGAGCTCTGAAACTGACATGTTTAAAGAATAAAAATAAACCAGGGCAGTTTAGCTGAAACAAGTACTTTTGTCTTGGAAGAAGGACTGAACAGCAGCTGGCTTCTCAAACCACAGTTACCATCTCCCTGGTGTGTCTGATGATAGGGGGACTGGGCTATTATTAGCTGTATAATTAGATGAGTGCTAAATATACTTCTCCTGCCTCCCTCACAAGATTGGCCTTACGCGAGTGTCTTTTACTCAGTGCACACTCACACCGGAAGCTAGTATCCTGCACTGAGTGTAGTGTTCGACATCAACAACCCTGAAGATCTGGTGGTGACAATGAAAGCACTAAAGGAATCCTCCTTTATCTAAGCCTGGCTCCTCAGTTTAGTGTCATCTGCCTGACCCAGTGAACAGAGTGCAACACTCAAGAGACATACACTGCAGAGTACACAAGATAGATACATTGTGATAGGACAGCATTTGACGGTGATGGTGTATGTGTGTGTGTGCCTACATTTGAGGGTGTGTGTGTTTGTGTGTGTACATTTGAGGGAGTATGTGTATAAATACACATTTCTTTGCTGCACAAACCGTCAAATGTGTGTACCTCCATGGGTACACATTTGATGGGTACACATTTGACTTTGTGTATATGTGGATACAAGTGTGTGTGTGTGTTTACCTTTGAGGATGCTTTTGTTTCTTTGAATTTGTGCATGTGTATGTGCATGAGTGTGCATATGATGATCCTGTCTGTTAAAACCTTACCAACAGCTGAAGTACCTTGAACCTGATGACATGCCAGGAATTAATATTCTGTTTGATTCTGCATTATTCCCCAATCCCGGCAGCGTAGGCGAAAGGGCTGTGAGCGGGCTCTTTCAAACACTTGCTCATCTCTCTCTGGAGTGCTGCATGAAATAAAAGATTGGCACAACAACTCTGACTCACCCGGAGATCCTCTTTGTTGGTAAAGCTCTCCAGAAGCTGTTGATAATGATTGTCGGTCATCTGCCTCAACAGAGCAAGGAGACAGGCCACAAACTCCCCCTGTCACAAACCAAGGCAACACAACACAAGCAAATTATTTGCCTGCACGTACACAAAGGGTCTCAGCAACTGATGTCTGACTGCAGTGAAACTCACTATGCTTTCAAAAAAAATAAAAATCATTCCTTGTTGAAATAGCACAGCATTGCAGGGTAACAAGTCAGGGACTAACAGACCCACTTTGGGGTCTTTGAGCTCGCAGTCTCGATTGATGCTTCAATGAGTGCTAGGGTACCATCCTTCAGATGAAATGTTAAACATTTGCGCCTATTCAGGTGGATGTTAAAGATTCTATGGATATTGGAAAAGAGAAGGGAGTTTCCCTCTCTCAGTGTTCTGGACAACGATCTCACAGATAAAATGGTTCACTAACTTCATTTTTTGGGGTCAGGCGGGTGTCTGACACATGCAGAATCCAATCATACATGCTTAAGAGTATCCAAACCAAACTGAGAATTCCATGCATCCCAACTATAAATGGAAATCCCAGAGATAGATTGTTGGAATGGAATGTGTACTCTCCCTTACGTAGTTCTGGAAAGTATTAGGCACAGGTTGGCAGGAGCCAAGGGGACCTCAGTGCATTGGGGTAACTGCTGGAGTCTAACCAACCAACCAACCTCAAACCTTGCAATTGATAGCAAGTCTGGCAATCTTTCCTGCTGCTTGTCTTGCTAGGACCATCCTTCCCATTAGGGCTTTGGCTTGCAGGATTAACAGGAGCTGAGTGGGAGGGGTCCTTGCCCCCAGTGACTGGTCCCATAATGAAAGGCGCTGTTTCGATTGTATCGAATTATGACTATTGCCATTAATATCATTCAAAATGCCAGTGACTAACAACTCAACAGTTTTGTCTGATCTGATCTACTTCCCGAGCAAAGGTTAAAGGGAACTCTGATGAAGGAATGCTGTTGAGAAGGACCACAAATTACACCCCAGAGAGCGCATACTGTGCTGTGCGATTAAGTTAATTCCGGCAAAACTGTAACCTCCTGATTCTCACAAGAGGTATTGGCTGAGCCGGGTTAGACCCACCCGGAGTGCTTTGCCAGTTCTGACACCTCCGCACTCACTGTGACATCCTGAAACTGCAGGCGGACTGCGGTCGCCGAGGGCTGGGGGCGATTGCTGATCTCCAACACAGTTCTGAGCAGCACGACCAGCAAGCTGTTCACCAGCACATCCATCTCCTCGGAAACAGACGCCTCCTGCACGGCAACAACAAAATCTCGCTTTTTTTTTTGATCAGCTATTGTTTGACACATGCAGAAACCCATCCCCCTGCTAAAGAGTATCCAAACCAAACTAAGAATTCCATGCTCCCACCTACACATGGAAATGCCAGAGATAGATTATTTGGAATGGAATGTGCACTCTCTCACTAGAGGAGCACATCATGCTTACCTAATTCTGAAAAGTATTAGACGCAGGTTGGCAAGAGTCAAGATCCGGGGACCCAGAGTGTGCGTTGGGGTAACTCCTGGAGTCTAAACAGCTAAAACTACAAAATTCTCCATTTAGCACCCTTCACGGGGTATCGTCCTGGAGAGCTTAACAGTAGCGGAGCTGGTGGAGTCAAAGAGTCAGCATGTCAAAGAGAAAGGTCTTCAGGATTGACCTGGTGACGGGGAAGGAGTGGGCAAGGCGGAGGGATTGAGGGAGAAAGTTGCAGAATTTCAGGGTGCAGTGGCTGAAAGATGGTGGAGCAGAGGGGATGAGGGATGAGCAGGAGGGCAGAGACAGCTGAGCGGAGACAGGGGGTAATGGAGTGGGGAGAAAATAGTCAGATAGGTAGAACATGTGCCAGGGTGTGAAGGGATTTGTAGACAAGTGTGAGGATCTTGAAGTTAGGAGACAGAAAGCAGAGAATGGTAGTAAACGATTGCTTTTCTGACTGGAGGGAGGTGTGGTATTTGGACCATGTTCTTTCTGATCTATATTAATAATCTGGACCTGGATATAGGGAGCGCAATTTCCAAATTTGCAGACGATACTAAACTAGGAAAAGTAGTCAATGGTGAGGAAGATAGCACCAGACTCCAAGAGGACTTGGACAGATTGGTAAAACGGGCAGAAAGCTGGCAGATGAGGTTTAATGTGGAGAAATGTGAAGTGTTGCATTTTGGTAAGAAGAATGAGGAGAGGCAGTATAAGCTGATGGTACAATCTTAAAGGGGGCAAATGAACAGAGGGATCCACATAAGCAAATCTCTGAAGGTGGCAGGACAGGTAGATAAAGTAGTTAAAAAAGCATACGGGATACTAGGTTTTATAAATAGGGGCATAGAATTCAAAAGTCAGGAGGTTATGTTGAATATTTATAAAATGTTGGTTAGGCCTCAGTTGGGAGTACTGCGTTCAGTTCTGGACACTGCACTTTAGGAAAGATGTTAGGGCATTGGAGAGGGTGCAAAGGAGGTTTACCAGGATGGTACCAGGAATGAAGTACCTTAATTACGAGGAGAGGTTAGCGAAACTAGGATTATTCTCCCTCGAGCAGAGAAGATTAAGAGGGAATTTAATAGAGGTTTTCAAGATCATGAGAGGATTTGATAGGTTGAACCGGGAAAGACTGTTTCCACTGTCATGTGGGTCAGTAACCCGAGGACACTGATTTAAGATAGTTGTTAAAAGAAACCGAGGGGAGGTTAGGAATTTTTTTTCACTCAGCGAGTTGTTTGGATCTGGAATGCATTATCTAAAAGTGTAATGGAAGCCGATTCAATAACAACTTTTAAGAGAGAAATAGATGTGTATTCGGGGAGGACAGGATTGCAGGGCTATGGTGAGAAAGCGGGTCCGTGGGATTGAGTTGGATTGCTCTTTTTGGAGCCGGCGCAGACATGATAGGCCGAATGGCCTCTTTCTGTGCTGTATGATTCTATGATTCTAAGTCAATCCATTCTGTAATAGGAAGCCAATAGAGCCCGGTGATGACTGGTGTGATGGGGTACAGAGTTTAGTGTGGGTGAGTATACAGGCAACGGAGTTTTGAATTAGTTGGATAGTTTTGAACAACTATTCACATTCCTCGTCAGATACCAGCGAAAAGAAAAGTGAGAGACAGCACAGGAACACAGCCTGGCACTTTGGCCTGTGAGTCAAAAGGTTGTGGGTTCAAGCCCCACATCAGGACTTTGAAATCACGGTCGAGATCGACACTCCAATACATCTCTAGGGGGAGCGCTGCATTGTCTGAGGTGCCATCCTTTAGGATGAGATGTCAAACCAAAGTCTTGTTTGCTCGAAAAGAGGAAGACAGCATTGTCAGCAAATTAGCTAACGGATATGCCTACAAATTAAACAGTCACTACAGTGCCATAGTGTAGTGGTTAGCATGCTTGCATCGCAAATGAAAGGACCCAGGTTTGATTCCCTTAAGCAAGTTTTCTTACACCAGACACCTCTGTTTATCCAGCAGCAAGTAGGAACCCAGTTGTTAGTTGATTGGTGGATCACTTTCCAGGGTAATAATCCCTCTAAAAAAAATGTGGTCACTCAATCCACAACTGTTTGTGGGACATTGCTGTGCACAATTGGTTGCCGGTTTCACCCACAAAATACAGTCAATTTATGTTACAATATATTGTGTAAAGCGCTTTGAAACGCCTCAATGATGTGATAAGGCGCTATATCAAATGCAAAGATTATTATTAATCCAAAATACAGTCACTGCTTGATAGCAATTCCCGTTGAAGCCCTGTGAGATGTTTTGGCATGATGTATCAAATTCGAGAATTATGGTTATGTACGCCAGCCCCCCACCACCAAAATAAACCCACATTAAAGAATATTGGTCAGGTTATTCAGCAAACTAAAAGGGATACTGGTGCAGCGTTCACCTAATTCCAGCCCATGAACTCACAATGTGGCTGTTCTATTTACAGCGACTGCAGCAAACCCAGACTCGCCGCTTGTTCTAATTTCTGAAGAGTACAGGATGTGGCCCGCTTTCTGTTGAGAGATATACAACTGCTTCACGTGTCATTCTCTGGAATACCACAGCTTCAAGTAAACAAGTGGTCAAGCATATTGCCCGCATCTCTACTGCCTCTCCACCCTGGGCTGCCAAGACCCTCATTCATGCATTTGTCACATCCAGGTTTGACTATGTAAACAACCTGCTTGCCGGATTTCCCAACTCTACCCTCTGCAAGCTGCAGGTTATTCAGAATTCTGCAGCTTGTGTCCTCTCCTGCACCAGACTCTGTGAACCAATCACCCTGCTCCTCGCCCGGCTCCACTGGCTCTCCATCAACCAGAGTTCAAAATTCTCATCCTCACTTTTAAAGCTCTCTACAGACATGCTCCACCCTACCTCTGTGACCTCTTAACACCAATAGTGACCTGTCCTCTCCCTCCGTTCAGTGGCCACTGCCCTGCTCCATGTCCCCCACCCTGTCCATTCCACCATTGGCGGGCGGCCTTCAGCTTTTCTTCCACCACTACCTGGAATTGCTTTTCTTCCCCCACCACAAATCCCTTGGTCTCGCCCCATCCTTCACCTCCTTCGAGGTCTGTCTCAAGACCTTCATCTTTTACTGTGCCTTCGGCCACATTCCCACCCCCACTCCTCCTACCCTCCAACCTTCCTGATCCCAATCACCAGCTCGGGTTCAAACCCTTAACTGACCAGCACCTTGGGATGTTGTCCTGATGTGAAACACGATATATAAATGTAATTTGTTGTTGAGTGTTTAAAGGGCCAACCATCCTTTCTGTTTGAAATCCACCCATGCGTGGACGCGTCCAAATATCTGCTGTACTTTTGACAGGCAAAGATTTTCTAATCAGTTGTGCCAGACTCATTGACACACACACATGGGCACCCGCACAACCACCCCCACACACACACGCAGCACACACACGCATCCACGTGTACAAACACCCCACATAAGCGTACATTCACACAAACACAATACAGCAGCTGGGGGGGCTTCCATCTCACTGCCCCCACAGGGAATGGTTGAATAACAAGTGTTTCACAAGATATGCTGTAAAGTGTAGTGACTGGGTGTTTTGTGGGTAAAAATGCGGCAGTCAGTTGCACACAGAAATGTCATTCGAGTGTCAGTTTAGACTACGTAATTCCAAGTCCTATCGCAGGACTTGAAAGACATCAACAACAACAACAAAATTACATTTGTAAAGCGCCTTTCATGTCAAGAGGCCGTCCCAAGGTGCTGAACAGTCAGGGATCAGGTCCTGAGCGTGGGGGGGTGGGGGGGGCAGGGTTGGGATGAAATGAGGGAGGCCAGAGAGGTAGGAGGGTGGCTGAAGACACCGTTGAAAAGGAGGGTCTTGAGTCGTGCCTTAAAGGAGGGAAGAGAGGGAGCAAGGTGAAGGGATTGTGGGACGGAGTTCCAAAGTGTGGGGACAGAGACGCTGAAAGCCTGGCTACTGAATTTAGGGGTTTGGACGGGAGACATGGAGTAGGCCGGAGCCTGCTGAACAGAGAGAGCGGACAGGTTGGTAACGGATCCACTGCCAGAGAGGTAGGAGGGGGCAAGGCCGTGAAGGGTCTTGAAAGTGAGGACGAGAATTTTGAATTAGATCCTCTGAGGGATGGGGAGCCAGTGGAGCTGGGCGCAGGTAGGGTGATGGGGTCACAGAGCCTTGAGGTGACGGTATGAGGGTTGTATGAGGGTTTTGGCAGCCAGTATGAGGGTGAGGCAGTGGCAGAATTGGGCAACATTGTGGAGGTGGGGAAGGCAGAGCGGATCATAGCACGGATATCAGGTAGAAAGGACAGTTGAGGGTCAAACAAGACTCCAACGTTCCTGACTGGCTTGGTGAGGTGAAGTGTTCATCTGTGGATGCTGATGCTGCCAGTGCCTGAGGTGTGATGGCACTGGCGAGATCCAATCAAGAGAGCCTCGGTCTTGCTGACATTCAGCTGTAGAAAGTACAACTGTACAACCTTCTGACTCAGAGGCAAGAATCCTACCAACTGAGCAAGGTAGATTTAAAGACTGGTAGAGAGGGAGGGAGCAAGATGTTGAGAGAATTGCAAAGGGACACAGTTGCCAATGATGGAGAGCACGGATGGGTGTGTGGATAGGCAGCAAAGACGAGCGGGAAGAGATAAATGGCCTCCCCTGGTTCAAGTTGGATCGGGTGAGCCATCACGCCATATGTGTGACAATACTCACAGTGCCGTCTTTCTTTATGAGGCAGAAGATATTGCTGAGGACGCGGGCACACACGATCAGGTCCTTCTGCTCTTGTAGGTGCATGTGAAGGTGGTGCAGAACCACGGGCAGGAGGATACAGCGCGATTCTGGAAGAGGGACACAACACGTCAATTACAGTGACGGACAGGAGCCCGTGACAGAGGAGTGAGCGCAACTTTGCCATCCTTCAGATGATATGCAAAACCAAGGTCCAATCTGCCTGTTCTGGTCGACGTTAAAGATCCCATTGCACTATTCGAAAAGAAAGAGAATTTCTCTATCCCGGTGTCCTGGCCAACAATCTCCCCAAAATAAAATTTGATCACTCACTCTATTGCTGTTTGTAGGACACTGCTGTGCACCATTTGACAAACAGTGCTTCTCATCCCAGGAGCACTGTCTCATAGTGCTTCGTGGGATTTTATTGCAATGCAGAGTGACAGTGAAAGGTACTAGACAGATGGAAGTTGTATTGTGTTGTATCCTTCCACCTCGCCCCCTCCTTCCCCTCTTTCAGATTGCATCTGAAGACCTTCTTCTTCGACCATACTTAGGGTCACCAACTCCCTCCCCCAAATCGGCGTCACGCTCCTCCACTGTGAAGCGCTCTGTTTAGGGAGCTATATAAATGCAAGTTGTTGCTGTATTTTGTGTCTTTGTGGGTGAAATGCGACAATCAATTTGCGCAAAGCAATATCCCCACAGTGTAGCAGAACCCCAATCCCTGGAACTCCTTCCCGGAGTCTTCCTCATTCCCACCTACAAAACCTGCTTCAAGACCTATCTCATTCACTACACTTTTGGCAGTCATCCTGCCTCACTCCTGTCCACTAGAGAACTATCTGTGCGTTGCAAAACTTGTAGTGACTTTACCTCAACAGAAGTCAAGGATGATCAATTTTACTGCGCTCGGTTTTACGATTTTTAACTTAGTACTTCGAGACCTCTCCAACCTGCTCATTCCTCTAGCCATCCCCTGTGCTAAGCCGGTTCTGGACCAATGCGTGTTCCTCAAAACCTCCTCTCCATCATCTGCCACTGTGCTTTCTGCCCCAAAATCTTTGCAAATCTCTGCCTCAATCTCACTGTGTTGATCCCTCTTTGCTTGTCTTCAGATCACATCTGCAGACTTTCCTCTTTGATCACGCTTACGTTCACCTCCCCCTTCTCCCTGGCTCAGCATCAGGCTCCGCCACTGTTGAGCTCCGAGACACTGCCCCACATGGAGGGTGCAACATAAATGCAAATAGTTGTTGTTGTGATAAATAGCTGTTAGAAACCTGTATTCTGGAGCACGTGTCTCTAAACAACAACAAATTACATTTATATAGCACCTTTCACAACATTGCCAGACTCCGCCACTGCCCCACCCCTCAGGCTACTGAAACCCTCACCCACGCATTCAACAACAACAACAAAATTACCCTACATTCGTCACATCAAGGCTCAATTATGGAAACTCCCTCCTCATCGGCCTTCCCAACTATTCCCTTCACAAGCTGCAGATCATCCAAAACTCTGCAGCTTGTGTACTCTCGCGCACCAGGCTCCGCGACCCTATTACTCCCACCCTCGCCTGACTCCACTGGCTCCCCATCCCCAGAGGATCGAATTCAAGATCCTCGTCCTCACTTTCAAGACCATCCATGGCCTTGCCCCCTCCTACCTCTCTGACCTGCTGATTCCCTACCAACCTGCCCGCTACCTCCATTCAGAGGGCTCCGGTCTCCTCCATGTCTCCCACCCGATCCGCCCTACCATCAGTGGCCGGGCTTTCTGACTCTCTGCCCCCACACTCTGGAACTCCATCCCATGGTCCCTTCGCCTCGCTTCCTCCCTTGCCTCCTTCAAGGCCGGTCTCAAGACCCTCCTCTTCAATTATGCTTCAGTCGCCCTCCCACCTCTCTGCCTTCCCTCACCTCTACCCCACCCCTCTCCCATGCTCGGGTCCTGACCCCAGACTGTCCAGCGCCTTGGGACGTTCTCCTGATGTGAAAGGCACTCTATAAATGTCATTTTGTTGTTGTTGTTCACATCCCAAGATGCTGGAGAGTGAGGCGTCTGCACCCAAGTTGTGAGTTAGGATCAGAGAGGGGTGGAGAGCAAGGTGGGGGGGTGGAGCAGGAAAATGACCGAAAGCACAATTGGAAAGGAAAATCTTGAGACAGACATTGAAGGAGGCAAAGGAGATGGAGGAGCTCCGGGATCTAGAGGGTTCCACAGGGTGGGTGCAGATAGGCTGCAGGCCCGAATGCAAAGGGTATGAAGCAGACAGTTTTAATAGGTAGCACAAGGAGGGAGGTGCAAGTCTAAACTGCCTCCTGGGAACCCCACATTCACATGCTTGGCCAAAGAGTTTGGCAGTTGAGGGAAAATGGAATGCAATGAATACAACAAAACAAATTGTATTTATATATCACACTTCATGCAGGATAGTCTCAGAGCGCTTGACAGTGGCAGAATACGACAGAAATCGAGCCAGGGGGAGGAAGGTGTGCATAAACTGGGCCGAAGAAGAAGGTCTTCCAGCATGATCTGAAAATAGGGATGGAGGGAGCAAGGCAGAGCGATTGAGGGAGAGTGTTCCAAATTTTCAGGGCATAGTGACTGAAATTACGTTCGCCGATGGTGGAACAGATGGCACAAGGGACAAGCAGGAGGCCGAACCCAGTCGAGTGGAGGTGACAGGCAGTTTACTGGAGAGTAAGCAGGTCAGAGAGGTAGGGAGGGCATGAAGGGATTTGTAGACGAGTGTGAGGATCTTGAAATCGATCTAATCAGTGATAGGGAGCCACTGAAAACTGGCAAGAATTGGTGTGATGGGGGTACAGAATTTAGTGCAGATGAGAACACAGGCGTCGGAATCCTGGATTAACTGGATTTTGTGGATTATGGAGCTGGGGAGACCGGCGAAGAGGGCATTGGAATAGACGAGGCAGGAGTTGCATTTGGTGTAAGGTATGGTCGGATGCAAAGGTGAGAATACAAAGGCTCTAATAATAATAAATGTCTGTGTCTTACCAGGGCTGGCGAAAAGCTGGCTCTCCACTGTTTTAGCGATGCACTGGAGTTTGACAGCCTCCAGGGAGTACTCCATGTGTGTGATGGCTGGCATACTGTGCAGGGTATCTCTCACCAGCGTCGCCACGTCTCGTACGTCCATCAGCCTCAGCAGCTCTGAGTACACGGCCGGGAAAGAGCTCAGGAACACAGCCTGGTTGGGGGGACACAGCCAGTCAAACCCAGCAGCGCCTGACAAACAGTGCCTGCCAACGCACACCCCCCCCACCACCACCACCCGCCCCACCTCCCAATAAAATCAGTGGAGTCCCGGAGTCCGGAGTGTAGTGGTTATTGGATGCCATAAATTCTTAAGCTACACGCCTCTGTTTACCAAGCAAGTAAGAACCTGGTTGTTAATTGATTGGCGAATCACTTCCTGGGGTAATAATCCCTGAAAAAAAATTGCTGAGTGAAAATTGGCCACCGTGCTCACCGACATAACGAGTTTACAGCAAAAATGCTTTGAGACCTCCTACCAACATGAAAGGCACCATATCAAATACAAGGATTTTTAATATTAATAATAATAATCCTTGCATATGACATAGCCCCTTATCACATCATCAAGATGTCTCAAAGCACATCTTAGCTCTTTGCAATCTGCACTTAATACCTTCCGGAATTAGGTAAACAGGATGCGTCCCTCCAGGGAGAGAGTGTACATACCATTCCAACAATCTATCACGGGAATTTCCATGTGCAGGTGCATGGAATTCTCAGTTCAGTTTGGTGATAGGTTTCTACATTTGTCATTTTTGGCTGACCAACAAAAAATCACGATCTGATCAATTATTGAAAAACACTGACCTGAGTCTGAGTCACGACAGAAGACCCTTTACTCTCCATGGACAGAAAGAACTGCACCGACTGAAATAATTCAGAAATACTCCTTCGAAACTCCTCCTCGTTCTGCCCACCGGTTGCCAGTGTGTAGAGACTCCGGGAGTGAACGATGTATTTGAATATGTATTCCTGTGCCTGGGGGGAGGGGGAGAAGGAGGGGGGAATAGAGAATTAGATGGCATTCAGTGCTGAATTCCACAACCAATTGGATTACAAATATTCAATCCAAGCCTTCCAGCGACATTACAAAGGCACAGCAGATAGCGTGTAAAGGGAATGACGCTTTTTTGCACTGATATGTAATGTTCAGAGCAGAAATATGGCCAAAATAAAGCTTTTGGGAATAATCCTTTGACATCCAGTCCTGGACGAGAGACAACTTTCTTCAGCTCAACGTGCGCAAAACTGAGGCCTTGCTGATTGGCTCACGTCAGCGCCTCCGCACCTCAGGCGCCGACAGCATCAGCATCCAAGGCTGCACTCTCCACCTCTCAAAGCCGGTCAGGAACCTCGGGGTTCTGTTCGACCCTGTCCGCACCACAACTGGCACCGCCTTCCATCACCTCCGAAACATCGCCAGACTACGGCACTACCTCACCCCTCACGCTGCTGAAACTCTGGTCCACGCCTTTATCACCTCAAGGCTGGACTATGGGAACTCTCTCCTCGCCGGCCTTCCCGGCACCTCCCTCCACAAGCTGCAGGTCATTCAGAACACTGGAAAGAACTAGGCTTCGCGACCACATCACTCCCACCCTCGCTCACCTCCACTGGCTCCCCATCCCCCAGAGGATCGAATTCAAGATCCTCACACTCACCTGCAAGGCCATTCACGGCCTTACTCCCTCCTACCTCTCCGACCTACTATCCCCCTACTTACCTGCCCGTACCCTCCGTTCCTCTGGCTCCGGTCTGCTCCACATCCCCCGCCCCAACCGCCCTACCATCGGTGGCCGGGCCTTCAGCCTCTCAGCCCCGAGGCTCTGGAACTCCATCCCCCAGTGCCTTCGCCGCCTCCTCCCTTTCCTCCTTCAAGGCCGGTATCAAGACCTTTCTCTTTGACCATGCCTTCAGCTCCCCTCTCGACTCTGTACCCCCTCCTCGCTCCCTCCCTTCCCTCCCCTCACCCTGACCATTTCCCCCCTGCTCGGGTCCTGACCCAACTGTACAGCGCCTTGGGACGTCCTCCCGATGTGAAAGGCGCTCTATAAATGGAATCTTGTTGTTGTTGTTGATATCCTTCCTAATGTTTGGTGCCCAGAATGGGACACAATTCTCCAGCTGAGCCCTAACCAGTGACTTATAAAGGGATAGCAGAACCTCCTTGCTTTTGTACTCTATGCCTCTATTTATAAAGCCAAAGATCCCATATAGTTTTTTAACAGCTCTATCAACCTGTTCTGTCACCTTCAAAGACCTCTGTATGTGAACCCCCAGGTCTCTTGCCTTGAAAACTGTGCCATTTATTGTATACTAGCTGTACCCATTGCAGCTACGCTTGCAACCAGTTTCATTTAATCGTCCTTTTTTCGACTGGCATTTTTATTCGTTCTTGAAAAGCTTGATCTTCGTTTCTTAGGCATCTTTATCCCTTAAGATTAAGAAAATGTGCTTTTGAACTCATTAGCATCCCTTGTTCACATAGTTGCACACATATACTTTTGGGAGGTCTCCTGTGGGAGGACTCCTGTTGAGGACTCAGTGGGAAGACTCCTGTTGGGAGGTCTCAGTGGGAGAACTCCTGGTGGGAGGTCTCAGTGGGAGGACTCCTGGTTGGGAGGACTCCTGCTGGGAGGACTCCTGCTGGGAGGACTCCTGGTTGGGAGAATTCGTGTTGGGAGACTCTTTGTTGGAGTCCATACATGTGCGATGAGCTTGTTTAGTTCACAATAGGAGTTCCCTGAAACAAAATATGCCCATGACACTCTCCCATGCAATGTATCACCTTACACTTCTCGGCATTAAACTTCGTCTGCTATGTGTCTGCCCATTTCACCAGTCAGTTGGTGTCCTCCTGCAATCTGCTACCATCCTCCTCACTATTTACCACATTCCCAAAATTTGTGTTCTACTGCAAGCTTTAAAATGTTGTTCTTTATACCCAGGTCCAATTCATTCACAAATATCGACCCCTGGGGCACACCCCTAATCCACCCCTAATACCAACCCCTGGGGCACACTACTTCCTTACAGTCTGAAAAACAATCATTCACCATTACCCTTTGCTTTCTGTCTTCCAGCCAATTTTGTATCCAGGCTCCTTTTTATCCCATGGGCTGCAATTTTGCTAATTAGTCTATTACATGGCACCTTATCAAACGCCTTCTGAAAGTCCATATCCACTACATCAACGGCACTACCTTCATAAATCCTCTCCGTTATATCATCAAAGAACTCAATTAAGTTTGTCAGACACAATTTTCCTTTAACAAATCTGTGTTGACTGTCATTAATTAACTTATGTTTTTCTAAGTGAAAATTAATTTTTTCTCGGATTATGATCTCTAGACATTTCCCCAGCACCGACGTTAGGCTGACTGGCCTATAGTTATCAAGTTTATCCCTCTCCCCTTTTTTGAACAGAGCTGTAACATTTGCAACCCTTCAGTCCTCAGGCACTACTCCCACTACTCCAAAAGGCTGTGGATGCTGGATCCATTCACATTTTCAAGACGGAGAGAGATAGATCTGTTAGATCAGGGCATTAAGGGATATGGAGCAAGTTCGGGTAATTGAACATGAGGTACAGATCAACCATGATCTTATAAAATGGCGGAACAGATTCAAGGGCCTGAATAGCCTATTCCTGTTTCTATGTTTCTGTATCCAAAAAGGATTGAAAGATTGTGGCCAGAGCTTCCGGTATTGCCACCCTAACTTCCCTCAGCAACCTAGGGTGACTTTTCTACTTTGAGGACTGCTAACCTTATAAGTACCTTCTCGCTATCTATTTTTATACCTCCTTTACTGTGACCTTGGCAGCATCCTCTTTTGTGAAGACAGATGCAAAGTCTCATTCACTACCTCAACCATGCCCTCTGCCTCCACAAGACGTTTTCCTTTTTGGTCCCTAATCGGCCCCACCCTTGCTTTGACCATCCTTTTACTCTTTATGTGTTCATAGAAGACTTTAGTGTACCCTTTCATGTTACATGTTAATCTTTTCTTATACACTCTCTTTGCCCCTCTTATTTCCTTTTTCAGTTCTCCTCTGCACTTTCTGCATACTGCTTGATTCTCTAATGTATTTTGATTCTGATTTTTATCATAAGCCTCCTTTTTCTGTTTCATTTTAATCCCAATTTCCTAGAGCTCTAGCTTTAGATGCTCTACTTTTCCTCTTTTGAACGCCAGATCCCGTTCAACTCACTGAAATGAGCCCATTTCCAATTGGGTATCTTCACCTTTGATTGTTCTATAATTACTCTAAACCTAATGATATTGTGATCACTGTTATCCAGATGCTCTCCCACTGAAACCCATTCCACTTACTCCACTTCATTCCCTTGAACTAGATCCAGCAGTGGTTCCTTCCTGGTTGGGCTTAAAACATACTGATCGAGAAAGTTCTCCTGTACACATTTTATGAATTCTTCCCTCTCCATGCCCTTTACACTGTTTTCTTCCCACTCTATGTTTGGATAACTGAAGATAATTATATAGCAACTTTCATATCAGAAAGACGACCCAAGGCACTGGACAGTTAAGGGTTTGCACCCAAGCTGGGGATTGGAATCAAGCGGGTTGTAGGGTAGGAGGAGTGGTGGTGGGAGTGTGGCCGAAGACACGGTCAAAGAGAAAGCTCTTGAGACAACCTTGAAGGAGGCGGCGAGCAGGAGGGATTGCACAGAAAAGCTGAAGGCCCATCCTCCAATGGTGGGGCGGGCAGGGCGGAGGACATGAAGCATGCCAGTGTCCGCCGAGCAGAAAGGTTGGTATGGTGTTAAAAAGGTTGCAGAGGTAGGAAGAAGAAATGCCATGGATGAGCTTCTGTGGCAGCTTCTGAACAGACACACATTGGCCCAGTCCCCGTCCATCTGTGATACTTCCGATCAATATCAAACCACAGTTAAGCATTTATTCCAAAGTACCTTCTATTCTCTCCCAAGTAAAACATCAAACTTTGAGCTAAGTGTGCTCTGAAACAAATTATTTTGCTCTGACAATTGCTGGCCAGTCATTTCAGCAGGATATTATCCAGTATCTTACAAGACACACACACTGCTGAGAGAAAGCAATGAGGCACATTTTGAGATCACAAGACCAGGTCGGATGAAGCAAGCCTTTACCCCATCTGATCTCATTCCTCCAGAACACTCACCCTACCATTCCCCCCGTCAAGCATCAAGTTGCTTTTTAAATGAGTCCCAGTGTCCTGGTCTCAACCCAGTAACTGTCGTTGATTATCCTATGGAAAGAAAATCTTTCTGGTGTCTATCCTGAAATTGCTTTTACAACTTCAACTTTGTATCCTCTTATTTCACTGACTTGGAAGTATTGTTAACAACCGTAAAGTATTGTTCTGGGTTTACTTCTTCAATCCCATGTAAAATGTTATATAGCTCTCCCTACCCCCTCTCTGAGTTGTCTTCTGTCAAGACTGAAGAACCTCAGCTTGGCTAATCGTTGCTCACAGCTCATTCCTCTACAATCCTGGCTTCTCCTCTGGATGACCTCTGCATGTCGATTGACAGAGCCAGAGAGATTTCTGTGTTTTCACAAATGGAGAGGCTATCCTAGGATCAGAGTCCCTGGTGACGCTGGCAAAATGTGATAGACCTATAAGAACATAGGAATTGCCGGACAAAAAAAGACTAAGGTACATCTAGTTCACCTTCTACCATCCTGGTTGTTCTTGTTTTTGTTGGATTAGTCTACAAGAGTGGAAAGCTTTGGGAACCATAGATCAAAGTTGACTGGTTCTTCCAAAGAATACCACACTTGTTATGTCTCAAATTACTCATATACTGCATCCCAAAATCTTATTTTCCAAAATAAATCTATTGAATTTGTATTTCAATTTCAGGAGTCATGTCGCTCAGTGGCTAGAGCACTAGCCCTGCAAGTGAGAGACCTGGGTTAGATTCCCGGGAGGATGAAACCTTGGGCAAGTTTCCTTACTCCTCACGCCTGATTCCTTACTCTTCACGCTGTGCGCAATTGGCTGCCGCGTTTCGCCCACAATATATACAATTTAGTTTACAGATATTCTGTGAAGCATTTTGAGACGTCTCGAAGACGTGATAAGGCGCTATACCAAATGCAAGGATTATTATTATAAGTTCTGTTCTCATTTTACTTTCGAGATCCATTATTTGTGATACATTTTATCGTTGAGTGCTTGAGCTATATATTTTAAACAGTGGTTCTATATCAAGCTTTGTATGAATACAATATTAAGCAATTGGGTGCCTCTGACTAATGCATAAGCAACAAAATTGTGAATGCAGCATGTTATATCCACCCTTTCAAGATACTGTCTATTGTATTCCACAAAGCCCTGAGAAGTGTTCTGTTTGTACTCGGACAAGATTATCAATATACAGTTGTTAGAAAAATCAAATGGTCCAGTGTGTTGCATCATGTCGTAGAAGACATAACATCACAGAACATTTAAAAAAAAACATAGTGCTGATTTACAAATAGTAAGCATGTTCTGTTACGCCATGCATGGAAGGAAAATATTTCTGTTAAAATCATTTCAAATTGATATTATTTCCTTGGTGCTGAAAGCAAATGTTTGATTGAAAGTTCTATAGCTCAGTGGTCAGAGCACTCGCCTCGCAAGTGAGAGATCTGGGTTTGAATCTCAGCAAGGCAAAACCTTGAGCAAGTTTTCATACTTCTCCCACCTGATAATAATCCCTCAAGAAAAAAAAACAATAATATAATTGGTCACTTCAATCTACGACTGTTTGTGGGAGACTGCTGTGCACAATTAGCTGCCACCTTTCGCCCACAAATATATAGTCAATTCATTTTACAGTTTTTTTCTGTGAAGCGCTTTGAGACATCTAGAAGACATGAAAAGCGCTATATCAAAATGCAAGGATTATTATTATTATTTATTTGAATGAATCAACACTTTCTGCATCCACCTTCTTTCTGTGGAGCCTGTTACATAGATTTACCACTCACTCATTGAAAGAGTGTTTAGTTTTGAATTTGCCACCCTTCAATCGCAGGCCATGTCTTCTAGTTCTCTTGTTCTGGACAAGATAAAACAGCTTGTCTACACAATCCAGTCCCTTTAGAATTTTACGAAACACAATTAAAATCACCTCTGATTTTTCTGAAAGGGGTCTGGACAACCAGTTTCAAAGACTTAAACAAGCTCGGAATGAGTTGCTTACCCTCAGCACCTCCTGAATGTGCTCCTGTCGCTCGGCTTCCAAGGAACGGTCAATGTACCTTCTGAGCACCTTTATCAGGTCCCTGTGAAGATCACAATATCAGAGTTTCAGATCACGCGACAAGGATCAAAAATGAATAAATAGTCTTCAAGTTATTCTTTGGATCTTTGAGGAAAGACCAAATGGCCCTGAATTGTTTTATGAGGCAGGGCCAAATGCTGGATTACATGTCGAGAGGGTGTCTCAAGGTGCTGAACAGTCAGAGTTTCGGACCTGAGTTGGGGGTCAGGATCAGGAAGGGTGGAGGACAAGGGGGGGAAGCAGGGTGATCGAAAGCATGGGCGAAGAATAGGGTCTTGAGATGGGTCTTGAAAGAGGCAAGGGAGGGGGCGAGGTGGAGGGACTGTGGGATGGAGTTCTAGAGGGTGGTTGAAGTCCGTCAATGGTGGGGCGGGCGAGGTGGGGGACGTGAAGGAGGCCGGAGCTCTCTGTGCGGAGGGAGCTGGCAGGATGGTAGGGGATTAGGAGGTCGCAGAGGTAGGGGGATGCAAAGTTCTAAAGTTGAGGAACAGGATCTTGAACTGTATCAAAAACAGAAGTCACTGGGAACACTCAGCAGGTCAGGGAGCATCTATGGAGAAAGGAATGTGAGTCAACGTTTCGGGTCCATGACCCTTCATCAGAACTGAAGCATGTTGGGAGGGAGAGACTTTTAAGGGCTAACAGAGATGGGGGAGGCAGGGCAAGGAAGACAAAGGAGAAAATGGGGTAGAGGACAGGGGTTAAAAAGGTGTTAATGATGCAAAACAAAAGTGTGGGGGGGATTGCAACAAAACAGGGGAATAGAGGTGTTAATAATGCAAAACAGAGGAGGGGGTGGGGGTGGGGAATTGCAACAAAATAGGCAGACCAGAGAGAGAAAAGGTGTCTGGGACCTAGATGATGTGGTAATCGTCACAGTAGAGGGGGAGGGAGAAGGTGAGCTGTCATGGTCTGAAATTGTTGTTACCAACTTTGAGGCCAAAGGGCTGTAAGGTCTCTATCAGATTAATGAGGTGCTGTTCTTCGAGCTTGCGCTATGGCTCATTGGAACAGCGTAGGAGATCATGGATGGAAAGGTCAGAGTGCGAGTAGGAGGGAGCTGAAGTGGCAAGAAACCGGAAGCTCAGTGTTGTGGGCAGAACGGAGGAGTTCGGCAAATCAGTCAACTAATCTGCATTTCGTCTCCCCGGTGTAGAGGAGACCACATCGTGAACAGCGAATGCAGTAAATTACATTGGTGGTAGTACACATAAATCACTGTCTCACTTGAAATTTGTGTTTGGGGCCCTGGACAGTGGTATGGGAAGAGGTGAAAGGGCAGGTTTTGCATCTTTTGAATGCGTGTATGAGGGTTTCGGCAAATCAAAACAAATGTTAACTGGACAATAGTATGTGACTGAGGTCATTGCCAAGGGAACTGTAAATCTCCAAGCTTCCAACGGAGAAGCAGGAGAGCAAGATCCACGGTCAAACAGTTTCAAAAAGATTAATCCGTCAACATAAGAACCAACATGCTCAAACAGATCGGCACACAGTCTTTTCCCAGCAGTATGAACATGAATACCAGTCATCTCTGAACTACAATCCTCAATCATAAGGAGCTATTGCAATTGTATTAATGCATTGCTTTAGTATTAATAAACAAACACTTGATTTAAACTAAACTAGTCTAAATCAAGTGTGATTTGTTTTCTGAAAGTTACTCAATGGTTCAAACAAACCCGAAGAGAATAAAACCCCTACACGTAAGGAGGCATGGTGTTATAGAGTGATGACAGTTGGAGACATCCTAAACCAACAACAAATTACATTTGTACAGCACCTTTCATGTCAGAAGAATATCCCAAGGTTCTAGACAGTGAAGGGTTTGCTGGCAAACTCCAGCTGCAGACTGGAGTCAGGAGGGGTGAGGGCAAGAGAGGTGGAGGTGGGAAGAAGGTGGAGGAAGGTCTTGAGACAGGTCCTTCCAGTGCAGTACCATAACCAATACCTAATGCCCATCTTTCTTGGCAGCTGTTCAATGCAGTCAACTTGGGTCTCCCGTTCAGACATAATGCAATACAAAATTATGTTTGTACAGCACCTTTTATGTTGAGAGGACATCCCAAGTCATTTAAGAATTCTGGCCTGACTAGCGAGCAGTGGGGGTCGAGCCGAGAAAGGTTGGGAAGGGATGGGAAAGATGACCGAAGATGCAATCAAAGAAGTAGGTTTTGAGATAATAATAATCTTTATATTTGATATAGTAGTTTATCATATCATTGAGACATTTCAAAGTGCTTCATAGAATAATTTGTAAAGTGAATGGACTTTATATATATTTTGCGGGTGTAACATGGCAGCCAATTGCGCACAGCAGTGTCCCACAAACAGTCGTGGATTGAGTGACCTAATTTATTTATCTTTTTCCTTTTGAGGGATTACCCCTGGAAAGCAATTCGCCAATCGACTAACAATCGGGTTCCTACTTACTGCTACGTATATGGAGTAAGGAAACTTGCCTAAGGTTTTGCCCCATCCAGGAAGCGAACTGGGGTCCTCTCACTTGTGAGACAAGCGCGCTAACCACTATGCTACCAATACTGGCAAACACTGGGTATATGCAATGCGATTACCCTTGATAAGCAAGGAACGAAGGTTCTCTTAGATAGGGAACAATGTATGTAAGAGACCCCCCACCACCCTAAACTCAGCATCAAACTGTAACCCCAGAGCCAAAGAACAAAGAGACATTGTGACGAGCAGAAAAAGAAGACTACACAGTACCTGTAAGCTAACGCTCCAGCAAAGTGGCTCTGGATGTATGTATCCATGACGGGCTTAAAATTGTGAAACTTGCTGTCCTGCAGCAGGTTTATTATGTGAACCTGCAACAGACAAATCAATTCACCATACACATAGCAACATAGGAATTGCTAGACGAAAAAAAAATCCATCAATTTTGCCTTCTATTATCCTGGTAGACGCATGCTCCAATAATGAAGATGTTGATAATAATAATAATCCTTGCATTCGATATAGCGCCTTATCACATTGCAAATGATCAAAGTGCTTCACAAGATATACTGTAACGTATATCTGTAAAGTATACCTTGTGGGCAAAATTGTGTATTTTGTGGGCAAAACGCAGCAGCCAGTTTGCACAGAGCAATGTACCACAAACAGCCATGGAGTGAGTAACCAATTTTATTTGGGGAATTGTTGGCCAGGACACCGGGAGAGAGAAACTCCCTTCTCTTTTCAAATAGTGCCATGGGATCTTTACCACCCACCTGAATAGGCAGAAGGCACCCTGTGCCTCATCCTTGTAACGTCTCATCCGAAGAATAGCACCTCGACTGCATTTACAAAGGCAATGCGGTTTCAGCTGGTTAAACTCCAACAGCACCCTAATGCACATTCTTCATAGTAATTCATTCTTTATGGATTACAATGGGATGGAAAGCTTTGGGAACCTTAGATCCAAAGTTGCCTGGTTCCTCCAAGCATTCTGCACTTACTATAATGTCATGTCTCAAATTACTCATAAGGCTCATATTCTGGATCCCAACATATTATTTTCTAAATAAATCTATCTAATTTGTATCTGAAATGAATCTACACTTTCTGCTTCCACCATCTTCCTAGTGAGCCTGATCCATAGATTTACCATCCGCTCACTGAAATAGTACTTCTGCAGATTAGTTGTGAATTTACCCCCTTAGGAAGCCTGTTCAAATACATCTTCCATTCCCCAAATATAACGCAAGGCAATTCACACTTATACAGCACCTTTCATGTGGGGAGGACGTTGCAACAACCACAAATTGCCCCTGAGCTGAGGTGGGAAATCAAGAGAGGTGGAGGGTAGGGGGAGTGTGGTGGGTGTGGCTGAAGGCACATTCAGAGACAAACCTTGAAGGGATGAGGAAGGGATGAAGCAGAGGGACTTGGGTTGGAATTTCAGAGGGTGGGGGCAGAAAAGCTGAAGGCACAACCACCAATGTTGGAGAAGGCAAGGCTGGGGACATGGAGCGGGCAAGTGCCCACCGATCGGAGGGAGTGGACAGGGAGAAGTCGCAGAGGTAGGGAGGAGCATGACCATGGAGAGCTTTAAAAGAGAGATCGTGGATTTTAAACTCGATCCTCTGAGGGATGAGGAGCAAGATACTCACCAATGAATCGAAAACCTTCAATCCATATTTTTGTGAATTTTCATCTAAAATTCCAAATAGTGCATCCAGGGTATCTTGTAAAAACTACAAAGAGAATTCAGAAAAATCATTTTAATATTATTGACCCCCAATCGCAAAATCACAAGATCGATTCGAATGAAGAAGGCCCTTCTGCCCATCTGATCTCATCTCCCATCACAGCTGTTTTTTAAATTAGTCCCACAGTCCCAGACAAGTCATGGGAAGTTTACCAGACATTGCTTTCATTGATAAACTTAATAATAATCCTTGCATTTGATACAGTGCCTCATCATGCCATAGAGATGTCTCAAAGCGCTTCATAGAATATATTGTAAAGTGGATTGATTGTGTATTTTATGGGCGAAACGCAGCAGCCAATTGCACATAACAGTGTACCACAAATAGTAGAGGATTGATTGACCACATATTTTTGGGGGCAGGAAAGATTACTACTCCCGGAAAGCAATCCACCAATCGACTAATAACCGGGTTCCAACTTACTGCAAGGTAAACAGAGGCATGCCTAAGCTTTTGGCATTTTGGACTAAGCTTTTGGCATTTTCATACCATTTAACATTTTCTCCACCTACATAAGTTCTTCTCTGAGACATCTCCTTTCAGGATGTATTATATTTGATCGTTGCCCATTGCAAAACAATGAAAAGGGATATTTCACAAGTCCAACCATGCACCTCACCTTGACGATTTCTGCACCGTCTATATCTTTCAGCTTTGAGAGGATGTCGGATATTCTCTCTGGGTGGGCTCGCCATTGTAAGAAGTCTAGCAACTCTCCTGGAAAAAGGAATGTGCAGAACAATGTAATAAATATCTTTGCATTTGATATAGTGCCTTATCACTTCATGAGATGTCTCAAAGCGCTTCACAGAATATATTGTAAAGTGGATTGACTGTATTTTTTAGGCAAAATGCGGCAGCCAATTGCACAATCGTAGATTGTGTGACCAAATTTATTTGGAAGATTTTTTTTTATAAAAGATTATTATCCCGGAAAGCGAACCAACAATCGTCTAACAACTAGGTTCCTACTTACAGCTTGGTAAACAGAGGCATACGGAGTAAAGAAACTCAACTAAGGTTTCACCCCGCCCGGGAATCAAACCCAGTCCTCTCACTTGCGAGGCAACAGTACTAACCACTATGCTACAGGACTCCAAATTGTAGAATAATTATCCTGATGACCAGGAAGTAGCAGACTGAGCAAGCAAGGCCAGGCGACCAGATCTCAGCAATTGTTGTGCAAGACCAAGTGCGGCGGTTAGTAATAATAATAATCCTTAATAATAACTCCTTTTACGTTGGGAGAACCTGTCAAAACACTTCACAGGATATACTGTAAAGTGCAGCGACTGTGAGTTTTGAGAACAAATATGGCAGCCAATTACCCACAGCAGTGTCCTACAAACAGCTATGGAGTGAGTAACCAATTTTATCCGAGGTATTGTTGGTCAGGACACCGGGAGAGAGAAACTGCCTTCTCTACTCATAATTTTGAGGCAAGATTTCCTTCCTTCAAACAAAAGGTATGAAATGGGTCTGTCATTTGTCAAAAACTGTTACAAAAATACAATGTGCTGAATGCTTCATCTTGGAAACTGTGAACTTACTATTATTATACTATAATACAATAATAATCCTTGCATTTGATATCTCATCTTTCATGTCAGCAGGGATGTCTCAAAACACTTCACAGAATTTTACTAGGGAGTAACTGAGTATTTTGTTGGCAAACACAGCAGACAATTTGCACACAGGAATGTCCCCAAAAAAGCCATGAAGTGAACAACCAATTTTATCTGGGGGACAAGGACACCAGACGAGAGAAACTCCCTTCACTTTTTGATTCGTGCCATGGGATCTTTAACATCCACGTGAACAGGCAGACGGAGGCTGTTTAATATTTCATTCGAAGTATGGTACTTCTGGCAATGCAACACCCACCCAACACTGCATTGGAGTGGCACCTTAGACTATGAGAGTTCCAAGTCCCCATACGGGCCATGACCAACAACCTTCTGACTCAGAAGGTTGTGGGTCATGCCCCATGTGGGGACTTGGAATTGCCATCCTATGTGAAAAAAAGCCCTCTTCCTACCATTTTGCGTCAGCTTGGTGGAGCAGAGAAAGGACGAGATCCAGAAAGACTCTTTTGTGGCTTTGCCTGCCTGACTGTTCCCTTTGCAATATGGAAGTTTGAGGTAGCGATCAGCGTCCTGAAAGTTTGTGTTTTCCTCGCACTGCAAGACAGAGAATTGTTTTGAACAAAGTACTGCACAAAGTCCCAAACTAGCTTGCTCTCTTCGACCGTGCCTTCAGCTCCTCTCTCGACTCTCTACCCCCTCCTCGCTCCCTTCCTTCCCTCCCCTCACCCTGACCATTTCCCCCCTGTTCGGGTCCCGACCCTACTGTCCAGCGCCTTGGGATGTCCTCCCGACGTGAAAAGCGCACTATAAATGAAATGTTGTTGTTGTTGTTGTTGTTCTAACTTACGGTGAATACTGCCGCCACTGGTGGAGAATGTCACCATTTGCTCAACTTGAATTGTTTATTCATGATAAGAGTATAATAATCATGCTCGGATTTGATTTTGAGCCTCATCATGTCGTGAAGATGTCTCAAAGCGCTTCACAGGATATACTGTAAAGTGGTTTCTCTGTGTATTTTTTCAATGTCCCACAAACAGTCATGGAGTGGGTGACCAATTTTATTTGGGGGATTGTTGGCCAGGACACCGGGAAAGAAACTTCCTCCTCTTTTCAAATAGCGCCATGGGATCTTCAATGCAGATGGGATCTAAGTTTAACGTCTCACCCAAATGACGGCACCTCTGACAAACAGTCATGGATTGAGTGACCAAATTATTTATTTAATTATTTATTTATTTTGAATGCATTATTACCCCAATAATACGTTCCGCCAATTGCCTAAGGTTTTGCCCCACCCGGGATTCAAACCCGAGTCCTCTTGCTTGTGAGACAAGCCTATGAACAGCCTAGGAAAATGTCCCTATTTTCCACTTTAACGCTTTGCTTATCACGGGATGCAACTGCCAGCTGCTCGCTCAAAAAAGACCTTACTTTATGGACCAGCAGCTCGTGAACACCATCTGGCAAGGTTCTGCCATCCTCCTGCATCAGCGGAACAAAGGAAAACCCAAACAGCTTCTTCTCGCCTTTCTCCTTTGCTAAAAAAAATCAAAAACAACCGAAACATAAAACATCCAAGGGCAAACAACCACTACAAATTACATTTGGATAGTGGCTTTCAGGTTGGAAGGACGTTTCAAGGTGCTGGACAGTCCTTCTGGGTTGGGATCAGGAGGAGTGGAGGGCAGGGAGCATAAGGTTAGGGGCGAGGCAAAGGGACTGTGAGATTGAGTTGCAAAGGGTGGGGGCAGAAAGGCTGAGGGCTCGACTGCCAATGGTGGGACAGGTTGGCAATGGTGGGGCAGGTTGGGTGGGGGACGTAGAATAGACCAGAGTCCAGTAAGCGGAGAGAGTAGAAAGCCTATATGGAGTTCGCAGATCAGAGGCAGGGAGGAGCAAGGCCGTGGAGGGCTTTGAAAGCAAGGCGAGATTTTTGAACTATGTCCTCTGGGGACAAGGAGCCAGTGGAGTCGGACGAGGGTGGTAGTGATAGGGTCATGGAGTTTAGTATAGAACAAATAATAAAGGTTTATGTTTTCCGCCTGTACAGAATGGTGCATGGCTGTGCAGGTCCATTAAAATTATTTTTCAAAACGACCATACAAAATGTCTTTGAAGAGGAGACTGAGCTGAGGTTTTCAGTGATGATTGTGTTGCTGCTCAGTCAGGCTGCTATTTTTCAAGGTGACTGATATGCTACTTTGTTTGCCATCTAATGAGGCAAAGCAGCTGATTTTATTGTTACTATTCTGTTTATTTTTTAAAAGTGAATGGGGATGTGGCTAACCTCTCACAGCAACGTTTAAAACAATGTGTTGACAACAAAAGTTTCGACCTACTAAAACTTTGCCACTGGCCCACTCCATATTCCCTGCCCCACCATCAGCCTTTCTGCACTCAGTGGAGCACCATCCCGGAGCCCCTCTACCTCACCACCTCCCTTGCCTCCTTCAAGAACTTGTTCTTCAAACATGCCTTCAGTCATCTTTCCACCGCCAACCCCCTTGCCCTCCACCCCTCTTGACTCCAGTCCCCAGGTCGGATGAAAATCCTTCACTGTCCAGCATCTTGGGACTTCCTCCCAACAAGAAAGGCGATGTGTAAATGTAATTTTATGTTGTTTCATCTTATATTGCGTCATTTGCGTTGGTTGGGAGAATGTCTCAAAGCGCTTTGCAAAGATGGAACTGGAACGGGAGCCCGAGCTGTGGGAGGGGAAGAGGGATTATTACCCCTGGAATAATCCCTCCAAAATCTATGTTCTTTATGAACCGTCTACATGCTCACAGGAAGGGCCGAGGGGGGTGAGGGGAGGGGGAATGAAGGGGTGAGGGGAAAAATGGCTGAAAACGTGGTCAAAGAGGAAGAGTCTCATGGCAGATGTTGAAGGAGGAGAGGGAGGGGTCGAGTCAAAGGAACAGGAGTAGGCCATTCAGCCCATCGAGCCAGCTCCGCCTTCTATTAGATCATGGCTGCTCTGTACCACAACTCCATTTATCTGCTTTTGCTCCATATCACTTGATACTCTTTACCTAACAAAAATCTATACATCTCAGTCTTGAAAGTTTCAATTGAGCTCGATGCTCAGATCTGGGTTACGAAGAAATGACTTCTGCCCCTCTTGGCTCAGGCAGCAGATAAGATTAATTTCCCTCCGACAGCTCCATCCATTAACACTCGTTAACAATAACAATAATCCTACATTTGATATAGTGTCTTATCACGTCATTGAGATGTCTCAAAGCGCTTCACAGGATGTACTGTAAAGTGGATTGACTGTATATTTTGTGGGCGAAACGCGGCAGTCAATTGGGCACAGAAGTGACCCTCAAACAGTCAGGTCGTGAGTGAGCAATTTTATCTGGAGGATTGTTTGCCAGAACACCTGGAGAGAGAAACTCCTTTCTTTTTCCCAATAGTGCCACTGGATCTTTAACACCCATCGGAATAGGCAGATGAAACCTGGGTTTAACATCTGATCTAAAGAACAGGACCTCTGACATTGCAACACCCCACCAGCACTGCATTGTCAGCTTAGACTATATGGCTGGGGCTCGAACCCACAACCGCCTGACTCAGAGGCAAGAGCGCTACCACTGCACCACGTTGACAGGGGACTCGTTGGGCTGAATGGCCTGTTTCCATTACAATTTCCGGAAAGGCAGTCAAATCGGGCGAGGCACAAATCCATAAGGAAAATGAAGGTACTTACTGGAGCAGTGCCGGAATTCCAGGCGGACGTGGGCCCCCCTGAACTTCTCCACAGGAATGGGAAGCTTCAACTGCTCTGCCCACCTGGGGCTATTGTTATGATAAAGGACGAAGGAGTGGTGCTCGCTGATGGGAAGCTCCCCGGATCCCAGTGAAATACAATCCTGTTACAGAAGGAGAACAAACTTCATTAGAGTTAAGCAGTGAAACTAACAGTTATACAATTCAACCACAGGCAAAGGCTCTCCAATAATAATAATAAGTACATTTGATACAGTGCCTTTAACATCAACAACAACAACAAGATTCCATTTATAGAGCGCCTTTCACGTCAGGAGGACGTCCCAAGGCGCTGCACAGTTGGGTCATGACCCGAGCAGGGGGGAAATGGTCAGGGTGAGGGGAGGGAAGGGAGGGAGAGAGGAGGGGGGAAATGGTCAGGGTGAGGGGAGGGAAGGGAGGGAGCGAGGAGGAGGAAGAGAGTCGAGAGGGGAGCTGAAGTCACGGTCGTGAGGACATCTCAAAGTTCTTCAAGTGGTACACTGTAAAGAGGAGTACATACAAGATAGAGGCTTGAAGGGTTAATAATAATAATCCTTGTGTTTCATACAGTGCCTTATCACCTTGTTGAGACGTCTCAAAGCACTTCACAGGATATACTATAAAGTGGTTTGCCTGTATTTTGTAGGTTAGTTAAGGGGATTTAACTCACAAAATACAGTCAATCCATTTTACAATATCTTCTGTGAAGCACTTTAATAGATCTCAATGACATGATAAGGCATTATATCAAACGCAAGGATTATTATTATTATTAATAATAATATTATAGAGCTGGGACTGAATGAACACCTTGTTTGGAAAGCCAGTGCAGACTCAATTGGCCGAATGGCCTCTTTTGATGGGCCGAATGATTGTATTTTGTGGGGGAAACACAGCAGCCATGGCAACACTCCACATGGAGCCATGGAGTGAGTGACCAAAATCACCAATAGAGTTGAACAGTACAATAAAATCAGGTTCTGCTGAACGGAACTCACTACTGGGAGCTATAGTGGAACCAGAAAGCATCGTGAGGGAGATGGGAGTAGGAGGGGGATAGGGAGAGGGAAATAAGGAGAGGGGAATAGAAGTGGAAGAGGAGGGGGATCGGGAGATGGAAATATGAGGGGGAGAGGGGAATAGGAAGGAAATAGCGAGAGGAGAATAGGAAGGGCACATGGAGAAGGGGAATAGGAGGGAGAATAGGGAGAACAGAAAGGGAGTGGGAGAAAGAAAGGGGAATAGGAAAGGGATAGCGATAGGGGAATAGGAGTGACAGGAAGAGGGGAATAGGAGGGCGATACGGAGAAGGGATTGGAAGGGAGATAGGGAGAGGGGACTGAGAGGGAGATAGAGAGAGGGGAATAGGAGGGAAATGGGGAGAGGGGAATATGAGCCCTCTCGTTCCAAACTCAAAGACCTGAGCTTTTTGGCTTATGGTAGCAGTTCAGCCGCGGAGGAAAGCAATGTGAATTACCTTTATAATCTGCCCTTCACTATCCAGCACGTACATGGTGACATCTACATTCCTGGCCACGCTCTTCCCCCCCTTGTCGTACTCCCCTCTCTCCAGTGTGATGTACAAGTCATTCCGAATATCACCTGGCAAACACAAGGGAAAGTATCCAGTTTTAATCAACAGTTCTGAGGGAGGAATAATAATAATAATAATCCTTGAATTTGATATAGTGCCTTATCACGTCATTGAGACAGAGCTTCATAGGATATACTGTAAAGTGGATTGACTATGTATTTTGTGGGTGAAATGCAGCAGTCCATTGAGCCAGCAATGTCCCACAAACAGGCGTGGAGTAAGTGTCCAAATTTTTATTTGAGGGGATTATTGACTAGGATACCAGGATACCCTTTACTTTTTTCACCCACAAAATACACAATCAATTCATTTAAAAATATATTCTGTGAAGCACTTTGAGACGTCTCAACGACATGATTTTATGCTATATCAAATGCAAAGATTATTATTATGGCACTTTATAACTTTATAGCATATTATCACACTGAAACAACTCAAAGCACTTTACAGATAAGTAATGTCAAGTGTAGTGACTGTTCCCTTAGAGAGACATGCCACACAAATCAAGTTCCCGCAAACATCCAAGCAGTGAATGCCCTTATTAATCTGAAGGATTGTTAGCCCGGACGCCAGGAGAAACTCCCTTCTCTTTTTTTGATTGGTGTCATTGGGACCTTTAAGAGGCATCAATCTGGCTTATTTGTTAGCACGCTTGCCTCTGAGTCAGGCATCTGTGGGTTCAAGCCCCACGTCCCAACATAGGGTCTTGAAACACAAAAAGTCTGTACTTTAAGACGTGATACCAACAACGTGATAAGGCACTATATTTGCTACAGTCTGTGAATCCTCCTCTGCTCCAGCCTGCGAATCCTCCGTCGAGCAGACGCTGCTGGCTGTCCAAAAGTAGCCACTCTGAGTGCCCTATCGAGGTTGGCCCCTATGGTCAGGGACCGATGGACCTTGTGGCGAGAATATCCCCCATTCTCGCCGCAAGGCCCCTTCGTCCCTGAACATGGGGGCCAACCTCTCCTCCCTCATCCACATCCCCACCCTCCCTGTCAGTCCTCACCCTCCCCACCTCGCCCCCCACACTCCATCACCAACTGTCTGTTCCCTCTGCATCGGCCTACAAAATGCCCGCTCCCTCTACAATAAAACACTCACCATCCAAGATCTCATTGCCAAAGAAAACATCGACATCCTCACCCTCACTGAAACCTGGTTTACTCCAGACGACACCTTCCCCCTGATAGAGGCCACACCACCCGGCTACACCTTCCATCGTACCCCATGACCTAATCACCATGGTGGCGGAATGACTCTCAGTTCCCGGTCCCCGCACGGCCTATCCCCTTACTCCTCTGGAACCTTCCCCTCCTTCGAGGACCTTACCCTTTATGACCCCTCCAACCTTTCCCTCAAAATTCTCCTTATCTATCACCCCCCCAAGCTCTCCCCCCACCTTCCTCCCCAACATCTACACCTGTGTCTGCAGTCACCCCCCTCGACCTGGTGATCATTCGGGGCCTCACCATCTCGGACCTCACCATCATCGACAAAGCAATCTCGGACCATTACTTCATCTCCCTTAACTCCTCAATCCCTCTCCCCACTGTCACCCAACCCACTTCCATCTCCTACCGCTCCTGGAAAAAATCTCTCCCCCTCTCTCTCCGTTCCCTTGGAGTCACCTGAACTCCTTCCCCTCTGGGCTTCCTCCCGTAATGACCTTCCTCCTCGGTCACTCTTTTCCGCAGCTCCTTCTCCACCACTCTCCATTCCTTTACTCCCCTCACTTCCGAACCATCTCCAACTCACGAAAGTCACCATGGTACACCAGCCACCTCCGCTCCTTTAAAACACAGGTGCTGAATGCACCTGGCTTACATCAAACTTAATGGTCCATCTCCAGATCTGGCTGGACCTTACCAAATCTTACCGCTCCGTCCTCGCCTCCGCTAAATCATCATTCTAGTCCAAGACAATCTTGGAGGCCAAGGACAACCCCAGGCTCCTCTTCTCCAGTACCAACCGGCTCCTCCACCCACCCTCTCATGCCTCACCCATCCTCATCTCCAATGCCTACTGGAGGCGATGCTGGACTTCCTCGTATTCTTCCTCGTGTCCATCTGCAACCAGGGCTCCCTCTGCCTCCTTGTCTTCCTTGATCTCTTTGTTGCCTTCGACACTGTTGACCACTCTATCCTCATCCACCACCTCTCCTCTCAACCTTCACGGTTCTGTCTTTGAATGGTTCAGATTGTACCTCTCACACTGCTTCCACTTCATCTACACAAACGGTTTCTCCTCTAGCCCCCGCACAGTCTCGTGCACTGTTCCTCAGGGCTCTGCCCTTGGTCCCCTCCCTTACAACATCCATATGCTCCCTCTTGGTGACATCATCCACAGACATGGGGTCAACTTGGATGACACAACTGTACCTCTCTGCCTCCGCTCTTATTTGTCAGACAGCGTCCTGGATGAGAGCTAACTTTCTACAGTTGAACATCAACAAGAGCGAGGCCGCTTACAGCATCACCATCCATGGATGCACACTCCATCTTACTAAGCCAGACCGGAAGCTTGGCATCTTGACTTGACCCTCAACTATCCTTTCTACCTCATATCCGTGCCATGACCCGCTTTGCCTTTCCCCCACCTCCGTAACATCACCCGGCTCTGCCACTGCCTCACCACAGGTCGCCGAAACCCTCATACACGCATTCATAACATCGAGGCTTGACTATTCAAACTCCCTGCTTGTCGGCCTTCCCAAATCCTCCCTCCATAGGCTGCAGATCATCCAGAACTCTGCAGCCCGTGTCCTCTCCTGCACCAGGCTCTGTGACCCTATCACCCCCATCCTCGCCCAACTCCACTGGCTTCCCATCACACAGAGGATGCAGTTCAAGATCCTGGTCCTCATCTTTAAATCTCCATGGCCTTGTTCCACCCCTACCTCTGCAAACTCCCAACCCCCTACCATCCTGCCCACCCCCATCGCTCAGCACGCTCCGGCCTGCTTCACGTCTCCCATTCAAGAACCCCCCCTCTTCGATCGTGCTTTCGATCACCTTGCTTCCCCCCCTGCCCTCCATCCTCCCCAATCACGAACCCCAGCTCAAGTCTGAAACACTGATTGTCCAGCGTCTTGGGACATCCTACCGATGTGATAGGCAATATGCAAACATAATTTTGTTGTTGTTGTATATCACAGAATCATAGAATATTACAGCACAGAAGGAGGCCGTTCGTCCTACCAAGACCTACCAACTAGTCCTACTCCCCCACCCGATAGCCCTGCAAATTTTTCCTTTTTAAGTATCTATCTAATGCCCTTTTGAAAGCTATTATTGAATCTTCTTCAACCTCCCTTAATCAAGTTATTTAGACATGATTTGCCATTAACAAATCCTTGTTGACTGTCCCTTTATTAACCCATGTTTTTCCAAGTGAAAATTTATTTTGTCCCGGATTATCTACAAGTTTCCCCAACATCAACATTGGCAGACTGGTCTGTAATTACTAGGTTTATCCCTCTCCCCTTTTTTGAACAGGGGTGCAACATTTGCAACTCTCCAGTATTCAGGCACTACTCCCTATGCGGGCGGTATTGACGATTGTGGCCAGAGCCTAAGCTATTTCCACTCTAACTTCCCTCAGCAATCTAGTCGCTTCCCAGCTCCGCTCCTTTCTCTCTCTCGCCATTCCCTCTTTGAACCCCTCCAATCCGGCTTCCACGCTGGCCACAGCATGGAAACAGCCCTGGTCAAAGTCACTAATGACATTCTGAACATCTGTGATCAGGGCTCCCTCTGCCTCCTTGTCCTCCTCGACCTCTCTGCCACCTTCGACACTGTCGACCACTCCATCCTCATACACCGCCTCTCCGCTTTACTCAATCTTTACAGATCTGCCCTTGCCTGGTTTGATTCCTATCTCTCTCACTGTCTCCACTTTGTTGCCTCTAACGGTTTCTCCTCCAGCCCCCACACTGTCACGTCTGGCGTCCCCCAGGGCTCTGTCCTTGGCCCTCTGCTCTTTAATATCTACATGCTCCCCCTGGTGACATCATCCGCAGACATGGGGTCAACTTCCATATGTATGCGGATGACACCCAACTCTATCTTTCTGCCTCCACCCTCAACTCCAGCACCATTGCTGTCCTGACAAGACTGCATTAAGTCCTGGATGAGGGCAAATTTCCTACAGTTGAATGTGAACAAGACTGAGGCCCTCCTGTTTGGCTCGCGCCAGTGCCTCTGCACCTCAGGCTCTGGCAGCATTAACCTCCATGGTTGCACACTGTAACTCACCAAGCCAGTCAGGAACCTGGGTGTCTTGTTCAACCCTCAACTGTCTTTTCTCCCCCACATTCAACCCATAACCCGCTCTGCCTTCCCTCACCTCCGTAACGTCGCCCAACTCCACCGCTACCTCACCCCTCAGGCCGCTGAAACTCTTGTTCATGCCTTCATCACCTCCAGGCTCGACTATGCAAACGTCCTGCTTGTCAGCCTTCCCAACTCCTCCCTTCACAGGCTGCAGATAATCCTGAACTCTGCAGCCCGTATCCCCTCCCGCAGCAAACTCCGTGACCCCATCTCTTCCACTCTCGCCCAATTCCATTGGCTCCCTATCCTTCAGAGGATCCAGTTCAAGATCCTGGTCCTCACATAAAAAGCCCTCCATGGCCTCACCCCACCCTACCTCTGCAACCTCCTAACCCCCTACCAACCCACCCGTTCCCCCCGTTCAGCCGGCTTTGGCCTGCTCTACATCCCCCAACCCACCCGCTCCACCATTGGCGGGAGAGCCTTCAGCCACTCTGCCCCCAACCTCTGGAATTCCATCCCCCAGTCCCTCCGCCTCGCCCCCTCCTTAGCCTCCTTCAAGTCCCGCCTCAAGACCCTCCTCTTCAACCATGCCATCGGCCACCCCCCTTCCCTTACCCCCCCAACCCCAGCTCGGGTCTGAAATGCTGTACTCTGTCCAGCGCCTTGGGACGTCCTCCTGACGTGAAAGGCACTATACTAATGTAATCTTGTTGTTGTTGTAGTATGCATCC